CCCCCCGGCCCCCCACCCTCCCTTACCCCCCCCCCCCCCCCCTCAAAAAGCCAAACACAGCCAATCCCAATCCCGCCCCGACCTTTCTTTAATCCTCAGTCGCGACGGTCAACAACGCGAAGAAGAAAGCCATCTAACACCAACAACCACATTGGCCTAACCGTCGCCCTCGCCTTCGCCTTCGCCCTCACCCTCGCCCTCAAGACCCTCACCCTCATCCCTCACCATCACGCCCTACATCACCTGATTGCCTGCCGCTGCGGTCAGGATTGTTGTGTTTGTTCTTGTTGTTCTTGTTGTTGTTCTTGTGGTCCAGTCGTGTATCATTCGAGTCGAGGTATGTTTGGTCTCGGCGACGCGGCAGAAACTTCACTCCTGCCTGTACTTCACATCCAACGTGCGCGCCAGAGTCAGGCGCCTCGTTCCGGCCGCATTAACCTGAACCGGACTGACCTCGAGGTTCCTTTCAGTACCGGTACTGCACCACCACTATAACGAACGGAGCTTCCGCATTCCGGGAAAACTCGATTTCCCCCGTGTCGAACCGGCGCATCGCAAACTAATCAAACTCTCTTCCTCTCGCACCACCACCAACCACACCACCACCACCACTACCACAACAACACCAAAGCACGGCCGCTTCGTCACGTCGCCAACCGCAACCCAGGCTCGGATCAGCTTCAATCCCTATTAGGACTACCGCCCCTCTATTCCCCGCCACACAGGACAAGAATAGCTTTTTTGGTGTGTGAAGCTGATTGACAAGGTAAGCCTAGCTTTTTGCATGCCGCTATGCATGGCCAACGCATCACACTGGCCCTCAGGCCGAAAGAGAAGAAAAAAAAAAAAAAAAAAAAAAAACTAAATTTCTGCCTGCCTCATCTTCCTCTCCTCCCAATAGCTCACACTGCGTGCTTCTCCCGTTGGTCAAATATTCATAACTAATTGTCCCGGTTGGGCAGTCCCTTCGAACCTATCCACAATACGGGGGAAGCTGTGTTTTTTCGTCTTGGGGCTCGTAACATTTAGGTCCGGTCCGCAAAGCAAAGAGCTCCCTTGACACCACAGTCCCGTCCAACAGCCTCAAGGCTACCTACCGGTAGCTCCGCCTCCATCCTCACGTGGGGTTCCGACTGAACCTGAACCTGAACCACTAGCCGTATCAGCCCGGTCTGTATCTCCGACGACATCAGCTTGCATATGTGGTGCTGCGCCAATTGCGGTGTACACCTACCACCTTCGCCTGCCAACACATCCACGCATACGGAATTGACAAGAGGCTGATTCAACACCTACCTGGAAGACTCTGCCCTCGAGGCCAGTGACAACGCTTGCCAACGCGCTCGCACCAACGGCGCATGTCGAAAGGTCGATCGATAACCACACTCGAGACCGATGCTCATGACCCCAGTGACACGCCGACATCTCGACATACTTGCGCCCACGACGCGATTTCTGCCTCCCCGACTGAGATAACACGCGCCGAAGGACCTCGACGACTTATACAACTCACGAAGCCCCTTCCAGAAGCATACCCGGCAACTCTTAACCACCATGATGGAGTACTCGCAATATCCTCAACAGGCGCAAGCCCATAACGCGCATAATCCTGGGCATATCCAAGGCGGATACTCAAACCCGGGACAACACCCAGGCGCCGGGCCATCTATCACCTCACCCTCTCAACAACCGATTCACACACAGCACTCCTTGCATAACCAGACGTCCCCCATACTCTCATCTCAAGCTCAAACTGGAAATCCGGGGCACGCGCTGAATCAACAATTGAACTACCAGCAACCGAGCTATGGTCCTCCTCCGGGAGGACTCCACTACACCATGAGTGGCATAAATCCGCAGACTGCTGCTATGGCCGCGACTGCTGCCGCGGCCGGCTCAACATACCCGTATATTCCAGATGCGGGCCTTCAGACGTCACCACGGATGATGGGTGTGTCAGTGAAGCAGGAGACGCAACGCCGGTCACCAAAGCAAATGAACAACCAATTGGGCCAGCAAGCGCGGAGGATGAGTAATCAGGTTGGAGAAAGCCCATCAGTGACGAACTCGCAGCCCATCATGAACCACGGCGCGCCGAGGCCACCAGTACCGCCGATGCCCACTAACCAACATCAGACTCAATCCCCCGAACTGGTCTCCGGAGCCGTCGAGGAATCGCCGCTGTATGTCAACGCGAAGCAATTCCACCGAATACTTAAGCGACGCGTGGCGAGGCAGAGACTGGAAGAAGCCCTGCGCTTGACCTCGAAAGGAAGAAAGCCTTACCTGCACGAATCTCGGCATAACCACGCGATGAGACGACCTCGAGGACCTGGAGGGCGATTTCTGACCGCAGACGAGGTTGCCGATATTGAGCGTGCGAAGGGAGATGGGGAAGATGGAGACAAGTCGTCAGAAACGCCTGCGCAGGCAGGGCAGCAAAGCGGAACTGGCTCCGGTACCAAACGCAAGGCCGAGGCGGATACCGTCACCCCCAGCAAGAAGACCAAATTAAGCGGGGCTCGGAGCAGTGCCGAAGATGAGGACGAAGATGATGAAGATGCAGACGACGATGGCTAATGGCCTTCTACGTTTGTGGGGCGTCGAGCTTCTCGTCGCCCTTCTCTTTATGCTCCTATGTTTGTTTACGATGTCACGACAGCGCCTGCGTTACTCTGCTCTTATTTCGACTTTACCCCAATAGCGATCTGGCCTCGCTTCTCAACTTCTGTTCTTGGATACGAAGTAAATTACGGGATTCGTTATCCAGGAGGCGGAGTCTGCTACGGGCTGGGTGCTATGACCTCCGGGGGGTGAGGATGGGCTTGGTTGCATCGCGATGGACTGAACAGGACACTCGTTTTGCCTATGCTGCCCCCTCCCCCCCCTTCTCGTAGTCCTTGAAGCTCGCTTTGCTAGAGAATTAAGAATACCCCCACGTCTGACTTTTTTTTCCCCCCTTCTCCTTAACCAATGTCGATACATTCTCTTCTTTGTTGCCATCTTACAACTTCTCACCGGTCTCTTTTCTTCATGAGGAGGTTCTCAAATCGGGGGCAATGCGGGCAGTTTGGGCTTGGCTTTACGGGACTCGGAAGAGTGGATGGGGAACTACTAGAAATTTGGCACACTCACGTGAACTCGAAAACAGAGGGGCAGCAACAGCTAGCTAGCCCTGGCCTCGAGGAAGGCAAGGGGACATATGGAATTTGCGGCGCGGGATACCTGGTTGGGTCTTGATGATGGGTTGGGACGGGGGCAAGGGAGGAATCTCTTCTTTTCAGCGTTCTTTACGTGTTACGTACGATGAGGCTGGGAGGCCATGGAAGGGAACAGAGTCTGGTATCATACCTGTGGTCGATGGGGATTCAGAATATCGGAGAGACCAGGACACGGGGGACGTCTCGGCAGGCAATACAACGCTGAAATCTACTTTGACCCTTCCTTGCCCACGGGTGTGGGTGTATGTGTTTCCGTACGTTTGGTGGGCGTACGCTGTGATGAGAGTAAGAGGAGTGAGTTGAGCGAGTGGGTTGAGTGAGTTGAGTGAGTCGAGTGAGTCGAGTGAGTTGAGTGAGTTGAGTGAGTTGAGCGAGTCGAGCGAGCAAGTGCTCCGGTACAAAGAGATGAGAAGGATGACTGACGTCTTCTTGCCCTTGCCCTTGCCCTTGCCCTTGCTCTTCTCCTCTTCTTCCTCTTCCTCTTCCTCTTCTCCTCTTCTCCTCTTCACACACGACCTTGTCAGCTCAGCCAGCAGCTTAACGGGGTACGGGGTACGGGGTACCGGTACACACAGATGCTCGCCGGTACTGCGGTACTGCAGTCAGTCAGTCAGCATGCATGCGTGCGTGTAACCGGTCGGTATCTTTGCTGGACTCGGATGGCTTGACGAGGAGAGGGGGAGAGGGATCGAGAGGGTGGATGGATGGATGGATGGATACCTAGGTGGGTGGATAATGAGATTGGGTGGGTAAGGTAAGGGAAGGGAAGGGAAGGGAAGGGAAGGGAAAGGAAGTGAAGTGGGAGTTCTTATTTCGTTGCTGGGGGTTGTTATCCTTTTTTTTTTCTGGTTTTTTGGTTTTACTGATGGGTAGATGGGTGGGTAGGTAGATGGATTGATAGATGGATGGATTGATGGATGGGTGGCTGGGTAGGTAGGGAGGGAGGTACGTAGGTAGGGTCTGGCTTGCTGGCGGATCGGATCTGGTCTGATCTGATCTGGTTCGCGCTTTGTATCGTGTGTTATGTGTAGCTGTATCATGTGTAGCTGGCAATGTCGGCTCTCGAGCTTATAGGTATACCGTAGGTACCGGTACATCCATCCTACCATGACTACGGTACTTACTCGACGGAGCATTCCGAGGCAGCCCCTCGCAACGAATCGACGGTACGTTGGCGTCTCGATCATTGGCTGCTGTTTTTGTCCCTCGGAAAAACTCCCAAGGCGCGCCCCGGCCGGAGCTTGATTGGTTTACCCCCCTAGCTTAAGCTCGCACTCGTTCTCGGCGCTCGGGGAAGAGAAAAAAAAAAAAGAGAGAGAGGAAAACAAAACGAGCAGTCAGCACCCACCATCCATGCCCACTGTCTCCATTCATTTTTTTTTTTTCGTCCCCCATCACCTCTCGTCTTGAAGCGCAGCGGCAAGCAGCAACCCCTCGCACGATCATTCACATAAACCCGCGACGACTGGGCCAGATACGGAAGATAGGGATAGATACCGGCGAAGATCTTCAACTTGGGCTTGGTTGAGGATTCTTGGTTCAAGAGAGAGAGAGAGAGACTGTGTGTGTGTAGGCATTGGTATTGGCAAAAGACAGGAAGAATAGAGAGACAGGATGTCTCCCATTGCTGCAGGTCCGGGGTCGGCCTCGAAGGATTACAAGAAGGAGTCGACGCTGGCTAGATTGTTGGGCTCGGGTACGCTTGCTCTCCTGCGGTTCTTCATTGAGATTTTCGTTTGAGGTATTGAGAGGGTTGAAGGCTGATGCTCGAGCAGGATCCGCTGGTATTGCAGAATTGGCCGTTTTCCACCCTGTACGCTCTCCCTGCTCCTCTCTGCGCCAACACACACCTAGTCACCCCCAAGTGAAGAAGGACGCAGATACGTCAAGCAATAGACGATGAGATCCATGCTAATGCGGGAAATGATACGCAGGTCGACACCATCGCCAAACGCCTCATGTCCAACCAGGGCCGAATCGTCAGCACCGCCCAGCTCTCCCAGGTCATATTCAAGGACAAGGCCGCCGCCTCAGCCCCCACAAAGTTCTTCTCGCTCTTCCCCGGCCTGGGCTACGCCGCCGGCTACAAGGTCCTGCAGCGCGTCTACAAGTACGGCGGTCAGCCCTTCGTGCGGGACTATCTGACCACGAACCACGGCTCGACCTTCGACCGCACGTTCGGGGAGAAGACGGGCAAGGCCATGATGAGCAGTCTCGCAGGCAGCATCATTGGTATCGGAGAGATTGTACTGCTGCCGCTGGATGTGCTCAAGATTAAGAGGCAGACGAACCCGGAGGCGTTTCGGGGCCGCGGTGTGGTGAAGATCGTGCGGGATGAGGGCTTTGGACTGTACAGGGGCTGGGGGTGGACTGCTGCCAGGAACGCGCCGGGCTCTTTCGCTGTGCGTGCATCCCTTTCGGATATCTACCTCTCGGTGATGTCGGGCTAACGCGGGCCTAGTTGTTCGGGGGATCCGCCTTTACCAAAGGCTACCTCTACGGTCTCGAGGACTACAACAAAGCCTCGTGGCTGCAGAACTTTGTTGCGTCCATCGCCGGTGCCTCCGCTTCTCTGCTCGTCTCGGCGCCGCTCGACGTCATCAAGACGCGAATTCAAAACAGGAACTTCGAGAACCCCGAGAGTGGGTTCAAGATCGTGAGTAGCATGATGAAGAACGAAGGGCCCACCAGTTTCTTCAAGGGATTGGTTCCGAAGGTATGTCCTCCTCTCTCTCTCATATACCTAGACCTGGGGTATGCTGTGGTGAGGAGCGCTAATTTGTGGGTGATGAAATAGCTGCTGATGACCGGACCCAAACTCGTCTTCTCTTTCTGGCTTGCCCAAACCCTGATCCCGGCTTTCGATATTGCCCTCTCGAAGAAATAGGCTAGTTTGCTGAAGCTTGGATGAGATGTTTACGGGTGTACAAAAACTAGGTGGAGGTGTGATTTGGGAGACTTGAAAAAAATAGATTGGCGTTCAGGCCGCGTCCCGGGTCTCGAGAATTTGAGATGAGAGGGAAGCCGGAGATGGGGATGATAGATGAGCTTGATAATTCGGCAGCTCTAGTTTAATATGTAGCTTTGGCTTGCTCGCCTGGGTGCTTGATAATTCATGGGTAGTACTTGGGCTGGTGGACAGGGAATCAAGTAAAACTCGACTCATGAACCTCCTCACTTGTATGAAGCCTTATTGTGTGTGAGTTGATGGTTGAGAAGCCCCAGCGAAGCGTTTCTCGACCGAACATAAGAGAGACGTTGCTCGTCTGTTACCTCTCCTCTTGGCAAGTAAGCTAGTTAGCTCTCCGGAGATCGCTCCCTTGCTGCACCTCAACGGACCGGACCGAACGGGACCGTATGTACCGACGTACCTCAATTCTAATCCATTCAACCACTCACCCACTCACTCACTCACTCACTCACTCACTCCGCCTCTCCGCCGCCGCCGCCACCCTCACCACCCTCCCACCAACCCCAAAAAAGAACAAAAGAAAGAAACAGCAAGCAAGACTGCCGCAACAGGCAGAAAAAAAGAAAAAGAAAAAGAAAAGAAAAGAAAGAGAAAGAACGAGAGAGAGAGAGGAAGAGCAAGAGGAGGCAAAACGATGCCGCCAGCAGCAGCAGCAGCAGCACCAGCGCACCTCATCTCCCGCGTCGGCGACCCCCTCTTCGCGCTGTTCATCGGCCTCGGCGCCGCCGCCACGCGCGTCAATAGGGAGGAGAAGGAGGCCGGGAGGAGTACGCGGGAGACGCTCGATGCGGGGCTTCGGTAGGCTTTTTTTCTTTTTTTTTTTCTCTTTGTGCTTTCTCTTTGTCTGGACTCTTGTTTCTTTCTTTTTTGGATGTGTGGAACTGGGGAGGTGTGGAGGGGGAGAGGGAGGGGGAGGGGGTTGGTTGGCTGGTTGGATTGGATTGGGTCAGATGATTGGGTTTGCGGTGCTAACTGTTGTGGCTGTGTGTGTTTTAGGAGAATGGGATTTCTGCGTCGAGAGGAGGGGGTTTTTGAGGGCCAGGGGAAGGGGAAGGAGAAGGGAAGTGGAAATGGGGAGAGATGAGATGAGGTGGGCTGGGCTGGGAAAACTGGATCGTGGGGACGGGCTTGGAGGTTGATGGATGGATGGAGGGATGGATGGATGGATGGATGGATGGATGGATGGAGGGGTAGATGTCGATTCGGAGGGGTATACATACGCAAGGTGGAGGTTTGGTGCGAGCTTGCGAGCTATCTCAGGCAGAGGGCACACATACAATATCACTCTCCGGAGGTTATCATGGCGGCAGTGTCTGTCGGGTGCTGCTGCCGTGAAAGCTCTCGCATCTCGAGTCCGTATGGCGCTTTTCCAAGTTTGAGCTACCCGCCGAGTGCCGTTCCGTCGAAATTGAAGGGGGGGGGGGAGAAGATACGCTTGGAAGGAAAAGATCGTTGGCTAGGGACGTGGCCTGGCCTAGCCTGGCCACGGTTGAAACATAACCATCCGGTCTGTTGGTCAGACGAAAGAGAGAGAGAGCGCGCAAATCAAGCCCCCCCCCCCAAGCAACCTTCGGTATCGGCGACAAGGACCTGAACGATACCCTCTTTCTCAGAACGAAAACGAATGCGAAATGCTGCTGGTCCGATTCGTGCTTTTTGTCTGTACCTTCTAGCGAGAATGAGATGGGATGAGACGAGATGGGCAAATCGAACGCGCCTCACCCGCCTCCGTTGATTCCATCTGCTGAATGTCAAAAAGTTTTTCACCACCTTGCTAGCTGCTAGAGGATAGAGGATAGCGGATAGCGGATAGAGAGAGAGAGAGAGAGAGAGAGATAGATACTGATGGATCGAAGAAGACTGTTGCTTACTCATTACCTACCTGCCTACCCACCCAGCTACCCACCCAGCTACCTTCTCCACTCGCTTAAACTCCCTACAACCCGATCAACGTTGAACGTTGGGTGTGTTAAGAACAAAAAAGAGCCCCTTCTCTGTAATCAGCGCTCGCACGTGGTTCACATAGCGTGATAGTGATAACTAGCCCCTTCTTCGAATACGGACAACCACCCCGAACTGGATGCGAAGAGCGAGGCATCCCAGACTCGAGCGTGTTGTTGCGTGGGAAGGGGGGAGAGCTGATTCGACCATGTTGCGAGGTGGGCGACCTATCTGGTGCTATCTGTCAAGAAGATGTTCAAGGGGGCAGACATATTCAAGAGGGCATGTAGTGTACAGAATCAGGAAGATATTCAAGTGGACAGACATATTCAAGCGAGCATGCAGTGTACAAAATCAGGAGTTGAATTTCGATCTACCCATGGCGCCTCGGTGACCATACGCGCACCTTCCAGAAATCCTAGTTGCACCCTGCCCAAGTTTATTGCTCACAACCGCGCCCCGCTCGCCACACAAGGAAAGGAAACTGGTGGCTCGATATCAAATAAATTACACCCGTCTGAAGAAGACGTGTCTCTTTTATCATTCCACGCACGCTCTCACTGGAAGAGATCGACCAGTCCAAATCTATTCATTTCATGGTACATCCAGCCCCTAGTATGTGTCTACACACTCGAGTGCAGTGGGATGCTGTCGTAAGGGTATTAATCAGTCCGTTACTCTCCACGAGTCGAACCATTTCATATATCTGTAGTTCTTGTTCGGACCGACCATTCCCCAAGAGATTGGCATGAAGTATATGTAGAGGCCGATCGTCAAGGCGTACAGGAAGCCGTAGGCGGCGACTTGTACGGTCTTGCCCCGACTTCGAAGCATCCAGTCTGTGACGAATCCAAAGACGAGGAGAGCGAAGTAGAGAGCAGGATAGTAGTGATGGACGTAGGTGACACGGCCCATGGAGACGAAAGGAATGTAGTGGAGAAACCATCCAAGAACAGGATAGAGACCGGCGTAGTGGATTTGGTCGATATCCCATTCCCTCAACTCCATGTAGCCGCGCTGCCATCTAACGAGGTACCAGCTGAACATGAGAGCGACAAGACCGAGAGAGGCAGTAGAACCCCAGTAGACAAGTGGGTTTCCGAGAAGATAATACTTGACGATGTTATCATCCCAACCACACATACGGAGACCAACATTGAGAATCGGCCATTGCCAAAATTCGGAAGCGAGATCGTCTTGCTTGTCGGGATCCGGGACAAGAGCATTATTGGATGTCATCATGGCGACGTTCAAGTGAATGAAGTCCTGGAGGAAAGGAGACTTGTAGGCTCCAGCATCGGCGGCAGGGACTTCGACACATTAGCGAATTGGTCTCAAAGCGGAAATAAAGATTGATTCCTTACGCTTGTCATTCCAGTGGGCCTCGACGTTCCAATGGGTGTAGACATCTTTAGGGTTGTTGGCTTTGTCACATGTAACCTCAATCTGCTTGAAACCCCACTGTGGCAAGTTGACATTACCAGCGCGGAGATAACAGCCAAGAACGGTGTGCCTAAGTCTGAATGCAGTCGTCAAGGTTCTGATCTTGGTCTTGTCACCTGAGCCAACATCCCTGACGACCTCCATTGTCCAGTGATCCTTCTCGTCACCAACAGTGACGTTTCCGTAACAAGAAACTTCTCGGTCGTTCTTAGTAACGGGAGCCGAAACCTCGTGGGAATGGAGATTACGGCCGGTCTGGGAATGGAGGAGACGCAAGACATCACCATCGGCAACGAATTTAGGCTCTGCCTCCGGATCAAGGTCAGGTTGGGCGCGGTTGGGGAAGAACCACCATTCGTTGTTGGCATCTTTGTGGTGGTAGCAAGTAACCTGTTGTTGAGTTGAGCCTTCGGGGTAGGTCTGGACATGAGAGTGGAGAAGACCACCACCGTAACCCATATTCTTGATCGTAGCTCTGGAGCCGTAGGCGATCTCCAGAGGGCTGTCCTTTCCAACCTCGGTACCTCTAAGGTTAGCCTGGAACAAGGAACTCATTTGGGCGTCTCCCGGACCACTGTTTTCGAGAATAGCGAAGTGCAGAACGAAAGACAGCATGTAGATGCAGATTGGGATGACGATTAGTCCAACAACTCGAGCCACAACATGGGAGGCAAGTTCAACCTGGAGAGCATTAGCAAGAATCCAACATAAGAAGTCCCGGCAACTTTTACCTTTGGCATCTTCAGATCGCCGAACTTGTTCCAGAGGTCCTCGATGGTATAGATTCCAACCATAGCAGTGACGAAGAAACCAACCCACTTAACACTGTCCACAAGTCCAATACTGATTCCCGTCAAGACAAGCCAGGCAAACCACTCAGCGCTAAAGCTCTGGTCCTGCAGTCTGTGAAATCTGGCCCAGCACAGGACAGTGGTGAAGGTGAAACATAGCAGCATGGAGTCGAGGAGGATGAATCTGCTGATAGTGGTGTACGAATTCTCACAGAGGACCATTAGTGTGACAAACCACACGGCAGGACGCCGGAAGTTCATTTCGCGGGCAGTGTAATAAGCCAGTGGGACACAGACTGCTCCGAAAAAGGCGTTGAAGGCCCGCATGAAGGTGTAATTGAGCTCGTCGGGGTATTTTTCGCCGGACTTGAACTCGAAAGACCCATTGTAGCCAGCTATGTACCCGGACAATCCAACCAGCATCTTTCCAAGAGGAGGGTGGACATCGAAGTAGAATTCTCGTTTGAGGTAGTGGGAACCGAATTTACCAAAACTATAACGGCACATCAGTCGGAGGTTCTGCAGGGCTGAGAAGGGGGTATTCCGCACTGGGCTTCGTCCCATGTTACGATAGGCGAAAGACCAATCTTGTACAAGCGTGTGAAGAAGGCCAAGAACGTGAAGATGACGGGCGCGACGATGAATTCCCACTCATCCAGAAACTGTAGGAAAGTCTGCTCGGGCTGCAGATGAGGTGGTTAGCAGTGTTTCTTGTTGAAATAATCCAGATTCTGGAATGGCAGAGAGCGGCAGCGGCGCACCTTCTTCTTCGTCTGTGTTTTCTTCTCATCCACCTCTTCCACTCTATTCACAAGAACTCCATTAGGTGAGTTCGCAGCCACATTGCGCTTGCGGGCTGCCTGGATCTCGGCGTCGAGGCCTGACGCGATAGCTACCTTCTCCGCAGTCATCGCAGAGACTCTCTCAATCACGGTCGCGGATATTAGAATTCAAAAGGATCCAATCCGTCGAGGGCGAGTGCAAGATAAAGAATCTCGATCTGCGCAGACTGTGTTGGCTGGGAATCAGGAGACCCGACCTTGGGGATTCGTAAAGGAAGGTTGAGAAAAAGGGTCGAGAAATTGAAAAAGAAGTACTTAGTAATTGGCAGAGACAAACATGTCGCTGCACAAGAACCTGCAGCGTGGGATTTGATTGAAAACCACAAAGACCGGTGAAAAGGGAATTCGGTGATAGTGGTTATTGAAGAGGCACAGCTGAAGGAGATCGCGTTGGAAGCTGTAGGCAGGGTTAAATTGGGTTGAGTAAGGGGGAAGGAAATTCTATTTCGAGGCTATCCTTGCAGCCGCCTCGCTAGTCTGTGGCTCGCCCAGCTCAGGACACATTTCCAAGAACGTCCCCTTTTTCTCCTTCAGGTACTTTCCGAGCGGACTAATCTATCTATATATTTTCTTCTCTGTCTCACCAAAAGGAAAAAAAAGGCATCCCTTTCAATCTCCTTCATGCCCTTAGCCGACCCCCGTATAACATAACTATCAGTATTATTGCATCGTGGCTCCGTACTTGTTTTGCAGTTCACTTTGCGATCTGTCCACTTCGGATACCTACCGTACCTAGGTACCTAACCTAGCCAGCCACTATGTCCACCCACGTGATGACTTCCCCCGTGCTGGAACAGCAGATTTTCCTACCGATCTTTATTTACACTCTCTCTTCTTGAGCTTATGATATCCAAAAAATTGCTTCTTGAGAGGAAATCTTTATGCTCATCCACTCCACTATCAAAGTCCCTGGTAGGTAGATCAATTTAATCATTATGGTAGCCAACATACAGAGTAAAGCCCATCCATTTCCCGTTCCATTCCTAGGTTGCCTTATCAAACCGCCATTATCCCTCACTTCCACTGAGGGTTTCTTGTCATGATAATACCAGTAACGAGGCCAGTGATTCATCCTGGTGCTCGCTTGCTGCATTGCCGGACAATTTGTTTACGCGGATCAAACCTGTGGGTATGGATTTCACGTTGCCACCACTCCCAGAACATCGTACCGCTATCCTCCTACAGAATTCCGTTGCGGCCAAGTTCGTACTTCACGATTCTCCATTCCGAATATGCATCGTAGGAATTTATCATCTGTCTTCTCGTCTGGCTGCGCGCAGTATCTCAAGAGGTTACGATGCGAGCGGGAAAAAGGCTTCAGCTCTGGGTAAATGGTCGTGAAGGGCTTTCCAATCGACCAGTTATCGATGTCTCTGCAGTACTCCCAGAAATCCCGGCTCACCGTCCAACCGTCTCGGCGCCTGCAAATCGCGTCCTGGACCTGGAGGGGGCGCGTCCGGTTACAGTTCAGACAAATGGTCATCAGGAGAGTGAATTCCTCCGTGGAGTATTTTTCCTGTTTCTTCTTCTTTTTTTCTTTTCCTTAGAGTTCGGCACAATGTGAGAAGTATCGGGATCCGCTGGGAACCTGACTAGGTGAAGGACAGACGTTTGGTCAATGAACCTCTGCCCTGATGATCACATCTCCGAAGGCTGGCGACGAGATAGGACATGACCAAATCGGAGTCGGGGACAAGCGTTGCAAGTGCGAGGGCTTCGCGATTTCGTACTTAAGGGCTTATCGGGAAAAGCATGATAGGGGGAGAATACATATTCCCCTGTACCTACCTACCTGGCTAACTTCTCAATGAACGAGCGGGAGGTGACGCGCTTTACGACTACGTAAGTCGCCCAGCATACGGGAAATAGGGTCGGAAAGCAGTGCTTGTTAGCCGCTAAATTGCTTGGGGAGCGGGTATGCATGGTCCCCCGAGATCTTCGCCTCGAAAGGGAAGATCACACGGACCGGAAAACACGGCGAGGGACGTACGGCGAGAGAGTTCCGGGGCGACGAGCGAGTTGACGTTCGGATACCGGGGTCCATTCTCGCTAAGCTGGCCGCTGGCTTTGAGCGCATCTTGCTGTTGTAGCAGGCCGCAAAGGAATCAAGGAGAACATCGAGGGGGCCTGTTGTCTCTCTGAACTGCAGGTCATACCGGTACTCCCACACTGCATGTACGACTGATTGATTCGCAAACGAGGTCGGAATGGGTGAAGGAAACCGAGGTGTAGGACTTGGAGAATACGATCTGGCACAGACCAGCGCGGAGAATCGACGCTCGTCCTTGACTTATCGACATGCTCAGAGTTTCTTGGGGCGGTCTCGGCCACGAGTTCGATATTACCACATCGAGATTACCGGTTTTCTCCACAGACTTGGCCTTGTAGGCTGAGGCCTGAGCTTTGCAGACTCAATCAGCCTCGGTGCATTTTAATGTTTCTGTGCTCTCAAGACTGGATTGGAACTCGAGGAACGCCGTAGCCACGCGAGATAGATCCCATTCGGTTGTCAATCGTCACGGGGATTGCGAGCAATAGGCACATACATTTTAGATATCATCGATTCAAGTCCAGCATGAGGCAACGGAAAATGAAAGTGCAATTGAAGTGCTATACAGCACAGTATCAAGGACTCGCCTTTTCACACCTCGACTTCTCAAGCATCAGCCGCAACCCACGCAGCTCCTCCTCCAATGCCTCCGTCCGACGCTCAGCATCCTCCAGCATGGCCTGCTCCTCAACCAGCTCCTCAATCCTCGCTTCCAAATTCGATACTGCCCAGAAATCCAGATTTAGCATTGCCATTCCAAGTGAACCACAAAAAAAAAGGGGGGGGGGGGGCTTGCAATGCTTCGGGAGATGGAAAAGAAGCCGCTGGACCCAATTAAGGCCGGACAACCCCGAAGCGACAAGAAGGGGTAGAGGAACGTCCCATGGACATTACCCACTGTGGTCTCGTGTTCGCTGACGCACTGTACGTTGCGCATTGCGGTCTACAAGTCGTTTGCGCTCGAGCTGGTCTGCGTTGAGGTTCGATACTACTCTGCTTGCTACGAGGAGGGGTGTGTTAGCAGTGCGTTTTTCTGGATGGCGGCTACGGCAGTTACTCGCGAATATGAGGGGAAGTTTGAGGCTTGTCTCTACGTAATAGAGAAAGAGAAAGATGGAAGGTCGCACCCTTTGGTTTCTTGCGAGTCTGTTTCTTGCCTGCCGCCAGGCCTTTTACATCGTCACTCTCTTTCTGATCAGTGGAAGACTCCCCAGCCACATCTAATCTCGGGTTCGACGAGGCTTCTTTCATGGTCGACTAGGTACCTAGTAGGACAGCAAGAACTAGCAAGCAGCAAGATACGAGGTAACCAACCTCGAAGATTTGTACCCGGATACATGAACGACGGCTGCAGTTGTGATAGAGTTCGCGTTAGCATGTTCAAGACTCTCTAGCCGGATCGTCGGATGCACCGGGCTCTTCACATCTCGGTTGCTACTTATAGTACTGTAGTAGTTGTATGTCTGATAATGCAGCAAGCAGTCCTTCTCGCTCTGTCCGAATCAGAGCTTTGTGAGTAGTCTTGATAATGATTCGAAGGAGAAGCGAGCGTTCTGGATTGGAACACGAGAATGATATAGATGCAGCATGATGCCTTCCAAAGGCAGAATAACGCAATATGGATAGTAGAGGTAGATAGACGTTAGACGTAGACGGCGGTGTGTAAGCATGAAAGGCGGGAGGCTGTAATTGTCCGGTAGAGTCGGTAAGCGGTAGTTGTACGTAGTATGTTTTGTGGAAAGCGGCAAGCCGAGTCTGGAAACTTTGTCGTTCCATACTCCGTACTGTAAGTACCGGACACCCGGGCCAGTAGGCACTTTTTATTTATTTATATTTGAACTTAGTTGATCGTGGTGACGATGTTGACGGCTTGTTTTGTCCCTGCTCGTCGAGCACTGGAGGTTGGCCATCGTCATTGATGCCCCGACCCCTGGGCTGATCAATTTCTCTTTGTTCTGACATCCCGGCTCATCTGGTCAGAGTTCGACGCTCGGGGATGGTTGAAAAAAAAGTCAACGATTTCCGTCTATTTAAAGACTAACGCTGATCTCAAACGGTTTGATGAGCGTCTCTTTAAAGAAAGGTTTAGAGGACCGTTCAAACGAGCCCCTACCTGCCTGTACCGTAAAGGACGGAGGAGGTGAGCGAGCATACAAGTATATTGACTATCTTGATACATACTACTATACGTACATGTGTATATAAATATAGAAGTAGGAGAAGAATCGCATGCTCTGTATGTTCGTTTCTTGTTGACATCTTCGGGATATGGATAGGGGTCTGAATTTGGATTTGGGTTTGGGTTTGGGTTTGGGTTTGGGTTTGGGTTTGGATTTGGATTTGGATTTGGATTCGTGTTCGGAACCATCATTGAAGTTCCTCCCGATTTCAAGGACAACTAGTAAGTACCGGTAGTACTGTAGAGTCGTACGAAGTATTTGGATTTACTACGTACTACCGTACCGGTACTACAAGTACTCCGAATCTACGGTACCGGATGCCGCTGGGGACCGACCAGCGCTTGCCCCGATCTGGACTAGATGATGACCCCAAACCAAACAGGGTTTCAAGATCACGATCTGGGTGCATGGGCCCCACTCACTCCAGTTTAGTTGCCCTTTGTCCTCGTCGGTCAAGTTTAGCTTTCGTGATTCGAACTTGGAAATTGTGCACTTGCTCTTGCTCTGGCACTTGCTCTTGCTCTTGCACTTGCACTTGCACTGGCACTTGCACTGGCACTGGCACTTGCTCTGGCACTTGTACTTGTACTGCAAACTCAAAACCTCAGCACATGTGAGCATTCGGCCTAGAGACCATACGCAAGCAGGACTTCCTTCTTTTCCACTTCCCCTCGCCTTCGCTGCTTTCCTCGCCCTCCCCTCGCCCCCCCTCGCCCTCCTCCTCCTCCTCCTCCTCCTCCTCTTCCACTCTCACCAGCGCAACGTCGATCGTTCCTGGATTGCATCTCCAAGCACAACATAAATCATGGCAACTCTCCGGTCCCTGGTACTGCTGGTGGGGTTGGGCATGCTTGTCTCCGCTCAGTCTATACAGCCTTCGAACGTCTCGTTTTCCAAGTCGGACAGCATGACGAATCTGCAGCTTAATGGAGGCGCAATGTTCGATGAGAGATTCTATGCAATCGCTCCTCTCACCGAGAATGTGGGCTTGGGCATGAGCCAGACTGCCGTGGGCGTGCGTATCGCTTCCTCTTGAGGTTGGCATTGGCAGATATCTGATTGTTCTACAGGCTCAAGCATGGAATGGCGCGTTAAAAGCAGTCGACTATACGTCTGCGGGCAACCTTAACAACACCGACATAGCCTTCCTCAGCTGCGATCCGAATGGCTCGAATATCAACCCCTCCGACGTGGTGAGAACAGCGGGGGATAGGAAGCCTGCGGCTATTGTACTTTACAGTCTCAGCTCCCAAGAATGCAATCTCACCGGGGTATACCCTTATACCACCATGTACACTATGACCTCGCGGCAGGACTCGACAGCCGTTCTGAACTTCGCGATGATGTTCAGCAGCCAAGGAGGAGGTCCGATTGCCACACGTATTGGCGTCAACAATGGCACATCATCAGGGCCAGACGGTGCCCAGCCATCTGGAGATGCGAGTAATACGCCTGGCAGCCCAGGTCCGACCACTGCCGTGGCGATGAGCGTTCTTTACAGTCTGACGGGAATCATCACTCTGCTGTTCCTGGTAATCATCGCCGCGGGTGCAGTCCGAGCTCATAGGCATCCGGAGAGATACGGGCCACGAAATGGGTCGCCGGGTGGCAGACCAAGACAAAGTCGTGCAAAGGGTCTTAGCAGAGCCATATTAGAGACTCTTCCTACGGTGAAATTCGGGGACCCAGGGCCGGTCAAGCCAAGCAGCGTCGAACTCGAAGAAGGGCGAGCAAGCCCTCACGATGCCCCTACTGATGGCACTACGGCAGTGGCTGCAGCAACGACGCAAACCAGGGAAGGGGAAACGAGATCATCTTCTGAGACTAATTCCGGGCCCGTTGGGGTGGCTACAAATGCCGCATCCGTCAAGAGTGTGGACGAGGCTTCTCCAAACGAAGACAATCTGGGCTGTTCAATTTGTACCGAGGACTTTACTACTGGTGAAGATGTTAGGGTGTTACCTTGTAATCACAAGTATCATCCCGCATGTATCGATCCTTGGTTACTGAACGTCTCCGGAACCTGCCCGCTATGGTATGTACATTCTCCAACTTTTCTACGATGGCTATTAACACGTCGTAGTCGACACGATCTACGTCCGCCTACCTCGGCTGGCCCCAATGTCGGAGGCGTAACCAACGCCGTTGGAGAGCTTCCTCCACCGCTGTCTCTGAATGAAGGCGGCATCAACAATGGACCAGCTTCCAGCGAAGGCGAAGGCAGTTCTCACCACCGTCACCGGGTTTCTCGTCTGCTTGATCTGAGCCGCCTTCGCCACGCACCTCCCGATGAGCGAATTGCAGCCCTCCGCCAACTCCGAGAGGAGACCCAGAGAACAGGAGAGTCAACAACAGAGGTAGCCGAGGAGCCCAGCCGGCGAGCAAGGCTGACTGGATGGCTGAGAGATACATTCCGTACTCGAGTCGGGGCACAGAACGATAACACTACCTCTTGAAGAGGAGCCGACAGTAATACCGGCTGGTGATCATCACCATGTAAATGATCTTGGTACCGCGCGAACATACGAATTTCATTTCAGTATACCTCCCGCGCCATGACTAGGATCACAACTATAGCAGTAGTACAGATGAGTTTTTTGGGAAGGGACCCAAGCATACACGGCGTTCTTTTCCGGATTTTGGCATTCAGCTAGAGCGGTGGAATACTGCCAATAGGCGGGACTGGAGTTGCATAACGTGGGCGCTTTTTCAAAAAAGTCGGATGAATCGGCCAGCTCATATAATTTATGACTGCGATACCTGGTAAAGGGGCACAGTACTCGACCAATGGTTTGTGGGATATATTGCAGGGCAGATATGATTATGAATGGAATGAATCTTCAGTCGTGGTCTATATTTGCACCTTCCCTACTTCACAAAGGTATGAGCAAGCATCATCTCATTTCCGTACTATTTGTCATGTGCATACCCCCCGTTCTTTTCTTTCTAATCCTTCATAGGTGATTTACATCCAGAAGCGGAAATCCACTCTCCCCCTCAAACCCTCAGCAATCCTTCAAGCCACCGCTCACTGAACGCCTCGCACGCTCTCAACGTAGCACTCGCATTCTGTCTTCGCCGTCTCGAAGACCTTGCCATCTCCATCGCCTTCCTCGGCGGTAGCCAGCTCCTCAAACCTTTTCCGACGCTAGATGGAGCATTGAGTCGGGAGACACCCAACTCTATCATGGGGATGGATCTCTTCCACCGTGATAGGACCGACGGCCGGGCTGGCTGCGGAAGGGACAAGGAGACGCACCAGCGCCACCTCCGGAGCAGGACGACGACGATTCCGAGGCTGTTGTGTGGATTCTCTTTTGCGGAGAGGAGAGTATCGAGGCTGGGAGAATTGCGAAGTTTTCGCGAGGCCTCCGAGTTTGGACGTTGCAGAGAGACTGCAGCGAAGGAGGGAGGGCATATACCTAGGTTGTATCTTTGTGATACATATGGGGCGAGACGGATAGGGAGGTGAGGAGGGATGTGCCGCCTAGGGCGCCGGAGCAGCCTGTGAGCAGGACGGTGTGTTTTCCTGGGGATGGATATGTTGTTGTTGTTGTTGTTGTTGTTATTGTTGTTATTGGACCTGAGAGAACCCAATTTTCCATCTCAAGGTTCTGGAATAAGCGATGTATTTCGTGCATTGAGCGGCATGCTTCTGTTGGTCTGTACATCACACACAGACATTGGCCTGCCGTTGAGCCAGAAGAGTGGATGAAGCTCTCTAATCTGTTTTGAGAAGTGCTAGGAGAGAGAGAGGGGGGGGGGAATCACCAGAGGATTCAGAACAAGTCGAAATTCCCTTCTCGGGTTCTGGAGGCTTCTTGATCAGCATAGCAGCAGCCACCACGAACGGGAAGACAGAACTCAAAGAACGTAGTCAGGCTAGAGAGAGAGGTCAGGAGTCAGAAGCCCGGAAGAGCAAGTGCAGAAGGGAGGAACCAGAACATCCACGGCATTCCAACCTAAATCATATAGATCCTGCCTGACGCACTTCTTTCCCCCCCGCGCCCCCCATGTCAATCTTGCTGTTCATATTGGAGGTCTCCCAGACAGGCAGACAGCGGCTGCGAAGCTGGCGCCTCAGTCGCCGTGCGCCATTCACTAATGGAAAGACAAGGAGGGGGAGAGAGCGGGCAAGACGCGAGAGTCGGCAATGGGCAGGGAGAGGGCCAGCCAGATTACCTTAGGTATTCGGGGAAAAAAAAACAATTTAAAAAAAAAACCCGACGTACATCACGAGAATGAATACATAGTCGCATTGGGCTCTCAAACATGTATCTATGTCTAACATTACCATCAAAAATTACTGACGCTGACGAAGTGTCGGTAGCATTGTGGGTGTTTGTTTACCCGACTCACACACACACACTCACTTACCACTCGCTAAATAAGATGCATGCCGGGCGCACACCTTACCCACCCAAAAGACGCAAAAAGAAATATGGAAGAGGTATTGAACCACACCCGATTTGAACGGATAACCTTCCGCTTGATCCATTACTGGAGGCGGACCTGTCACAAGTTAGAATTTAGATCCTCTGATTTAAGAGATGGGGGGACTCACGCGCTGCCGTTGCGCCAGCAGTCCTGGTAGATGATTTTTGTGGCTGAAGGTAGATTTATAAATCAACGACCTATCCGGGGCCCCAAGAGCTCTCGTGGCATCTGCCCCAGACGGAACATTATTATTCCGTGACCATCCGAGAAAGGCGGGATGTTGGGCTGGGCAATCAATGGTGGGACTTGACGTCTGCACTTTTCGGATTACAGACCAGCCTACGTAGGACCGGTATGAGCTAGCGTATTACCAATCCTCTGCTCCCTTCACTGCGAAATCACCATCTGATGCGCGATCATCCTCCCGTGATCAGTACTTCGCGCCAAATTGCTCTTTGACCCGCTGAAAAAAGAGTTATGGATGGCGATATCATCGTCGTACCTTGGTCCCCCGGTGGGCTACAGCATATTATCACAGCGGGAGGTCATCATTACATTGGGGCCGTGGACGAGACCACAATCTTGAAGTTTCCACACTTCAAAGGGACTGGCCGGGAAGGTCTCGATGCCGAATCCAAAATACTGCAGCGTCTCGGCACACACGATCGGATCATTGGATTGGTAGGTCAGCATGAGGACGGTGTGTTGCTAGAATACGCGCCGAACCGACAAGGGATCTGCCAGTCGAAGAGAGGATCCGACTTGCAAGAGAGACTGCTGAAGGGGTTGCCTATGCTCATCCGAAGAACGTTCTGATCTGCGACATCCATGTTCGGAACATCGGACATCCTACTCGATGCCGGGTCCCATGCCAAGTTGTGCGATTTTCAAGGCCGGCTGTTGGGTCCGAACGGAGAAATCCTCGTATCTGGGGGAGCGTCGGAAAACGCAGAATCGCTCATCATGCCTTGAGAAGACAAGGACCATGCGGACGCCAAGACCGACATCTTCGCTCTGGGGTCAACGATCTATTTCATCATGGCTGGGCATAGGCCGTACCCAGAGTATGACACTATCGACGGCGAAGCGAAATTTGAGGAGCTGTAACTCAACGCGCACTTGCCTCCTCCGGATGCAAGCCTGGGTGGGATCGTAGTTGTAGTTCACAACTGCTGGAAGGACGCAGTGGATGATCTCATGCTCTTGGAACATTCGACGTGAGCAGCAGCGGCTAGCTCATTCTGCCTACAAACGTTTCTCGGGGATGTGTTTGAGGCTGCAGATGTGAGAGAATTTGTCTTCATTTACAACTCAGCAAACATCAGAAGCAGTGCTTCACACCCATTAGCAAAAGATTGGCAGATCTTGAAATGTCAATCAAAAAGGTTAAGCGATAGGATGGAGAGCTAGGCCTGTCTGTCGTAAGCTTCATTATTCCCGTATCATAGTGTTCTTCGCAGCTGTGAGTTGCGAACTCAACCCGTTTCACAGAAAACAATTGAAAAAAAAAAAAAAAAGGGAAAAACATACAACAGCAGGTATTCGCTGGTGGTCACCCACCCAACTACTAATCTGCCGATCTGAGGCTTGTGTATGGCAGAGCGAACGGGATGCCCAATTCCCCTCAGTCTATGATCGTATGTGTCAGGAAATACTGTACTTGAATCTAAGAATCCCTCGAAAAGATTTGTGAGGCATGAGTTGGATCAGCGCCGACGCTGCTTTTCGAGGAGGAACTAGATTCCATCCAATCGTAAGAGACCAAGGCTCATCAATCCGTTTCCAGCACTTCCGCTCCCACTCTACATTACCCTAGGCCGTTGACCTCGTGCGATTCTACCTCGCTCTCCGCGGCGAAGACTAGTTGCACAAGTGTAATGTGTTGGCCGTCCGTCATCTGGAGAGATATCGGGACGTCCCTCTCCCCGTGGTCTCACTGCATACGTTGATTGGTACCGGTAGGTAAGCAGGCCTTAGTTGCTACTCTTAGTTACACACACAGACAGGTGTTTGGTGTATATCTCCTCCCGACCTCATAAATGTTAAAAAAAAAAAAAAAAAAAAAGTACGTTTCTGTTGAAGAGCTGTTCTCGAGCGCGTCTTCTGCTCGCCCAAATTACCCCCTTTCTACGTTTCCAGGCGTGAACTGCTGGGCCTCGAACAGATCCTGCCAGGATGCCAAAGCCACTCACTGCCGTGACGCTGGTGCGGTCATCCGCAGCCATGGAAGCTTGGAGTTGTGCAGACACGAGTTTTACTCCACGAGCCGCTCGACGTTCCGGGGCCAGCCATCAGTGAGTGCTGCGCCCGAGGTGAGCGTGACCACGAGGCTGGCAATCCTTCTGGGGCTCAATCCAATGGGTCGTATGTTGTCAGGCTCGGCATTGTCATGTGAGAGAGCAGGGCTTGCTCGATAGATGTTGGAGACAGATGGCTTTTCTGGATCGAGTTCAGCCGAGTTGAGTTTGTTGATCGAGTTGCAAGTAGCGGATGAAAACGCATAGCGTGAAGCAGAATTTTGAAAAGGCGGGATCTATGGAGTAGAGATGAATCAGACCTTTGCGAGACACTTCTATCAAGGACTTGGCTGCCGAGTCTCACCGGCTCAAATGATGGGGAATTTGGTGGCTAGAATAGGAAACCGACAATTCGGATAGCGGAATTCGCTAGGTGGTATATTTGTTTTGCTTCTGACTTCTTCGTTCTAAGCGAGGATGGATCCACTCTCAAAAGACATCAAGACTGTACTTGAATCTACGCAAAGAAACCATCGTTGTTGCTACGGCGTGGACCAAATGCGTTGGTAACTGAGATATCCTCTTTCCCCACAAGCCCTTCCCATGAACAAATCTACGTCTAGCAGATTGTTGAAATCAACGTCCCTGTTCAAAACCACGCAATTTCCGTCCAACCATCCCGACGCCTTGAATGCCCAGTGCCTCCTCCCAATAGAATCCAATTTGTATCATACATCATCAACCAACTATGTACCACCAACCTACGGTACGTCCCCTGCCACAGTGCAAGTGCTAGCACCCAAGACCTACGCCTTTACTGGGATCTTGCGACGCAGCTTGATGGTTTGCTCATACAGAACATCTTTGAAGGCGAACAAGAAAGCCGCGGTTAGAACACTCTGGGTGACCTTAGGTCCAATACCTACTGTAATTAGCACCAGCCTTGGTATGTCAACAAACAGCACAAACCTTTGTAAAGACCAGCATATCCCTCCTCGTTGATGACTCGCCTCATAGCCTGCATCATGTTCTCCTTACCACCATCGCGACCAGCAACGTGCATCTGGCTCTTCACCGTAATGTAAGGGTAGGTAATGCTTGTAGCAAACAGCTTCCCCAAAGCGCCGAGCAAGAACGCAATGGTAGGCGTAACCCTCCTCCTCTTCTCGATCGAATTGCGCAACTGCTCGAAGATTGTGTATTGTAGGATCGGATTGATGACCAGTACCAGTGCGGGCGCAACGCCCGAGAACAGGGCCAAGGGTCCCTCCTCCTTGATCAAGGCCATCAGCGTCCCAATAGTAGTCGGCTGTCTCGGCGCCACGGACCCAGGCAAAAGCCCCTCAACCGTCTCCTTGTTCTTCTTGCGGGTCGTCATGCGCGTGTTGACCACCCAAATTGGGTTGGTGAGCATCACTGTTGCGGATCCCGCGATGGCCCCGGCAATCATCGACTCGACGGTTGTGAGTCTCTTGGAGGCTCGGCCAGCCGTGACTGCGGCTTTCTCGAAACCGGAGCGTGTCCATTCGTACCAGTAGTAGTAAACGAAGTTTGTGACGCTGATGCCGAAGAGGGCAGAGTCAAGACCAGCGTAGAGACCGGTTACGCCCTCCCTTTGTACGATGCGCTGGACGGTGCTGAGGAAGTCGGAGTCGGCGCGCTTGGATTCGACTTGTGCACGCGTGGAGAGGGTGATGAGAGGATATCTAAAGATGGGCTTTTAGTATGGTTTCCGACTCTCTGCAAGAAAGGGAATACAGGCATACGTGAGGGCCATGGAGAGGATACCTCCGCCTGCCCCACTGAGGGCATGGGCGACATTGTCGGACTGTTGGGCAGCTGTAGTAGAGGACATGATAGTTGTTCTGTTGTGTTGTGTTGTTTTGTGTTGTTTTATTTTAAAATATGGAAAGAAAGGATATCAAGGAGAGGGAAGTGGTCAATGTAATATCGAATTTCTCTGAAGGGCCATCGCCAGTGATCACAATGCCCGAAGTCGACGATCTCCGTACCGAGGTTGCAGGGATTGGTGTATGGAGAGGGCATGTGTGGGTGGAGATCACGTGTCGTATTCACATACGGTAGTTTCTCCAGTTCTGGTAGAATTTGCTCTCAAAGCTTTGGAATGAGTCGAGTAGGAGCTAGATCTAGGATTGCAGGCGAAGAAGAGATTAGAGATTGGAAGAAGACGTATCTGGATCTCCAGCACCAGATTTGGGTAAGGGATGACAAGACGGTGAAGTACTGTCTTGGATGCGTTGCTGAACTCACATCGTTCTACCAGTATCTAAACAGCCTATTAATGGTGATAAAACTGGTTCCAATATTGCAGAGACCTGGTTCTCTGGATATGGTAACTGGGGTATTTAAAGCTGTCGTCGCCACTCGGTTGGGGAAATGTCGATCACCTGCAGTAGACAAATATCGTTGTTTATGGGCTTGGGCCTGCCTGGGCTCTGCCGTCTCGAGACGCATAAAAGGTGGCTTTGATTAGCCCGTAAAAGGGCTGTAGAAATTCGATTCGATTCTACTTTTAGCTGTTTTCATTTCGCATTCAGACAATTTGTTGGCTCCTCACTCGGTAAGCTACGTATTTGTTTTGTCTCACTTACTCCATCCGCACGGGAACGGAGCAGGCTGAGAACTTGCGGATGACGAACATGAACGTGTTTAGTCGTCCTGATTTAGGCTCCAGGATTTCTTTTTTGGAAAATTTCTGACGATGCTTCTCGATTGTATAGAGCCAGAGATCTACGCCGTCGATTCGTATGCGCATGGCTCCCACCAACTTGGATCAAGCCATAGCGCATCTTCTACTTGGGGACGGCCATAACCTGTAATATTCCAGAAACTCGCGCTCGCATGCAGAGAATATAGAACTCCCTGGGCCCGGTAAGCTAGCAGGCTGGACACGTTATGCATTATGAATGTATGTTGATGCTTAGCGAGGCGTTCCTGGATTCGTTGCTCGTGATGTATGGCGCAAACTTCGGAATGTCTATATTTATAAGCTGTAAGCAACTGTGAATTCTGTATTATGCGAGGAACCATCAGTCGAGTCCCGAAATTCCTTGGGATCAGAGTATTCCTTGTCCCGAATCCGCGATATCGAAACTTCAAATCGCCAGCAAGTACGTCAAATCCCAACGATTCTGCTGAGAAACCCATGTCGGAAGTCGCTTCTGCTTTTAAGCGAGGGGGGTAAGCGAAGAAGTCGGCATCTTTGTCGGTCCCGTACCTCCTCCCGATATCTATTTATACATCATTTTTTCTTTCTCTCTTCTGCGAAACGTAAAAGTAACAAAGTAAATAATCAAAAACAAAAATGATCTTCCAAACACCTCTCAATCTCTCGGCAGCCAACTTCGCCTTCCTCACGTTTGGGGTAACGCTCGCCTACTTCGTGATCCAAGCACTCCTCGACCTGTGCGTTCCGTACCTGGACCATTCTGTTACGCTTCACTGGTCTCTGGTATTTCTTTCAGATCTACCAAGGCGTTTTTGAGAAGGAGAATATCAGGCTGCACAAGAAATATGGACCGATTGTCAGGATTGCGCCTGGTGAGTACTCGGTTGATGATGTGGAAGTGGCGAAGACGATTTATGGGCATGGAAATGCGTCTGTCAAGGTGTGTACCAATAAACAACCGGCGTTACGAGGATCCTTGAGACTGGATTGTTGAATATCGATGTGGAAACTATTACAAAATAATTGGTACTGGGCGTGGATACCCCCAGACCCAACTAAAGCGTCTCTCTTCGCAGAATTGGATGCGCACCTCATGCCCAACAAGGGCGGAAATTTTCCTCGTTGTACTCTATGAGTGCTTTGCTGGGCTACGAACTGTTTGTGACCAAGTAGGTGTAGTCGGTAATCCATTCGAGGAATTCGGTTCTTCCTTTAAGGACTACCTGGCCGACCTTGATGATCTCTTGAAGTGCTTCTTTTATATTAGAGAGACCTTGCAAGACGAGGTTTTAGCGTTGGTGACGGTTTTTCGGATCGCGGAAATGCAAAGTTTTAACGGAAAAAAAGTGACGAAAAGTGATGAAGACAAAGGAAGCCGCTCCTAATCAGATTAGAGCTTATCCGACACTAATTGAATAGCTCGTAAAGCGTATGTAGCTTTTAACTATAGTGCAAATAGTTCACCGAGGTAGGAGGGGATTTCGTAGATTGAATAAAGCTTGTGGAATTCTATTTAGGGGACTGACGATACAATAATATATATACCTTAGTGCGCTTGTGCGCTATTTAGACGGCGTCCTGTGAGGACTTGGGTGGAGCCTCAAGCATACATAGGTAGCTGCTCCACCCAACCAGCTTAGACGGATCCTGAGGCATACCTTATACCATGGATGTTCCGCACAACAAAGAACAAAGAAGGGGTGGAGAGCTTGAGAGGCATATGCTGGCATTTGGGATGGGGAACAGGACGTGCATTGGTAAGAACATCAGTCTGTTGGAGATGAGCAAGGTTGTTGCGCAGCTGGTTTAGGAAGTTTGATTTTGAATTAGATGAAGAGTGTAAGGGGCAGCTGAAGTGTTTGAACAGGTGGTTTGTAAAGCAGACAAATTTTAAAGCTACGGTGTTGGCGAGGAAGGCTGAGTAGTTGGTCGGTTCTAGGTGCGAGCAGTTGGCGTAATTTTAGACAGGGCATACTTAGTAAATCAGACCTTTGGCAAGTGGATGATTAACACATGTGTAAACCAGCAGGGCATGTGGAGTTGTTTTGAAGTAAATCGTCCCATGCTCGCTTGGAGCTCGCTTGCGAATTTGATCCTTGAATAGATGAATGGTCCACTAGGCGTGGAAGTGGCGACTCTGTTGTCGCCGAAGGTGCTAAGTAAAGATGCTGAAAGTAATCACAGTATTCAAGCCCGCTCTAGGAAATCAATGACCGTGTACAGACAACAGTTTACACGCTCGTCTTTGTCTCCGTCTCAACCCAAAATCATCCATTGAGTGAAGATGATAACTGAGTTCACCAGCGAAACAGACAATGCCTTGCTCACTCACACATTGGACTTCTGCAACAAAGAGATCCCGAAATAGATTGTACCTTTCCTGGAACCACAAAGCCAATGTCGTGTTATACCTTTATACATCCGGCAAGGAACAAAGATATTATGTTGATTCTTCTATCATCAGTGTCGTGAATGGATCCATATATCAGAGGAAGTCCCATCGTACGAGATATACTTGCTGGGCAATACAAAATATTTCATATATCAAACTACCCATACCCTGCAATTAGTATTGTAGTATTAGTACCTTACACCAAAACGGGGAGAAGCTTGAACAGACAATCCGCAGCACAATGAACCATCCGAAATTCTTAGACTCCCTCCTCTTCCCACAAGCCAAACGCTACACTGTCCGCGACCTATCCATCTCACTCACCACAAACGCAGCAACCCGACTCGCAAACCGTCTGAGCCAGCACGAACTCGAAACCCTCCAGGGTCCAGTACCAGACATCGGAAACGAGTACGACTTGACCCGTCTAGCATCCAGCTTCTTCCCCCTCTTCGACAAGGCCTTCTTCTTCGGCGTACTGCGCAGGGGTATGCACCCCTCCCTCCCCATCCTGACTTACAACTCAGCAGATCAAGACGAGGGCTTCTACTCGCACACACAGCGACAGATACAGCTGAATCTCAATGTCGAGCCACCGCATGGTACTTCGGTAGGTCAGCGGCAGTTATGCGTACTGCTGCATGAGATGCTGCATGCGTTTCTGGAAATCTACTCCTGTGGGTGTCGCGAGTGTAGAAAGAGAGCTGCAGCGGGAGCGGGTATGGGCGTGGGGGAGAGTGGACATGGTAAGGAGTGGTGTAGTGCCATGAGTGCATTGCAAGGCGCTTTGCAGGATGGGGTGAGGTGGGATGTTGATTGTGGGATTCAGGTTTCTGTTGCGATTGAGGTGAGGGCGAGTGGATGGGGACCGAGAGGAGACCTGCTGAGGCGCTGGGGTGTAGATGAAGAGCAGCTGAGTCAAGATATCGAGGGGATGGTTGGTGTAACTGTCCAGAGGCGGATATTTGCTTTCCTCTGGATGAAGTGATGACCTGAGCGAGCGTGTCTCATATTCCCGTTAATTCGTTTCTTCATACAGGAGTGGACTGCACTGTGTAGTGATCAATCACAAATCATTATCGTTGCCTCCATCTTCATCAGCCCCTTTCCTCTTGACAGCTCTCATTCCTTCACCGTGAATCTGAAACTCCACGGCATCTTTTACGCCAGGTCCGCTAGGCGCGGCATGGGGTGCAAACACAACCTTCATCCATCGTCTCCATTTCTGGAGCACAGGCTCGCCTCTTTCGTTCTCCTCATCGGCCACCAATCCAGGCCCATATACAGATCTCCTGATCAACACTATCCTACATGATATTTGCGTTGTCCAAACTAAACCCAGACTAGGCGTTTTAAGACTCTTAGCACCAAGATGTGACGGAAAAGGGTCGTCCCCCCAGCCCGTAAACCATCTGTGCTGGTGGTCCAACGCCATAGGATCCATCGTGCTCATGAATCGAGTTTCTTCAACCTCAGATCCAGCTGGTACACTCGACATGGGGATCGAACTGTCTGGCAAACTTCCTCCAGGACCACTTCTTCTTGCCAAAGGACTACTTTGTGTTGGCCTCTTCAGTATGGGACTGTTGCCTACACTTCGGTCAAAAATTCTATCCGCGACTTGATTTGCAACCACAATGGCTATGTTCTGCTCTCTGGCCAAATCTCGCAGCAATTGGCCCAGCTTCACTAACTCAGAGCTTCTCTGAGCCATGTTTGCCTCCCTCCTTTGGCCGGTAGCAGCTCCGACCTCAGGTCGCTCAAATTCAGCCCTGTAATTCGCTGCAACGGAATCGAGGATGATGAGACGGATGCCATGCCTGCGGACAGCAACAGGGACCTGAAAACGGAGGATGTGGTCTTGGGATTCGAGGTCGGGAGTCACGATGCTGATTACTTGATCAAGCGTAGGCTTGGGGTCCGCAGCGAGAAGAACGGGATGTGATTTTAAAAGTTGAGAGAGCCGAGTCGTAGGGAGGGCGCTCTCGGTTGAGATGTAAAGCACGCTGCTGGAGAGCCCGTGAGGAGCTGGCAGTTGCACAGCAAGTAGAAGAGTGAGAAGGAATTGAGTTTTGCCCGCACCGCTATTTGTTGTTAGGTTTCGAATAGCCCTTGAAGCGTCTCTAAGGCCTACCTTTCGCCAGCGACTTCCGTTATATGACCAGTTGGAATCCCACCCCCCAGAGCCTGGTCCAGATCGTCGTCGAGAGTACTGATGGTATTCCACGAATTGACAATATCTTCTCCTGAAACCTTCAACAAGGGACTACCCTGAAGCCCATCTCCGTTATCCCTAATACCAAGACTTGTCTGCAACGCGTCCAGAACGGCATTACAGAGTCTCTTCACATCGAGGATGGGCAGCGATGCGCGTTTCGCGATCTCGGTAGGCTCTTGTGTAAGGAGGTCGGCGGTCGTGACCAGGTGCTTCTCGAGAGAAGGCAGGAGGCGCACATACTGTTGAGTTGGGAAGCTGGGCAGAACGCTTGTGAGGTCTGTCATGGAGACATCGTCGAGGGTTGTTGATGGTTTAATGGCGGCGCGGGGCCGACTTTGATGGCAGGCTTGGGTCGACGCGGCTGATACGGAGTGCATGCACACAGAAGCTTAAATTGACCTCTACGATAGTCACCCACTGATTTTTCAGACCCCATTCTTGCTTCGCTGTAATTCCTATAAGAACGCGTTTCTTCGTCTTATTTTCTGTCCGGGGTGTGAACCAAAAAAAAGATTGTCAGATTGCGTTTTTTTTTCTTTTTCTTCAAAGCCTGTTGGGGAGGGAGAGAGCAAGGGCGTTTATGGAGACGAAAGCTCCTGAAACCGTCGATCAGTTACCAACCTGTTTTCAAGCATGTTTTCTGGGTACGTTTTCTATCACAAGTGTGTTGTTCTTCATCTATTGCATTATTCTCGGAAAAGTTCGAATTGCTGGTTATCGATGGTCATCGACCATCTTTGCCGATTCCAGACGACGGATTGCCTCAGATGAGACCGAGTTCTCTTCTGTCGAATTGGTCCATTATCTTACGAAGAGACTCCTCTGTTTTCTGATGCTTAATTTTGTTCAACCTCTCCTATTCCAAGGCCTCAAACATCGCCATGGATATATACAGTACTTTCGATAATTACCACTCGTTTATTGCGCGAAAAGTTTAGCCTTCGTATATATCTTTGCCAAAGAAAGCAAGACAGACCCAACTTGAGACGCATGGATTTTTCATTCAAGAACTCTTGTCCTACGAATTTAATCGTTCGACAGTGACTTACCATCTGCTCTGGTGGTATCTTTCAGAGACTTCGATAATATTTGATGCGGCTAGATCCAGTGGCTATGACTCCCACCAGCCGAATAAGTATCAAGTTGAAGTCGACTGCACCTCTTGAGCCTCTCCAAGATTGTGTGTTGATTCATGTGGCTTAGTTCCTAATAACCTGGAGCAAGTTTCGTTTATGGTCTCAAAAGAGCGTTGCTAGAATTCTTTGTACAGATTGATCCCAGAATGGGTTATCATAATCTGTCCCTCCTTGCATGCTATCTGCCTACGATCCGCTCCAGCTTCAGCTTCGCCCTTGCCTCAATATGGAGGCGCACATCAAAACCGCCACGTAAATCGTTAATAGTACAAGTGAATACATGTCCTGATACTTATCCAACTATTGCGATCGGTATTAAGAGCTCTTTTCTCTTCTCCGTTCTGCAAGAAGCCCTCTTGACCTCGAGTTCGACCTGAACGCCGTTTCGAATTTCCGAAATTCCTCCTCCGACAGCTTGCAATGCGCAAGAAAAAGTTTCACAAACAAATTCTCGAAATGGGCATCCATGACCCGTCTCGCCCAAAGCAAGAGGCGCCAGATCCCTGCCGTAATTTTCAGCTCATGCAGCCACACATTTTCCCCGCGTCTCTATGTCTCTCGATAAGAAGATGCCACATCTCAAAACCTCAATTTTGCAGACATGTTGCCATGTGGCGAGGTGCGCAGGAATTGATTTCTGGTTAGGTACCTTTGCTCCCGCTGTCAGCATTAGCCCATGTGGTTTCTCTCTACCGACAAGGCAGGCAGTATCGATTCTCAATCCCTTCTTGTTCTTCTTTTTCTTCTTGATTCAGGGCTCTGTTCTTATGGCAAGCTCTGCTGCGTCTATATTCTGTAATCAGTTGATATTTTCAACTCAGTCATGAAGTGTCGCCCCTCAATCCTAGTTCTGGCATTCCTCTCCGTAGTCTCAGCCCTTGCTCTGAGTAACGGTCCAGCAATAGTCACAGCTGGAAATAACCTCGTAAAAGATAGTTCTGCTCCTTCCCCTACATCAGCACCTGATAATGAGCTTCGTTGTCGGCAAGATCTACAGAGTATATCGCTGGTAGGCCCAGATGCAATCTGTGGTTACATAGAGGGAAACGCATGTCAGTTTCGATTCTTTTTGAGCCCCCCCCCCCCCTCCATCAACAAAGAGCTGATGTTCTATGTATAGCTCAGCCGTGGAGATGCCAACCCCAGAGCTCAACTCGTGCATTTGCTACAGCAACTCTAAATATCGCCAAATGCACGGTGCAAGCCCTGCCTGCCTCCTTGACCTCTTCCCCTCCACCTTCTACCTCCAATAGCTCATTTAAAACGTCGCCGTCAATACAGATCAAAGCCACTACCGCTTCTGCAATACAGCCGTTCGGGGACGGAGGCAAGACGTCATCAGCCAAAGGGCCCATCATCGGCAGTATAGTCGGAGGCTCCTTCGGGCTGGTGTTGATAGCTGCCGCAGTCTTCTTCACCTATTTGCGATGCAAGACGTCCAGGAGAGGGTGAGGCGGCCACGGCGTCGTCCTAGCGAGCAGAGGACAAATGGAAACAGACACCAGAAAAATACCCCCCCGAAAAAAATGAGGAAAAAAATTACCTGAGAAGAAAAAGTAAAAAAAAAAAGGGGAAAACTATCAAAAAGTTCAGCCCGGTGTCGAATGCCTACATCTTTTGTCGTATCGAATTCCGCCGTTCATGTTGTCGTGTGTGGTTCGGTGCATCTAAACCACTCGGCCCCAAATCGTTACAAGTTGTTGATCCTCCCGCCAGATTGACCTGACAAGTACACCATCGTACCTGCGCCACTGGTTGAGATACACACTCAGTAACTTGAACTATGAAGGTACTCCAAAAAAAAAAATATCTCGGCATCAATTCGGGAAATAAGGGTTTCCGGATCAACGAAATGTTGAAAGCGTGCTGCCTCCTGTCATACCGCGACCGACACGCTTCATCGCGTCTCCATGTGCTTCTTCTGCTTTTGCTCTTACTCCTGAATTGCCGTCTACACGCGTGCCTCGCGGAGTTTATCTAGGATTGGGCCTGGAAGATTACACAGATGATGCGGACATCGGATGGATTCGTACTATATATATATCAACGAGGAGGAGGTTAGGCCAGTTGCTCTTCCGCTGCTACCAAAAGGATTTCACGGTTCTAAACTTCCCCTCCACGATTGCAGGATCGATCTGATTTCTCTCTCCGCTCCCTGTCAGAGTCGTAATTATTGCTCAAGCGACTACCCAAAGTGACTGGATGGTGGGTGCAAAACATCTGCAAGTTTTACCTAGCGAATATATTTGTCAGATTATTTTGACTTGCTACCTGATGTGCGATACAGCAGTAGAATCTCATTGCAGTCTATGTAGATTGGATAGGTGAGCACCGTCCTCTTTCTTCTGCTCCCCCCTACTCTCCCCTTTGCGGCCTTCGCTCAGCTAGGTGAAACCTTCTATAATCAACTAAATTCCATCTCGCGCAGAGCTTACAAAATGAGAAACCATGCTTCAAGCAGGAGGCGACCTGGAGAAAGTAAATAAGTCTCTTGCTTAGCACCATAATGCGAGCGTGTCGTTATTATTTGTACATCTATCTACAAATACGCATGATAGGAGCAAACCCAAAAGGGATTCTGCACATCATTATCAACTCCTAACCAATGCTTATTGATGACTCGATGACCAAGAACGCCTTCTGCCTTCCAAGTCCCTATTAGTGATTATCTCAGCTTTCATGCACCGTAAGTTGCGCTATGCCCGTATCTCTCCCTGCCCCTATCTGTCCGGCTTTCATTTGTGATGAAACTGGTAATTAGCATGTTTCGCCCGCTCCCGAACATTCAGTTCAGAATCCTGCATCAGCATCTCGATCTTGGCCAGGAAACCAAGTTTCTTTAGTTCGTTCGCGCGCTGGGCACAAGCTCCCTCGTCATGTTCGTCGTCCATCCACGTAAGATTCGTCACCAGCCAGCAAATACCCAGTCGGACCTCAACATTGGGGTGGCTGGAATGCTGTATCAAAAGCTTCAGCAAGTCTGTCTGTCCTATGATCAACTGTCTGTGACGGGGTACGCTCGCCGCCATGTGAACCAGGACGTAGCAAACGGCAATAATAATCTCAGCTTGCGGAGGCAAGATCTTTCGTTCGGTACTCTGTGTACCACGGCTGTATGGATTTATCAGCTTTGGCTTGAGTTTTGACGCGAGTATCTCGAAGATTCTGTCTTGGCCAAGGGCGCCGAATAGGAAGTCGATCATCTCCGTCGTATCGGCAGTACCCCCCTGGCCTGCACCACCGATGAGATTACGGATGAAATCGAGGCCCTGTTCTTGCACTGCGATATCGTCCTTCCGTGCCAACCCGGCTGGGTTCGTTTCTGCGTCCCGCAAGGCGACAAGTCGGGCCTCGGCCTGCTGGATATATTTGCTTCGACTGCTGGACTTCGAAACGGGTAGGTCAAGGGAGTTCCCCAATGCCGCATCTACCTGCTCTTCAAATCGGTCCATCACTACATCCTCGTCCATGCCATCACCCCGCGGGCTGCCCCTCTCGCTCTTCCCTCTCGAGTTGAGCAGGGCTTCGTCTTCGGTATCATCACATATCAATTGAACTAGCCAGCCCTGTCCTAGTTCCTCCAGGCAATGCCTCTTCATGTCATTGCCTACACCATGGACAAGATGCTTTAAAGCCCAGAGAGCATTGAGTCGTAGCTTTGCATTCACGGAATGAGCGTGTTCGCATAGAATCTTCAGTACACCTGCTTGTGCGATTGGCTCGAAAACTGTTAGATTGTCATCATATTCGGAGGTGTTAATGAGACGTACCTCGCGCATGGGACTGACGTCTGTAAGCAGGTTACAGATGGCAGCCGTTGCTGCAATCTGGACTTCAATATCAGAGTGCTGAAGCAGACGAAAGATGGGCTCGGCAACCCCGTTGTCTATCAATGTAGTACGCAGAACACTGACTGAGCGAGACAGGGCGCGTATAGCACCACAGGCAGCTATGAGCACTTCGACTGGATTGATGCCGTATCCCCCATTAAATTCGTCGCCGTCGTAACTGTCAGGAGGAGACTTCTCGGACCTCCGTCTAAATTTCATTGAGGGCTTTCGAGGCTTTGGACTCATTGATGACACGATATAAGGCATAATATGTTCATCAACTACAGCCTTTCTATACTCATCCTTGAATGGAACCAGTGCTGCAATAGCCTTCAGTACACTTTCTCTGACCTTGATCTTGTGTAATAATGCAGGAGGTTGGCCATCCTCTCCTAAGCGTGGAGATTGGACGTCCAGGTGATCTTCACTGTTTTTCTCGTCAGGCGACCAGGAGGACAAGCCCGAAGGCCTCAAAACAGGATCGTAGGAAAATTTCAGCAGCTTTGATAGCTTGCTGATGACACCAGCATCGAATGCGGACTTTTGGAGGTACTCGCTGTCGGTAATGAGCATAGCAAGAATCGCTGGAGCTCGTTCCTTCACTGTCCGATCTAGCGATATGATCTCCTCGTCCGCGAGAGTGTCATTGCCTTGCAAAGGAGTAAGATCGTCGCCAAGCATATGAACCAAAAGAGGTACCACAAGTAGACCGAGGGCTGTCTCTCTAGTTTTATGTGTCAAGCCCGCCCTATATAGCACGGTCAGGACCGAGGCAGCCATCAACCGCTCCATACCAGTTCGGTTTTTGAGCAGCCATATAAGATAGGCAATTAGAGGACTTTCTGGATCTTCTGATTCGGCCGATGGTGACTCCTGGGCTGGCAAGCCACGTTCCTGATTCGAATGAGTCCAGCTTGGAAGAGAAGAAGCGGTATATTTAGTCCCCGAGCGACCGCTGATGGCCAAATGCTGACTCGAATGAGAGCTTCCGAGTGGTGGAAATGCAGATGCTTGAGCACTTGTACTCTTGACTTGATGCAGAGGGACGAATGGCAACAAATAGTCCACTGCGTTGAGCTGGCTTTGACGTACGCTCAAAGCAGCAGAGTTGAATGCATTCCAAGCTGCCCGAGCGTTCTGACTAGCTCCGAACTCGACAGGTTGAGAAAAGGGAAAGATTGCTAAGATCGAAGGAGAATAGAGTAGCTGTGATGCTCTAAACTTGGAGTCAGCAATGATAACAGCGATTGAGTCTAGGATGACAGAGAGTTTGGCGTTTGGTGGAGCTGCCTGCGGGAAGAATTCTTGAAGACCCTCTCTCTGAGCTTGAACCTCTGCTCCGGGGATGACCAGTCCCTCGGCAACCACGAAACTTGCCAATTTGGCAGCAAGAGCTTCCAGGATTCCTGCATTTGAGAGAGCCTGTTGATGGCGTTCTTCCCGGCATAGCCTACTGATCAGAGACGCCGCAAGTGAGATCTGGATTTGAACAAGCGACGAGCGAGAGGACTGTGAGATGAGTCGGTACAGCGAGTTAAGATTCTGACGCGAGAAAAGACCGTCTGCTATTGCGCTTGTGTTGGAACTGTGTATGGTGGGAGCTTTGATGGTCGAGTTTGTAAGGTTTGAAAGAGCTCGAAGGGAGGCTAACACTAGCTGGGAAGGATTGCTCCGTGGGCAGAGGTTGGAGAGGATTGCTGACAGAGACGAGGCAGATTGCAAAGAATCGAGGAATGGTGGACCTCCTGTGAAAGAGGGTTAGCATCAGTGGGACTCGAGAAGCGGTAGATGTAGATGCGGATGAAGCTTAAATATATGTATACCTAGAGCTACACTCGCCAGAACCTGTAGACCTTGCAACCGGAGCAGCTCCTCTTCCAGTAACGGCCTTGATGCCAAGGTATGGTTTTCTAATTTCCCTTCTTGCCCATTTTCAGCTCTGTTGAATGTGTAGCGGACCACAGTTTCCAGGACGCCTTCTGTCACTGCGATTTCCTTCTTTGCAGGGTTTCCGACGATATCGTTCTTCAGGGCACGCAGACACACGATCTGCTCTGCCACAGTAGTCGCATTTCGAAGCTGTGCAACCCAGGGCTTTCGAGCCATGGCGGAGTCGGTCCTAACGGGCGGAGAATCGATGCGCCTCAGACAAGCATTCACGTTTCGACGGTGAGGCGGGACTATTATGCGTGTACAGCATATGCTGTATGATCGAAGAAGCAAAGGAGGGCTGTATGGATGCTGGATTCGCAGCAGAATCTGGCTCTGCGAACTTTTTCAGTATGGATGCTTTAGTCGGGGGCGGGAGTGGGTGTGCCGGGGGGGGGGGAATGTGGATGGATGGTTGTACATTGAAAAGGAAGGGTCTAGAGTCGATATCGGAGTATTAAAATCCTCGCCGACATTGTAGGTACGAAGAGCAGCCACAGCCACAGCCACAGCCACAGCTACAGCTACAGCCGCAGCTAGCCTTGTCAATAATGCGGGCAAACAAACCTTCGTTTGGTCAGAGCCGAACGGCATCTAATATATAGGTACTGTACTTTGCTGTAAAACTGCGATAGCGTCCTCCTCTACAGAGCCTTCGTAGTGAGACCGATTTCTCAACTGGCTCTGCACAATCTATATACAATAGAAATGTAGGAACCGGTGTCAGTAGCAGAGGCTTCTACATTTGAAGCGGTCTAGAGCAGTAAGGTATGGTACCTTAAAAAACTCTTGGTCTAGGTCAGCGGCCAACAGCAAACAAAAAAAAAAAAAAAAAAAAAAAAAGGTACTATCCTTGATCTAAGGCCGGCTGCCTGCTCTGCTTATCTTTCATTCATACAGAAACACAGGCGAATATCCCGGGGAAAGAGAATAAGTAGACAATAGACAAAAGCACAAGTTACTCCTTATCGGATTTGATCCGTTAAAGAGAGTTTCTATCTCTCCCCCACTCTCGCCGACTGGCTGGTTCGCAGTTGCAACCTCTCCACTGTGCCAGTCCAGACTCCAGACCAAGCAGTTGAGATCCTACACTGCATCCTGCTATGACCCTCTTTCAAAGACTATGCTGAAGCCATTGCCAAAACATAGAGCGTCCCCAGTCTCTTCACCAAGATTCCACTATGCGCCTACCTCGAATTCACTGCCATCGTCGTCTCTCTACAGACGAAATTCGAAGTCAAAGGGTTCCGTCGCATATCGAACCGAACCTCCACGAGCGCGATATGTGGACGCGGCTACCCAGTGGAGTCCCAAGATGAACTCGGACACGGAGAACGTCGTTGCGCCTGTGAAGACTGTAAAGACGGAATCGCAAGAGCAGGAGGTATCTGTATCTACATCTGCACCGCTCTCCCCGTCAAAACCTTCCCTGGAGCCCGAATCTCCAGGACTGAAGAGGCGGCAGTCGCAAGGGACAGCTTCTTCGATACCTACACCCACCCCGACAATACGTGCAAAGCGCCCTCGCTCAGACCAGATGACCAAGGTGCTGCCTCTGCAATATGAATTCTGCGCGACAGAGGACATGGTCATTCTCATAGCCAATATGATCCAGGAGCTTATCATAGCAAACGATGGATTGCCGCTTCGAAGTGGAGTGCTGACCAGGTTTCATTCGAGGTGCGAACATGTCTTGGTTCATGAAGACTAGGTGGACTAACAAAAGTAATTAGAACCCCTCCCGGCATATCCGTTCTTGATTACTTGCAACGGCTTGCGAAGCATGCCACACTATCTCCTCCTCTACTTCTTTCCATGGTCTACTACATCGATCGACTTTGTGCAGCCTATCCAGCATTCACCATAACTACGCTTACTGTTCATCGATTCCTAATAACCGCAGCTACGGTAGCCGCGAAAGGCCTCTCTGATTCCTTTTGGAACAACACTACATATGCTAGAGTAGGAGGCATAAAGCTTGCGGAGTTGGGAATGCTAGAGCTGGATTTTTTGTACCGGGTTGACTGGAAAATTGTCCCGAATCCGGAGGCGCTCGTCGAATACTACAAGGGGTTAGTGGATCGCTCAGAAGGCTATGTTATTGAGAGCGACTCTAGTTCCGTAGACGAGGACGGAGAAATGGACGAAGAAGATGGCAACGACTTAGATGGATCGAGTCCAGAGTATAGGACGGAAGCTTCGGAGGAGCAAAGGACCGATACAAACACGAAATGGAAGGCGTGGATGGATGACGTTTCGACGAGCAAAGGTGACATGAGAGCAGGATGATCTTCATCATGTACAGGGCGTGGTTGATACCCCTTTCGGTTTTGTTGGTTGCATGGAGAAAGGCGCATTTGGTTCGGGAAGGTGGTCAAACTTACGGAAGGACTTAACGTAATAAGGCGTGCATGGTCTCTGAGGTCCAGGCCCTGAAGAAATACGTGGAGCTGGATCAGCTCCATGAGCAGCATGTTGGTGTAAATCTAAGCTACTCGTAGCCAGTTTTAATAGTCGATGAAGACTGGGCTTCAAAGATTTGCATCTTGAAGAAGGATAAACTCAGAATCGAATATCAAGAACAACACAAGCATAGCAATTATTTACCAGGTGATACGGAGAACACTATACTTGCGCCCAGATTAATGTTCGTCTTGAGCCTCGGGATTTATATTTTTGTCAGCCTCGCCAGCCGAATTTGTGAGCTTGAACAGCATCCCTGAACGGACGACAACGAGTTCCACGACCACCTCACCCGAAAATGCGACTCTTCACCACCCTCATCGCCATCTGCGCGCCTGCCCTAGCCGCAGCAGCAGCATCCTCCTCCAGTCTGATAGACAGCACGACAATCTACATCCAACCCCTCGCCCCAACCTCCAGCTCTCCCGAGCCCGTCCCCCTCGCCGAAATCAAATACAGCCTGTCCACCCTCTCCTCCGAGATCGTCTCCTACATCCCGCCGGACCTCGACCTCCTCTCTGCTACCAAGCTCCTCCGCGTCGGCATCTTCGACCCCTCGACCTCGACCTGGAAATCCTCCGTCTCGTCCACCTCGGCCGAGACGTTCGCGAAGGGCTACTCCCCAACCATCGTCGTGAATCTCGATCGCCAGGGGGGTGTCGTGGGCGTCAGTATCAAGAGCGGGAGGATCGATGCCGGGGCCACGAGGGACTTTGGACCTAGGGTTCGGGTGGTGGGGATGAGGGAGGGCAAGGTGCCCGACTTGAATCGCCCCGTGGTGTTGAGTCCCGAAGGGAAGCTGGCGGAGCCCGTCGTGGAGAAGACGCTGCTGCAGAAGTATTGGTGGGGTGAGTTTGTTCCTGTCTCTCTTGTTTTTTGGGGGGTGGTGAAGGGAGGTGGTGGTGCTAGTGAGAGTTGTGCTGATGGGAGAGGTAGTTGGGTTGGGGGTGCTGATGTTACTTTTGACATCTGGGGGGCCTGCGGAATAGGGGAGAGAAATGATTGTAGGAAATTTGGAGGTCATGAACAGAATATCTGGACCCAATTTGCAAGCATGAGTAGGAGACGGATGGATCTTCTTTTTGAAGTCATTGACGCGCCTGTTTCGATCCTCTTCAACTTCAAGTCATGGCCAGCATAATCCAATATAGCCCGGTAAGTGTTAAATCTGCATATGGGCATCTAATTCATCATTAGCCAGCTGAATATCATCAGAATTGACAAGCTTGTGGATCTTGTTTTTGGTACTAGAAATTCCTTACCCGACTTGGTTACCACATTATCTACAAGACTGACACGGCGCTTAGAAAAGTTGAACAATAGATCTCATGTTTCTATTCCTCGAGAGGCCTCGGGACTACTCAATGGACGTCCAGCAGACCCATTTCCTCTTCACGCTTTCCAACTTCGCTAAGTTATGTGCAATATCTCTCAAATGCCTCCCCTGGCAACCCCCTTTCCAATCATCGCTCCTTGTGAGAAACTCTTGACTTTACATCCCACTGCTCCAGTTTTCCAAAGCAACCATCAAACCGGTCATGGAAAAGGGCACCTCACTCACATCACAGAAAAAGCTCTGCACCTGACCTAACAAGCCTCGAGCCACAAAAGCACCGCTAATACACCCGACAGTGTTCCATGTCTCCATGTCTCGACATTATTCTTCGGGGGGGCGAGAGAGAGAGAGAGAGAGAGAGAACCAAGCAATATATCGCCTTCAGGTCCGTCCACCGAATGGCCCCCCAGCATGATACGGGCCGTAGTCGGTGGCTCCAAGAGCGTCCTTCCCATCCGTCGTGATGCCCTTCGCCGCTTGCTGCCTCTCGTATCCGGCGGTTGGCGGCTCCCCGAGCGACGAGACGAATTTCTTTGTTTTGCTCCATGCTCTTGCTGTCCTGAGCGTGCTTGACTGAGGGTAGCCGTAGCCGGGGTCGATGAGAGGCCTGGAGGATTGGTAGGAGGATGTTGTTGGCGTTATTGAGGGGGCTGCGAGGGTTCTCTGGGGAGAGGATGTGTAGCTCTGGTCTGATTTTTGATCGGAGTTGGGGTGGTGGGAAGCGGAAACAGACATGGTGGGTTTGGGAGAGGTTGGCAGTGATGGATAATTCATTGGTGAGTTTCGGGCTGAGGAGGTCTGGGATGACGGACTTGAGGCCGGTATTCGAAATTGTCAGATGTTGGATGGGCTCTTCTCGTTCTTTGACTCGGGGTCTGCCTATGAAGCGAAGCTCGCATCTATCTCACTTCCTTTATCCTGGAGGCAGCAAGGCTCGCATCTATACAGCAGCCTGGATATCAAAACAGGCCACGCAACGCGCAGTCTGGTCACCAATCCCGTTCGCAGTATCCTCCGTCACCCCTCTACCACAGGACTTCCAAAAATCCACTCCCCTCCCCCAGAACATGATAATCCAAACAAGGGCCACTTTTCCAACCCTCGCCGGATGACAACCTAACACCCCAGCCACCACGTCCAAATCCACAAGATCTCACATCCGCATAAGGTAGGTTAGTTTCGTGACTCTTCAATCCTTTCAAAACTCGACCACATGGGCTGACTCACTCTATTTCGCAGCCTGTACCGAGCCGCGTCCGGTCAAGTCAGGTGAGCATTTAGCGCATTTCTCCGCGCCGCAGCCTCGCACATACCTCAACTGAGAGAAAGCCATGTCAGACAGATTTTCCATTCTCGATTTTGACTGACTGCCTGGCTACAATGCCACAAGTTCCTCCTGGTCGCGAAGCCAAGAGCAGCGCTGGTTCCGATCGGATTGTAAATTCTCGGGTGCTAGTCTTGCTGGCGATTAGCCTTTTTTTCGTGGATGTCCTGATCGATAGATGATGCCCTCGAGCATACTCCAGACTGCTATTGTTGTCTGAGAAGGCGTGCTGGAATTTTCCGTACTGGCTTAATTAAGCACCGACGAAGCCGGAAGTCGGACTTGGGTCTTCGTTCCGCCCTCTTCTGAACCAGCCTGGATGCAAACCTCCCGAAGCTTGCGATACCACTCACTCTGCTTGGTTGCGGAGTTCCCGTGTGCCACCCAGACTCTAGGGTCCGTCCTACGGACAAAATAAGGCATGATCGGAGGATGCTACCCAACAGTCACGTTCTCCTCGATGCGCTGTAAAGTATCTCGTAGTCTTCCTCCCCATCAGGCTCTCTGTGGAATCGTAATCGCGCTGGTCGTAAATTTGAAAACTGTAAATCCCATGCAGATGAGCTATAAAGTTGAACGAGTGAAAGCCCTGGGCCCTTTTTGGGATTTCCGCGACTTTCCCCATATCGAGATCTGTATGCTTGACAGAGTATCGCATCACGTAGGCGCAAATCCGTATAAATTGGCAAATTGAGGAGAACCTTGTTTCTTCCACAGCAAGGATTGCCGCCTGGCATAGAATGATGAATCACGTCTTCCGCATTTTCTTCTTCGTGGCAAGACATCGGTATAGGTGGCAAGAGCCGCATATCAATGGCTGACGACAGGCCGACCTTTAGACCTACATTTATCGCCATCCAACCCCTACTCGATCGCTAAGCGAGAACCACGGAATTGGGAAAAAAGTGCCCAAGTTACTTTCGCATTGCCTTTCTACGTCTTTCTCTTTCACTTCTATCGAGAATAAAGTGATCATAACAGTCAATCCTTCCCCTCCTAGCACCATTCCTACCTGTCTGTCGGGTTGGTGGAGAGCTCGGCAGTTGGCTAAGCAATCATCCGTGGGTACGAGGTTGAATTTATATTTACCACGGAACATATACATCTACGCCAGTGTCCAAGACTGCAGTGCGATACATACGGGTGGGAGAATTGCCAGCAAAGTATCTCGGAAAGGGGGTACAAGCCGAACATTCGAAAGAACCGAGTTCAACAAATTGCTAGCCCACGGCGTAGCGGCCACAGAAGGGTTGGTCCAGCGAACTGTTTTGGCCCCAAACTCACCGATGCGTACGCGTCCAGACGCAAAAGGCTTGCTATTCTGATAGAGCGAGACTCTGATTCCTGGCTCCAAGCGCTTCAGCCTCATCATCGAAGGGGGAAGCTCGGCACATTAGGCTGCACTGAGCCAGCGAGGCTGGATGCGCAGAATCTAGGTCGATCCGTGGAGGCTGGGAGTCCGGCACGATTCCAAGCTTGCTAGTAACTGCCGAGGAATGCAGGAGCATGTCGAGAAAGGGCTGCGATGGATCGCGCTATAAGGAAGTCTGCAGTGTCGCGCCCACATTATCGCCTCCTGCTCGAGCTGTATCGATCAGGTGGAGTTTGGGATCCGACCGTGCCAGTTTCCAGGCAAAGCAGAAATCCCCAGAACCCCATTCCCGACTACGAACCAGTTTTCGATGAATCCTGAGAGACGGCTGCAAACTGTTGCACGAAACACTATCCCAGCGGCCGTTGAAGAAGAGGGTCGGAGTGGTTGCCGTCACGCTGCCCGTCATGTTGGGAATTATCATCCCACAACAATCATCAGGCGAAGAACGAGGAACAACGATAACTTCTACCATCATACCCAGGCGGGAGTTCGCCCGGCATTTCATCAAACAAATTCCCGCTTCCACCTGCCCGCCTCGTCATGGTGACGTTTCGCTTGCCTCTGGCGGGTGTCCGAGCAGGTTACAGGAATAGTTTCAGCCGGAGAAGGCTTTGTCTCGATGTACTCTTCAAATCCTCCGGACCCTTCCTCCTCTAGAAATCCTTTCCTTTTTACGTGAGCAGTACCGACAACTCTTGTAATTTCTTGAAGATCCCCGATCCCCCGGCGGGATATCTAATATCTTGAGCCTTTTCCCTTTTTTTTTTTTGGTGCCCTTTTTCGCCACCACCTTACCTTTACCCAAATATATATATAAATATATATCTATATACATACATACCTACGCCGTATATCCTGATAAAATCATGTATGAACCGGTCGAAATAGAGAAGTCAGAATTCGAGGTTTTGCACTGCGTACTGTAATCGCCCTTGAAGCAGCGTCCACCTATGTGTTTTAGCACGATACTGACCAGAGAACCCCCCATCTTCCAGTCCATCGACCGATATCCCGGAGCACAAGCAGAAAGATGGGCCCCCGAGTCTCGAGTACGACCTCGCTTCCAAAGTATGGAGGATCATCATATTCTGGACTCTCGTCATCCTCGACTCGTTCGCAATACCCATCATTCTGTATTTCGTCCTCAACTATTCTACTTCGTTGAGTAAGAAGCAAGGTGCGTACCCGCCGCGAACGGTAGGAGTCCGTATTAGTATTGTCTAGTTGACTGGGATCTAGTTTACTATATTATTTCATTGACTCTATTCGGGACGTTGACGGTCGAATACGCCCAGCGAGCGTGGAGGCTATGGACCAAAAATTCCACAGTTCGAGTCGCGAACACGTCAAAATGGGATGTGAGTAACAAACTGGCTCACGGGCGAAGTCTGGTGTCCTGTAGCTGATGATTGACCCCCATGGCAGTTTGACTGGCTCCACTGGACCCTGACTCTGGTCCTCGTGGTCGTGGTCGCTGAAGTAGCGGTAGCCACAAGCTTAGACGAGCCTCTGGTGCGGCTACTCGCGATGCCTCTCCCATCAGTATTCTTCACCTTCGGCATCGAAATGCTCATGGTGGAGCTGATGCGCTCCTTCGACATCCGCGCCCCGTTCCGCGTCTCCTCGGTTCCGAAAGGAGGGACCCTGCGTCCAGCCCTCTACACACTCATCGAGGACGTCGTCGCCGTAGATGGCAATGGGGGAACCGGCTACCGCGACAGGTTGAACGCCAGATACGAGTGCAGCGCGGATTTCCGCCGCTTGATGAACAAGCTGACCTACTTCTGGATGGTCCCTGCTCTGCTCCTCAATGTTGCGATCAGCCACTTGATCTTCTGGAGGGGAATCAATGAAGATACCGCATATGTGGTAAGTCCTCGATCCTCGCTCGTGACAGCTGATCACGTTGTTTTGTCTGTGTTGACTTTGGAGTAGGTCGGCTGGAGCCTGCCTTTTGCGTGGGCGAGTGTCTGGACCATCACGACGATCTGCTGGGTTCGGATGGCACTGGACGAGGAGAAGAAGAACTGGGGAGAAGGATCGCAACTGATGCGGAGTGTAATGTAGTTGGAACCACCTTTGACGTTTATTGTGGAACATATAGACGTGGCAGTGTCGTAGTCGTATTTATTTCACAGCACCAAAAAATGACTTAATTTAATGCAACTTACCCCGCGTCCACCCTGCGAGCTCGCAAAATCTATTGAAGGACCAAAAATAGAAGCACATGGCAGCAAAAAGATCCCTTTGACAGCAGGATGAGAGGGCAAAGAGGGCAAAATAGGCATCTGCGATGATCACTACGAGGGTCGAACTCGCGACCTTGGCGTGAACTATCCATCTTGTCGGATGGGTATTAGCACCACGCTCTAACCAACTGAGCTAAGCGATCTTTTTTTCGATGCATACCGAGCCCGTCTGTAATCTAATATACTCACTCCCAATTTTCACGGGTGCAAGAACCCCTTAACCATGTAAACCTACCCAGTCGAAAACGCAAACTCCATCCGAGCCTCTCCAGACACCTCGAAATCATCCCGGTACTCTCTCTCACAGTACGAGAACCTTGCCATCTGCTATCTACTGTCTACCTCCAGCGTATCTACCTACCTATCTATCCACCACCCCCCTAAAATTCCAAGCCTGAATTCAAGCCCACACACAACCTTCCCCCACCTCCCACCACCAAGAATGAGAGCCGCGACAGATCAAGCGCAAAAATACACTATTATTGTTGTTAACTTGTTAGTGAAATATCATGTACCATGTTTCTCTGCTACCTATCTATAGCCTTATGAACTCCGAGATGATACATGTAAGTAAATCCCAGTCACCTTTCAATCAATCAATCAATCAATCAATCAATCAATCAATCAATCAACCAATCAATCAACCAATCAACCAATCAACCAACCAACCAACCAACCAATCAACCAATCAATCAATCCCTTCCTCTATAAAACCGAAATGAAAAAATAATATATATATATATATATATATATTCCCCCTTTCTCACGACGACTTCCAAATCCTCTTGCATCCAAACACCGAGCTAAGTACCGGTACCTACCTAGCTGGCGCGGATCCCCCAGATCGGGCCGCGAGCCTTGACACTCTGAATAAGGTCTACCTACCTTGTACGTACGGCCGATCACGCAGTGCCGTGCTCGCCACCAATTCCTGTAACCCCTGACAGGTGTGACTCGTGAGAGAACTCGCGAGAGAGCAAATCAGCTCGATAAGTACTGGGTAAAGCCGAGGTCGAAAACGCCGTGCCCGCTAGATGGCATGAATGCTCATCAATCGTACTTACACCCGCCCGTACTGGGCAATGCGAGGTCGTAAATTCGTCGGGAATTGTTATATATATATATCCGTATACCAGCGCATTCTCATCCAGGAAAGAATATTTCACGGGATTCCCTCTGACAAAAAAAAAAAAAAAAAAAAAAACCCCCTCCCGCAAGGTAAGCGGCGACATGATATTGCATTACTAGCGATCCAATGCGGGCCGGGGCTAAAGGAGGCTGATATCGAAACCGCATACAAAAAACCGAGTAAGAGAGAGGGGGCGAGGAGCCGGAGAAATTAATGGCACATGTATGATTCTATACTCAGATACCTTTGATGAGCGCTTTTGGACACTAATCGGCGAGCACAAGTAACTTCATGGCAGGTGAGTCACTTGCTAGCAAGAAGTCAACAGAAGACATTAGCTCAACAGCAAAACACATGGGAATTTTGAAAGACGATTATCCATTTGCTAGCTAGGAGAGATGTAGGAGGAGAGATGAGTATGAGTGCGCAAATTCTTCGTCCAAGATGAAAAAGCCTCATTTCGATTCCCTCCAACCTTCGCATTCACAACCGTGAAGCGAGTAGAACCGCATTCAAGCCGTAAATCACTTCGTGCACCCGAAGAAGCGAGGCATAGGAGATGCTCACATGCATGAAAAGCTCACCACCAAAAAACGTCTGGCTTCGTTTCTGCCGGAACATCAGCGGTCTGCGGACCCGGCTTACGAGAGCGGAAATCAGAACCGTTATGGCTTGATCGACCAACACCGTCCATCTGCGTGAGCATCTCGATTGCCGGGATGTACATCGATTGCAAAGCTTCGAGGTTGGCGATTTCTTCGGGAGTCCAGCCAGCCTCGTCACCAAGTTCCAGGGACTGGTTCTGTGCGAGAACAGCGTCCAGCTCCGGATTAGAGACCGAAGCAGTGTACCAGGTGTTCAGCTTTTCAATAGGGGCACATTTTGGGCCAGGAGAAGCCTCAAAGACCATGAACGACTGGCCTGCTGGGATTCCGCCGTTGATGTCTAGGGACTGGAACTCAGACAGCTTCATTACAGACTTACGGTCGGCACTATTGTAGTGGCAGACTCGGTGAACACTCAAGTCTTCCAGGCTGAAACGGTTCAGGAGGGATATATCAAGTTGCCAGGAAAGGTATGGTTTGGTCAGTCCCGAACTAGGAAGGAATTAGAGGAGATGCAGCTGACACATAGGAGGCATATGACTAACGGGATGTACAACGATGATTCAATAGCCGCAGCTAGCTTACCATACTTTTCATTCAACACTCGAGTGTTACCGCGAACAATGGCTGTGATTCGGAAATCCCATAGTCTCTTGGTACCGTGCACATAAATGTTGGCAACACCACGGCGAGACTGGATCCGAGTGGCAAAGGTCTCCGCGTTAACCTCGATCATGAAAGGGTTACCAGGATCCTTGCGGTCAATGAAAATGAACTCGTAGTTGGCAACCCACTTAGAAACCTGAGTCTCCCACAAATTTTGGCCACTCCTATTCTTCAGCGAGAGCAGGTATTCAACTTCGGCTGGTTCCATGGTCAAAACGTCGGTGAAATAGACCTTCGGACCGTATTCGGTAGGGTTCAGCAGCAAGCTGCGAAGAGGTTCGACTTCATGGGAACATTCATGGGTATTGTCGGACACATGCTTTGGGTGCCAGGATGCTGTGATGATGCGACCCATCTCGACCTGGATTGTGATACCACCACGGTATCCTTGGAGACCTTTTAGCAGCTCTTGGAAACTATTGCTCACATATTCTTCAATATCTAGCGCAGTATCATGGTTGCTTGTCTCGGACCGACAAGGAGACTTGGAAGATCTGGGAAGGGGGTCGGGTCCGTCGAGTCTGTTGGCGTATGGATTGATTTTTGGCTTAGGGGCTCTCTGATACATGGTCTGGTGAAACTTCCGACCACTTGAATCCCGAATAGACTCCTCGGCTTCTTTCTGATGCTGACCACCAGAAGCTGAGCGGTTCGAATTAGGCTCCACGAGGGGAAACTCAGGGATATCGGCAACCGAGAAATCGTCGTCCAGAAGATGCGTTCCTCGGCGAGTGTTTCGGGGGAGTGGTACATTGACAGGGCCTGGGCCGAAAGGGGTTTGTTGGAAGCCAGCCCCTAGGCTCTGCGTAGACTGTAATGGATAGGCTTGGCCAGGGGCGGCAGCTGGTCGAGGGCCATGAGCAGACTGCTGCTGACGCAGTTGAGTTGGCGTGTTCTGGTCGGTGAGGTTATTCGGTAGAGCTCCAGTGTTCTGGGACGAGCCGACTAATGTGTTGAGAGGGTCCAGAGATCTACTGACCTGAGCTCCTTTGCAGGAAGCATCAGGAGTGGACTGTAGCGATGTTGCTTGAATGCCGGGGGGTGCGGAGGGTTGTTGCTGTGTACCGGTGGGTTGAGCTGAAGATTCATCGGAGATTGAGAGTCTCTGTCGAGCCTCAAACACACGATTGAACCCGCCCTGTAGAACGCTAGGCGCCTTCCTCTGAATCGCAAACTTCTCGATATAGGCACCCATGGCCGCCTTTTCTGGGCTATACTCCTTGTACGAGTCCCAAGCAAGACGATTCTCTTCGGCTGTAAACTTTCAGTATGCGAAAATCATGCATGGTGCATCACTCACTAATCTGTCCTCTACCACTGGCAAGAACAGTACCTGATCCATTGGGCGGAGATTGGGGGAACTGTGGTGCGTGAGAAGCAATATCTGTAGTAAGGACCGTCACAGGTAAATGCTGTGTCCATTGATCTACGGCTTCAGCCTTGGTGCTTGGTGCTGGAACATCGTTCAAGCGAGGAGGAGAGGCTAGACTATCAACATGAGGTGCTTCGGTAGTCTCGGTCGGGTGATGGCGCATGGGATTGTCCTCGGGGTCTCCCTTGCAATTATAGATGAATGGGATGGTGAAGGCTCCGGCATAGATCACGCCCGCTGGGATTGGTACAAGACGCATCTTCTTGTCGGGGACCCAAGAGCCCTTCGCCGGACTGTATGGAGCGGCACGGACAGTGACGCCATGGGTGAGCTTCTCGTAGTCACTGTCCCCAATGAATGAGACATGGAGGTTGTCCAGTAGGGTCGTCTCGAAGAATGACCAGCGGACATCCACAAAGTACTTGAGTGCGAGTTTGATGTTCTTGTGATTCTCGATGTAGAAGAGGTGGTCGACGAAGATGCCTTGGAGATTCGACTAATTTGGGAGTCAGTCTTACGAATGGGGTTATCAATCGGATGAACTTACAAAATGCTTCAGAATAACGTCCAGCTTCTTCGAGGCAAGCCGAACGAGAGATACATCGTGACCACCAATATAAACGTAGTCATAATCGTGATCTTTCTCTACATCGCACGAGGTCCTGAGCAGAAAAGATCAGCAGAAATCGATCGCAGAAAGCTTGAAAAGGGTCGAACTTACAGACGGCAGAGTTCAGCCAAATCTTCATCTGGCAATCTATGTATGTGGTCAGCATGATCGGAAGCCCCAAAGTGGTTTGAAGAAATACATGTCATCGACTGGTTCGGGAGAAAGCCAGGTTTGGCGAAACTTGTAACACTTCAAATACTCTGGGAAGTGACTACTAGAGACTCCAGAGCTTTGGTCAACGATATCCTCGCCATTTGGCTTAATTACGTGGGAGGTGGCAGAGCCGGTATCAACGCTGCCAGATTGAGTAGACTTCCAGACCACCAGGCGTTCAACGAGTTTACTATTGAGCTGCGGCAATATAAGCGCCCGAAATCACAGGTAAGGTTGGGGATCGGGCTCACCGGAGCGATCTCATCGTATTCTTCCTCGCCGTCGTCATCATCATCATCACTATCGAGGCCTTCGTTGTTAAGTTGACGAGCAGTCGCAACGGCTTCTCGGATGACACTATGCATAACCTTCAGAAATATTTTCGAGACAATAGCAACTTCTCCTCTGCCACAGTGGACTCGGAATCCACTGTCATTATCGATCCACATGTAGTAGATCTCCTGCAAAAGAAAGCGTTAGTACTGTGATCATAAGTTCAGGACACATGGAGGCAATAGGTGATCAGGATCAAGATCTCGAAAAGCCGGACGGGGACAGCCCGGTTCGCGAGACTGGCCGCAAAGGCCGTGTGTTATTTTACCATTTTCAGATTCAGCGGCGCGAATTCAGCCTCCAATCTATTTCTCAAGAGCTCGATACCCTCGGGCCAGAAGTGGTATTCGCTGGCGAAGAACAACGTCGATGATATGGCCTGTCGTTTCTGAATTACCATGGCAATTCTCGGATCGCTCATGGTGGACTTGGCCACCGACGCGGTGAGGCTTCTTTGGTCCATGTTGCCGGCGGAGGAGGTGGTGATCTTGGGTTGGTCGATCTAGATAGGATGAATGTCAGCTGTGAAAACTTTGTAGTGTAGGGTAGAGCCCGGCCCGCCTTGACGGAAAGAGGTGGTAGAAGTGGCGTAAGTGGCCATCTCGAAAAGAGGACCGAGGTGACTTTGCGAATGATAATTGAGAAGTTGAGCGGGAGACTCGAGTACCAGCAATGGAAGTACGCCGGAACCAGCGTCATGTTGCAGAAGGGGCAGAGACACCGCGAGGGAATGTATAGAGTGTTGGCCCCGGCGTGTCATCAAGATGCCATTGGCGCACACCTTCCCTTCCCATGGAAGATCTCGATGGGAGTATAAGTTAGAAGGAGATGTATCGTACGTACCTACATCAGCTGCAATGTAGTTGTTTGCAGGAAAAGTTGCGAGATGGAATGTGAGTGTGGGTGTGGGTGTGGATGTGGATGTGGATGTAGATGGTTGTTGTAGGACGGAAGGAAAGAGATCTGGAGGTCGCAACGCAACTTCCCTCCTAGTCACCAGGCTCGCCCCAAACACGAGATTGGATTGAGCTAGCGCGGAAAGAGCTGGTTGGGCCAAGAAGGTGCACCAGAAGCAGCAGCAGGGAGATGTCGAACATTTATGAAGGGCTTCATTCTCCTTTGGGATCTGATGGGCCGGCAGTTGCTGAGCCTGCAAAACAAGGTGTCATCCAAAAGGCGTGAGTGATACCTAGGCCACCATGTTTCTCCTACTTTATTACTACGTGCTGCTCCAGAGAGGGGATAATGGCGTAGCTCTGCTGGTCTGGAGATCTCGTAGTATGTATGTACTCTCAGGAGGGATAAATGCAACTGCTACAGCGCCAGCTTTAACCGAGGCGTTTAACCGAGTGATACAGCCGAGGAGCTATGGCAAATGACTTGACTCATCTGGTCTTTGACGTGATTCCCGCGTGATGAATAGCTAGACTGCAGCCAGCACAAAAGCAGATTGTTTGCACGCCTGAGATACTCCTCTAACATGCAAGCGACTCAGTATGTCCGTCCCAATAAGGGGGTCCTCGCTCGGCTATAGCCGAGTTTCTAAACGAGTTGCTATATAGGGCCCGAGCGTTCTCGCGAGTTCACTCTTCCAAACATTCAATGAATATAAGCACTGAGAGTTCAGGGCAACCAAGTCTTTCGGCTAGCGGATAAATATCGGCCTGGCTGTGAGGAAAGTATATTTTGTTTACTCATGTCGCATATGGGATAGCCGAGACTGCTAGGCCTTTGTTTACTTGCGTCACAACCTTGATAGCCGAGATTGATAAAGGTGCAGAAGCTAGGCGTATACCGTCTCGTACCTAGAGAAGTAAGAACAAATGATCGAGAGCCCTTAGACGAGGTGGCTTCCAGATTGCAGTACATCTAAACGGCAGAAGAAGTGTAGAGCAGTCAAGACTCAGACAAGCGATGTAACTCAAAGCGTGAAAGGAACTCCAGCCCTGGCTGAGGATCAAAGCCCATCCCTGATTTCTGCTTCTCTATAGCATAGTCAGACTCTACGCTGGTGTTGAAACACGAACAGAAAATATGGGCTAGATATTCAAAATAAATGGGCAAAATGCACGAAACGGAACAATGGCCGCAAACTTCATAAGCAATAGCACCGGACAGGAAGTGCAGCACAGACATAGTCGAAGCTGTAAAATTGAAAGCACAGATATCTCTAACTAGTACAGACAAAGTACAGGCATTTGAAGCAAAGGATATACAAGTCAGAACTACTTCGATTCTGCTCCCAGTACCACCTCCACCCCCTCTCCAACCTTGAAATCATATACAAAGCTGACCAACACTGATCATGAAGAGCGCAGTGCATCGATCGAGCAGCGAAATCTTTTTGCTCGCCCATAATTTGGTACAAGGCTGCGCAGTATACCCACTCGCGCCCTCTATACTACAAAAAGCCATCCAGCTCTCTCATTGCCGGCATCGCCAGCTGTTTGCAGAAGAAAGATCAGCAGAAGTAAAAGGACTCCGAAAACACCCAGCTTGCAATGCTTCAGATTGCCGAAAGAACACATATCCGCAACCAGCGATATCCAATCCCAACCAAAGCCCAAGGCAACCCCAATCGTGCTGTATGTGACGTGACGTAAGAAGGAGAGTCGTGAATCAGAATCCGTCCACCAGCTGGCTACATATCCTCCTCCGAGTATACACATGCGGTGTATGTGCTCAGCCGCGCTCGTAACTAGGAAGTTTTTGTACAGATGATCGAGAGGCAGCTATTGCGCGTCCTTGACGTTCTTCTTCACCGATAGTGCCCACTTTAGCTCCCCTAATACTTTCTGAGTTTCCTGCAGTGCCGCTTCGTTGGCTGTCTCTTGAGCATGGGCTCGATTCTTGATGTCGCGTAGAGATTCTTCTTGCAGAAGCTTGTACTTCTCAAAGGCTTCTTCAATCCCGGCCTTCTCGTTTTTGAGAGCCAGTAGTTGTAATTCTTGTTGGTCGCATAGCTTTTGTAGCGTGTTCATTCGTTCGTCGTCACTCCTCCTTTCCAGCACCAGGTGCTCGATCTGCACCCCAAGCTTCTTGACCGTCCTGTCTACTTCCTTACCCTGGTCCCTCCAGTGGCTGACCATGGCTTCATTGCGCCCCTTCATCAGTGCCGCAAAAGTTTGCGCCTCTTCCACTTTCCGCTTGCTCTCCTCCTCGACCTTCTCCATGGCTTCCTTCCAGCTCGTTTCGCGCTCCAAAGCCTTCTCTGCCCGGTTCTTTTCCGTTTCAATCTGCGCCTTCATCTCAGCGACCTGCCTTTCTCTGCGCTTGAGCAGCGTCTTGTTGATAGCAGCATCGTGCAATTTGCCATCGTATTCGGCGGCCAGGGCTTCCATCCTTCCCTCTGCCATCCGGACCGCTTGTTTCGATTCTTCCGCCCTTAGCCGTTCAATGTTGAGATCCCGTTTGAGCATATCGTTCTCTCCCATAAGCCGCTCGATGACCCTGCCCGATTTCCCCGTTTGAGCCCGCCCAACAGCAGAGCTCCATTGACCCCCGGATTCACCGTTTTTGCTTGGCGAAGCCTCTTCCGGTACTTGAAGTTTTGTGTTCGAATACGATTTCGTAGGCCCAAATTCCGAGGATATCTTCGTCGCCAGACCATTCCCAACACCAACAGCCAGGCTTGTATTCGGATTGAGCCGTGAGAGTGGAGGTTGTGAGGGGGGTACTGATGATGGAGGAGAGGATTTGGTAGAATGAGGCATTGTTGAATGGTCGCTTTTGCTACTGCGCCGCGAAGAATCGTCTGAGGGGGCAGTGTCGAGGTGTAGAGAATCTGACGGCACTGGTCTTATGGTACCGTTTGGTGTGATTTTGGAAAGGCTCGATTGATGGGTGGGCGGAGGTGAAGGTCTTCCATTTAGTGTATCCATTGCGTTAATGGAGATTGAGGCAGTGTTGGAGTTGGCGCATGAACCGGATCGAGATTCGAGTTGAGGCCTCGTAAGCTCGCTCGCTACTTCGGGGAACTGGGGTAGGCAAAGGTAATCAGTTCATTGCTTCTCATGAATCAGGATCGCAAGATGAGAGGAGGGTGGATCTAAAGTTTGCGTAGTCTCAGCATCTTTATGCCCGCCACAGCGGGGACCAGGCTGACTGGCATTGGAGAGGGAGAGGTACAACAAGCAAGCAGGCAAGCGACGCACCAACAGAGTCTGTGTGTATAGAAATTTACTATGGGGGTGGAGGATGATCCGGCAGAAGCTGTATTTCTCCAACGCTCATCGCTCATGTCGGCCTCTTAGTAATCTGTATGTAACAACGGTTGCTATCCAGTAATCAATGCAGGCGTTTGGATAATCTAATGAGCCCGTCGAGCGACCTTGAGATGGCTGTTTCCAGGTCGGTATCGGTATTCCAAATGGTAAGCGAATCCTGAGTACCAGCTATTGCAGCATAAGCAATGTGGTAGGTGGTTTCCCTGGTATATCGCGGATCGAGACAGAATCTGGGGAGAGATTGAAGTGTTGTGTTAGAAGTATGGGAGGGTATTGTTTTGTTTATGGAGAGGAGTGTAAAGAAAGGCACAAGAGGTAATGTAGTGGAGCACAAGTAATGAAAGCCAAAAGGGTTGGCCCGGCGCTGTTCCTAGGTTCCTAGCCAGGGGCAATGGGAAAACCAAAGCCCCCTGCATGAACTCGATAGCTATCTATCGCTTTAATCATCATGCCTTGGTTTGTTCTTGCCGGCACATCACAGCTAATTAATCATTTTGTTGAGACTATAAATTGCATCTGTTCCCAATAACTTAATTAAGAATAGGGGGGAGGGGATTTGCAGCCGGATCTCCAGAGAAGCCCGGTACTTATTGAATGATCAATGATCGCCCCCGGGGAGGAGGGCAGGGAGGCGGATAAGTACTACTAAGTACCGGTACCAGACCTACCAGACCCCTATTTATTGTTCATTCGCTTCTGAAGTTACTCAACCTCGTCCCAAGTGAAATGTCGTAAATAGCCCAAAAAATATTATGTTCTACTCGTAAAAGATACGCTTGGAGTGGAGAGTGGAAGCTTGCTGGAATATCCTTAAGTCTAGGATTCTCAGCTCTATGAACAGAATCTTGGACCTTCTTCCCCTTGCCTTCAACCCGTGTCCATCCAAGTACAGATCGGGGAGCAGGTATCGCCAGTGAAAACATTTGCAAGCTTCTCTTTCTATTCTGGTCAAAACGTTCCGATTGCTCAGGTCACTTTCGACACCTAGCTTGACGCGAGATAAATTACTGTTCATGTAGTAATGATTGATGATCACAGACGAAGTACAATGCCACCATTGTACTGTCCGAGAGCTCAGAGATCGGATCGCCTACTCTCAAATTTCCAGGTCTCAACCATGTGCAACATCGTACGAGTGGCCCTCTCGTAACTCGAAGACACCGCCCCTCTACAACCGAGGGCGATTATGAGGCTCGACGTCTCACAGGACCATGTTTTGAAACGGTCAAAAGATTTGCACTACCTCCCAGTCTCCGGGAATTGTAGCTTATGTATGACCTGGGCTTGAAATGGGGGTTTCGCGGGACTCTCCCGGTCAGGTCCGCCAATGTCCGTCATTGCCGTTGTGTTGGTCCAGAAAACGTGAGTGTAGAAATCCTTAGATTCGACGGCAGCTAGGAGGCAAAGGAGAGGGCACACGCAGGTAAAGCAAAGTTGGGTTGATGGAGGGGGATGACTGGCTAGAAATGGGAGGTTGAGGACTGAGAGTTTACTTAAAGGCGCATTCTTCCAGCATATCGATACAGGACAGCCCATAATGTTGATCTGGCATGGCCATTGGCTTGCTTGGACTTCCAAAACCACCATAACGTTGCTCCGCCTTGGAGAACCCGGTATATATGTGCTGCTGCCTTTCACGTCACCTTAACTCCACATTTTCATGGTATTCTTTTTGGGTATTGTAGAGACTTAGATTGCTATCTGCGGCAGCTCGTTTGACTGCTACAAATGCCCATATCCTTGCGCCCATCCGAAAACCAAGCATAAATCAAGCAGAGCTTACTTGAGGGGAATGAAACGGGAGGAGTGGGTAGCACCAATACCGGGACGTCCGTGCTTGACTGGGTGGCTGTAAACTTGTTAACGTTGTCCATATCCATGCAGGTTGCCCAGGTCTACATACTAAGAGATCGAGAACTCCCCCAAGTAGTGGCCAACCATCTCGGGCTTGATCTCAACCTGGTTGAACTCTTTGCCGGAGTAGATACCAATAACAGAGCCAATCATCTCAGGGACGACAATCATGTTACGGAGATGCGTCTTGACAAGGTCGGGCTTCTCGTTGGGCTTGGCCTCTTGCTTCGCCTTGCGGAGCTTCTTGATCAAACCCATGGGCTTGCGCTTGAGACCGCGGTTGAAGCGGCGGCGAGCACGAGCGTGGACAACATCACGGAGTTGATCGGAGGAGAGGTCGAGGAGTCTGCGGAGGGTATGCGGGTTAGCTGTTGCTCCCCTTTGAAGTCGAATGACTAGAGGGTTTGCATTTATGTATATAAAACATACTGATCGAGGTCGATTCCACGGTAGGAGAACTTGCGGAAGGCTCTCTTCTTCTTAATCTCGGCAGCCTCGACGGCGTCCTGGTCGTAAATTGCGTCAGCGACAACTCATTTTGCTTCAATAGTCTCGCAACTATAGCATTCGGGGATACGCGGAGTGCGCAGATTATAGAGACGAGATGGTACTCACGTATTCGTCAGCCATGTTTGCGGTTAGTGGGTAGATCTTTCGATGCTTGTCGAAAGTCGAATTTGTCGAAAAGGCTGTGTTCGTGAAGTGGAAAATTCGTTGTGGAGGTTTGCAATCATTGTCGCTTCGCTGTTAGTGCTAAGCTTGTTTCGTACTAGTGGTGGGCAGGCAGGTCAAGCCACACACGTGATAGGGTACGAAAGCCCCATCGAGGCTGAAATATCACCTGATATTTGTCCCCACAAAACAATTGTGCATTTGTTCAGAGCATAGCAGGGCATGGGCAGAAATTTTGGGAATCGCGAGCTGCAAAGGTTTACTACTTTCACGTAACTCATATCACATTTCCAAAGATACTGCAGTTTCAGAGATACTTAGCTTCCTCCGCAAGTGGTCTCTAACATGCATCATCTTGAATATTGTATTGCTTGGTCACAGTCACATCATGCCCGTAGGAACAGAAATTGGAAGAAGCACGCCTTTATTGCGCTACGTAATCTGCATCCTTGACATCTCGTCATAGAAGGGCCTCAGTCCAGAACCCCGTGTCCCTATGACATGCAAATAACCGGTCAGCCCGGATAACTCCTCCCAGAAGTCCCTGACCATTTTGTAGTGAAGAGAGCGTGGCATCCGTGAAGACAGAATTTGTTCGTTTAGTCGAAGAGACCGAAACCCATATCCTCGTCGGACTCCTCTTTCTCTGTAAAATGAGTTAGCATCCACCTGGATCTTCTCCTCGAAATGGAACATACCCTCTTCCTTCTCCTCGGCGGGCGCATCTGCAGCGGCACCACCGGCAGCGGCAGCGCCGCCAGCAGCTGGGGCAGCACCTCCGGCACCGCCTGATGGGACGGAAGCCAGCTTAGCGGAGCCCTCGGCGATCAACTGTGTACCAATTAGCCTCCAATCCCTTCTGTGCCATCTGGATTTGGGAGGTCGCATACCTCGTTGATGTCCTTGTCCTTGAGCTCAGAGATAAGAGTGGAGAGACGCTCATCGTCAGCCTCGATACCAACAGACTCGAGAACGGCCTTGACGTTGGCGGCGGACGGAGTTGCGTTACCACCGAGGGTGAGGAGAAGGTAGGCTGCGAGGTGCTTCATTTTGGTTGCTGGGTTCAAAATCGTCAGTAATTGTGCAGGCGCATCCAGGTCTGCGCCGCGCAGACTCACATTTCTTTGTTCTGTTTGTTGAACAGGAGATTCAATCGATTTAACCGCTTATTTGGGCGGAGACTGAAACGTCGGGTTCGGAAGTTTTGAAGTCAGAAAAAAGTTGTCTTGATGGATGATGGGAAAAGTCAAGGCGTAGAGGGGGGATTAGAGAAATTCAGGAAGCACATCAGTGTGGGCGCTAGAGATAATATTTGTGGGGGCTTTCCGGCGCTAGAGTACTGGCTCACTTCTGCATCGTTGATTATCTTTGACCTACGCACTTACTGGTCGAATGCAAAGGGAACGCAATTCCAATTCAAGGGAGGATACTACAACTAAATGACTATCTATCACCATATATAATGTTGCGGAAGTACAGATAAACTCGCCCCTGAATTTGAACGAATTACCTAACGGCCTCGGTGTGTGTGGCCAAAAGCATGCATGGACAAATCGCCATGCACATATTGAGGTGAGAATATTGAGCTCTCACCGGAACACTGAGATCCACCTAGGCCACATCGTATTCGTAGATAATCCAACCTTGAAGCAACAGATATATATTCCTCGGACTTCCCTTTGTGTGTTGGAGAACTAAGGTGCCCCGCTTCTGATCTACACGTGAACAGACTCAGCGAATCCTGCAAATACCGGTAGCTGGATATGACAAGCTCCATCATCAGTAGTTTCTTCGCAACCTTCCGAAATGAACTTCCAGTAATGGAATATCCAACGCTCAGTACTTCGTAGACGTCTCTAGAAAGATAAGGGGTGAGAAGGATCGCGCCTTCCAACATTTTTCGCTCCGCACCTGCATGCCAGTCCGAGCCGGATCATGTGCGCATTTAACATAACTGACAATAATATCGTTTTCCAATTCATCGTGCATCGTTCCAACAGATTAAAGTTCCAGGGACTGATCGGGCATATGGTTTAGTGGTATAATACTCCCTTAGCATACAGCTTAGCCTGTCAAATGGTTGGGAGTGGTCCTGGGTTCGATTCCCAGTTTGTCCAGGAAGCTTAACTTGGTTCAATTCCAAGATGATTCCTTAACCTCACCTTTTTGCCCCTTCTTCGAATATCGGGCGCCGTCATTGATGAAGTTGTATCCTTCTTTTTTTCGTATTTTCCATCTCTTTTCCTTCCTCATGGGAGGTTTGAAGAAGGATGAGTGGGGGGCTTTTCCGCGCGATTGCGGTAATGAGCCACTGTGGTAGGGCGCACTGATCACCAATTGGGTGCCTGTATCCATAAAGCTCGTCCAAATGCTTGGCACAATGAAGAGACCAAAATCCGGATTTGGCTCACGTGCACTTTTCTTCCACCAAAACTTCTTCATCAAAATGTCGTTCAGCTTCTCCTTCTCTGGCGATGACATAGATGATACGTACACTGACCCTGAGCCCACACCACGCAGCCATGCTGCTGAAACAGGAACGCTGCAGCGCGCCTCGAGCTCAGCTTTCCCCATCGCGGGACAGCCTTTGCTACAGCCACAAGCACACGATTTGGAGGCTATGCTAAAAGCGTTACCGTCGAAAATCGTATATAGTACTCTGGTTGTAAATCTTGATGACGGGACGCAAATTTCGATTCCGAGGAGAGAGTTATGGGATGTGAGGGTGCAGCTCATGGCCGAGGAGGACGATGAAGGGTTGGGCAATTTGGGGAAGGATGATGTCAAGACGGGAGTCTATGAGGGAGGGTTCAAAAGTTGGGAAAGCTCGGTGGATGTTGTGAAGGTGCTACATGAGAGGAGGGGAGGTAATGGCTTCTCTGAGAAAGTGATAGAGGTAAGGTCCTGGGCTCCGGTACATGAGTGGAGCTGACAAGTAAGTTTATTAGCTGGGCTGTGGTACTGCGCTCCCTTCTTTGGCCGTCCTTCAATGGCTCTTGCAAAACTCCAACCCTCAGGCGGCACTGAGTCTTGGACTTGCGGACTACAACCCGACCGTACTTCAACTCGTCACGCTACCGAACATCCTCTTGTCCTGGGCTCAGAACTCGCGCAAAGACTCGTGGGAAGCCGAGGGCGAACTGGATCTCGACGAAGAAGTTATCAAGGCATTCTTGTCTGATCTAGCGTCTCATCAGGTCAAGCTGTCATTCTTCTCCGGCGCGTGGAGTCCTGAATTCGTTCAGCTTGTGAAGGAAGGCATGGGCCAAACTACAGCCAGGCTGACAATTATTGGAGCCGAGACTATATACTCGCCGACAGCACTGAAGTCCTTTGAAGAAACTCTAATGACTCTCCTGGGTACCATGCCCGACAACGAGAGGACTTCACTGGTTGCTGCGAAGAAGGTTTATTTCGGTGTGGGAGGATCCATGGAAGACTTCTGTAATATGGTGCGCTCAACCGGTGGTGTTGTCGAGCAAATCAGAGAAGAATCCGACGGAGTGAGAAGGGCAGTGGTGGAAGTGATTGTGCCTGAATGATCCCCAAGACTTGTCAGCTTCTTTCCAATGAAGGCCGCCCTGGACACTCTTGGATTCAAGATCACTTTCCCAATCATGTCTCTGATTTTCCGGTCTCAAATGCCACAGGTGTTGTAGTATGGCCTCTCACTGCAGTTGTGACGGCGGGCGGCCGGGAGCTTCCGCGCAGCTCGAGCCTTACTACCCATACCCCGCACAAGGCTAACGAATAGAAGTCCTTAGCAATTGACCAGGCTATAGAGAGAGAGAGAGAGAGAGAGAGAGAGAGAGAGAGAGAGATATATATATATATATATACACTCACATTGCTCTTCTACGAGAATTATAAACATACAACTGCGATACATCTCCAATACTACCAGATTCTCAGTCAGCACAGATTTAACGACGATTCTGTGACCCCGGAGAACCCGGAGTCCAGCCAGATTCCCGGCATCAGCTCCAAGCTAAGAAGATGGTTTCCTGAAGGTATAAATGGTCAGAGATTCCCCTTATCAGTAGCGACATCTTTGTGTTCCATCAAGCTCCCTTGTCATATAGATTTTATCGATATTTTTACACAGCCCCGAACATATTCCATCAAAAATCAATATGACAGCTCTGTCGACTGAAGGCTACGCACAAGGCTGGCTCGATGCAAGTATCACTGTCTCGTCATACATAGACAATTCTGAACGATCTCACAGTATGAGAAGATCTTGGGGCAACGACCACTTCTCGGCGGTAGTCCTGAAGATATCATTGCTCAATTCAACGGTCTCAACGCTCAATTGGCTGCTCAAAGCCCTCCTCCGGATGCCTCCGTTGTCATAGAAGATACCGTCGCCAACGGCGTTCCCGTCAGAATCTACACCCCTCCCGATGCCACAGGCAAGAAACTCCCTGTCGGCGTTTACTATCAGTACGTCAGGTTCTGCCCTCTCTGCAGTCGCCAAAGCCCTCGTGACTTCCAATAAATTCATGACTTCACTTACTCATATCGTCAACAGCGGTGGCGGGTATCTTGTCGGTAGTCTTGACTCCGAAGACGCCTGGTGTAGATTTATCTCCAAGCACACGCCTTGCATCCTCGTGTCAGTTGACTACCGCTTGACGCAGACAGACAAGTGGCCCGCTCAAATCGATGATTGTCTCACTGCATATAAATGGGTAAGGAGTCTCATGTGTCGCGCCGCCGAAAATTGCACCTATACTGACGTCTAATGCCCAACACAGGTCCGGGAAAATGCCTCCAAGATCGGTGGTGACCAATCCAAGGTATTCACAGTCGGTGCCTCGGCAGGGGGTGGTCTCGCGTGCGGAGTCGCAGATCAACTTATCAAGTCCGGGTCTGGCTCTCACGTTCAGGGGATTGTAGCCATGGTTCCTGTCGCCGCGAACCTCTCGACCATCCCCGCCGAGTATAAGTCCCAGTACACCGCCTATATCGAAAATGCGACCGATGTCCCGGTCATCGATGCCGGCACCATGAAGACGTTCATGGAGGCTGCAGCTGTAGATGACAACGACGAGAAGGCGTTCGTGACGTTGAGCAAAAATTTGAAGGACTTCCCTCCGACTTATATTGCTACCTGTGGCAAGGATCCTCTGAGAGACGACGGGAAAGTTCTGGAGGCCATGTTGAAGATGGAGGGTGTCAAGACGAAGAGTGATTTTTATGATGGGGTGCCGCACTATTTCTGGCTGTTCCCTGGTGTTGAGAGGGGCGAGGAATTCCTCATGAACGTGGCGAAGGGTGCCCAGTGGGTTATCTCTCAGGCGTAGACGGCTCTCGACGCCCACGAGTGTGATTCCTGCAGTGTCGAAGTACAGCGCCGGAGTAACCATTCGCTGTCTGAGCTAGGTTAGACAGACTCTGTGCTGCTGCACAATTCATCTCCTATATCAGTGTCTGGCTCCCCATACTTCCTTGCAATGCCACACTAGCTCTGTCAACCTGTCGAATCTGCAACCAGGCGAATCATAATCTTCGATTTCCAAGCCGTTGCGCTGATACACATTTCCGGCCTCCGATGTCTCGACTAAGTAGATCAATAATAATACCCCCCCCCCTAAGAAATACAACAATAACAAGACAAGACAACAAACCAAATCGTCACCATATCCGAACTCAACAAAACAACACTGGCCAGGCAAAACGGCACCACCTACCCCTATAAAACCACCCACGACACACAACAAGAATAGACAAGTACGGCAAGCCCCTCGACGACTTCAATCTCGAAAGAAAGACACAACTCAGAAGCTCACCTGGCCGCCGCCGCCGCCGCCGCCCTGTTCAGCTCAAATCCCATCCCGCGTGAGTTCGGTGACAGTACATACCTAACCCTTCGCGCAAGAAAGATAGATAGATTACCTGTACAACTAACTAACTACAACTACTTGTGTTATGTACGCACGGGAAGAAGATCAGTGATTTAGTTGGTTGCTCGGGCTTGTACTATGCCAGGGCCTGGTGATTGATTGATTGAGCGCACGTGGCTTCCTTCTTAGATAATGCCTGGCGCCTACGTAGAAAAGCAAGAGCAGTATTAACCTAGATGGAGACCCTTCCTGCTCTTAACCTCTTCGATAAATCAATTCAACCTTTTCTCCATGGAGCTAAGCGAAATAAAAGTCCAAGGGTCTGACCAGCATGATCACACGGGAATCAACACAAATGATTGATACGCTTTATAATCTAGAATGGAGATGCATCGTGACTCTGTCGGCCCAGAACTTGCCCTTTGCCACTAAGCACATACACACATTCGATTAAAAATAATAAGCATGATACATACTTTAAATGCCTTTCAGAATATATATCCCAGGCATTCAAACTTTTTCTCGATTAACATTGCCCTGCTCATATTATGGAAGCGAATCCTTCCTTTCCTCCTCCCCCTTAAACAACATTCCTGTTCCAAATCGCCGCCTATCTATACCCATTTATCACATTGCCCGTTAGCTCCAGAGAAGGGCTCAACCAGCCCATCCCTAATTCGCCCGCCGATAAATGTATGTGTACTGAGAGCAAGAAATGAAAACATCCGTCGAGGTGTGAGTCACTCTCTCAATTGAGAGGGTAAGCTGGAGCTGCGCTCGCGGGTTTAACGACCAAAGCTCTGTATCCTCGTTAGGATATATCTTTCGCGCTAAAGAAAATGACAGTCACGCAGAGGGAACTTACCCCCACATCGCAGCATCAGCCACGACATTGGCACCGGTCAGATCCAGATAGTTCGTCGAGTTACCTGCCGCGTTACCCTTCCTCGGGATGCTCTGCGCATCACACACACTCCGATGACTAACAGGGAGATATAGCTTCCTAGCTTGCAGCTCCGCGGGTGCCTCAATGAACGTCGCCGTGAGGCCAGCCTCAACTAGAAGGACACGCGGGAGTCAGTGATTGCGTGTTTGGTGATTAAAGAGAGGGATATGTATAGCGAAGAAGAAAAAAACGGACCATGCCACTCTACATGACAATGAAAGAGCGTGATTCCAGGGTTATCGGCTACGAAGCGGATGGTGGCACTTCCGTCTGACATAACCTGCACAGTATCGCGACGCATAGGCGCTCCGGCTGGGATATTTATGGGGAAATTGGATCCCCCTGGTGTGCGAGAAATGACCTGGAAGTTGTGGCCGTGGAGGTGGAAAGGGTGGGCATAACCATCATGATTCTGCACCGTGACTTCAACTACGGCGCCCATGGGGAGGACAAAAGGGTTCGAGCTTGCGCCGTAAATGGATGGATCGTTGACACTGGAGAGGGGGGCGTTCATGGCGGTGAAGAGCGTAGGCACTTTCTGGGGGACGTAATCGATGCCGTTGAGGTAACCACGCCATTGGCCGTTCTGGTTAGTACCAAACGAGACGGTCAGCTGAATGGGCATTGTGACTGGAGAAAGTGCTGCCTTTTTATCGTAAGGAGTGAATATAGAGTCGTCAAAGGGTGCACGCGTGATTGTAAGAGGGGCAGGGAGAGGAGCTGCGGCATTGTAGACCAGGTATGCTGAGACCTGGAGATGGTTAGTACTTGAGTGCGTATCTTCAGGATCAGCCTACCTCTGGGTTGAAGGTTTTCGGGATGACACCTGGAATGAACATGTCAGTGTCCATCGACGCCTTGATCGCAAAGTTCGTGCTGCCATCCGATTTGGCCATGACGATGACACTGTACCGCTGCGCAGCTGTGATGAACAGCTGGCTAACAGGAATCTGCGACGTGTACACGCCGTCGATTTCGACAACCGTCATATCGTGCTGATCAAATTGCAGGTAGAAAGGTGCGAATGCTCCCATGTTGATGATCCGGAAAAGATACTTCTTGCCAGCCACCATCGTAAACTTACCATTCTGGCTTTCGTTGATCAAGCCGGAGTTCGGGACTGGCTCAGCACCATTATTGCTATTGGCATTATCTTGAGATTGGTAGTAGTTAATCAAAGGTGGCGCTTGGGAGTGATAGAGGTCACTGAGAGTCAGAAAGTATTCAGTATCGATGCCGCGGTATGGCGCATTCACATCATTGACGAGCAGTGGACCACGAAGGCCATCAATATACTGGCCACCCTGGAGAGCGGGTGATTAGTATTTGTCGTAGACGGATTTTGTGGCAAAGGAGTTGAGACAGTTTTTCGGAATCAGATAGTATGGCTACACAGGAACTTACAACATGCGCATGATACCAGTATGTACCCGGCTGATTAATTGTGAATTCGTATACGAAAGAGGCACCAGGTTGAATGGGACACTGCCGGAGAACGGAAAGTCAGCAAATGATCAACTTTGCATGCCCGCTGCTCCCGAGACGCGCGAAATAAGGAAATTTGCTACTGCTCGAATACTGACCTGGGTAACCATTGCTGGGCCATCCGAGAACGTCGTATTTGTTTGGAAAATACCGTGGAAATGGATTGCAGTGCTTTGATTTCCAAGATTGTTTGTCAAGGTGATTTTGATCGTGTCGCCCATGTTGGCAGTCAGAGGAGGGCAGGGGAATTGGCCATTGATACCAATCATGGGTCGTGAGAACCCATCCGGAGATGCCTGTACCCAGCCAATACTCCAAGTGTAAGGTCTCAAAATGGGTTTTGGGGGCTTAATATACGGTAGGGCCGACGCTGATGCAGAACTTGCTACACTTGATACCGATGCAGGTCTGGTGGAGGTCGAGAAAGAAGTTGCAGCGGTGCTTGGTTTCGAGTCTGATACTGAGGAGCTTGAGGCAGAAGAGTTGATTGAGGCGGGAGCGGTACCAAGGGCGTAGAGCTGCAATCGCTTCCCAGCACCACAATATTCCAGTTGGTTGCCAGGGCACAAGAATTTACAGTCTGTACTGGCGGCTTGCACACTTCCCGCGCTCAGAACATCACCACAGTAACCTAAATCAATCAACTTCATGTTCAAGGAATATGTTATGCCACGAGACTTACATTCGCGACCATACTCAACACCAAACATACCATATGACGGCGCGGTAGAACAGAATGTGGCACAAATCTCAAGGGTCATACCGTCATTTGCATAAGCCTTTTTGTTCAGAGCTCTGCCGGTGTTCGATTCAGTCCAGCATCCTTGATAGGTGTATCCTCCAACAGTCGACGGAGCGATAGGTGCAGTTTGAGTCGGCGTTGCAGTTGCCTTGGTCGGGGTCGGGCTTAGCCTAGAAACAGTCGAGCTTGATATCGAAGATGAGCTCGAGCTGGGGCCGGACGACCTCGTACTGCTCGAGCTTGGCTTTAAGCTGCTTTTAGACGAAGCAACAGCGGCCGACGACGACGAGGAGGTCGAACCTTCCTGGGCGATCCCCTGCATCAGTAATGTAGTATACCCGCCATCACTCCACCACGTAAGATACGAGGCGAAGACTCCAGTCGCAGCTGGCTTGAAGGCCAATGGAATGGTAAGCGTGCCGCCGGCAGCTATAGTGGTCCCTACAGCAGGGAACGTTGGCGAGGAGAAGCTGTTTCCTACTGTTGGTAGAGTGACATTCTGATATGGCATACCATCCGCGTAATAATCCTGCCATGCAAAACCAGTGAACGACAGGGGCTTGCTTCCTAGATTTGACAAGAGGACTGATTTGGTTAATTGACCACCGACTAACACGCCACCCAAGGAGGCCACTGTTTGGTTGACGGTGAGATATCCTCCCGAGGCAACGACGGTTCCGGAGAGAGGAACAACAACACCAGGAAGAAACCCAGAAGCCGATGTGGTCGTATAGACGTTGAGGTTTCCGCCTTGCGTGCCGGGGGCAAGTTGATTACCACCATTTGAAATTTGCCAAGCTAAGATTGCTGCGGAGGTTAAATCGAACGTCTATCGATACCGTGTCAGAGTTTCTTGGGGGATTGAAAGGGGTCGGATGTTTAAACTTACAAGTCCGAAAGCGAACGATGCGCCTGCAGCCACACTTGCTGGCAGAGCAGTGGCTGGGCAAGTAAAAATAGGCGAAGTAATGTTGCACTTGGGATTAGTGACAGCAGTGTTGGCTACACATTGAACGGACAAAGTTGAGGTTTGACCGGTCATCTAGGTAAGGTAAGGTTAGCAATTAAAAAAAATTGGGGTGTACTGAAGAGGCCGGACATATCATCAGACATCTTGGGACAAATAATAGAGAAACCTGGGCTCCCCCAATACTTACAACAGACCCAAAAGCAACAGGATTGGGCGTACAAGTCAAAGATGAATTTGCCTTTGTGCCTCCTCCTGAAAGCATCATTAATGCACTGTTACGGACCGTGTACACTCGACCGTCTCCGAATACAGCACGTTGGAATTTAGTGATTCCTCCTGTGGCAGCTTGAGCGGGTAACACAATCGGTGTTAGGACGCCATTGACAGGAACGGCGTTGAAGGCCTGAAGACCCCAGTTGACGTCTGTCAACCAAACAATACCAGAGCCAACCTGTCCGTTGTTGCTGGTGACTGTCGGTACGGATTTGCTGGAAAAGCTGCGAGCCGATTTTCCAGCCAGGGTAAACAGTGGCTTTCCATTGCCGTCGCGGCTGAAGCTGTAGGCGTATAAGCTATTCGCGGACGGGTTGATGTAGATATATCCTCCCTCCAACGGGTAACTTCCTACGCCGCTCAACACGGCCGAGCCAACATTGATAACTTGGATGACGTTGTCGGCGCCAGCTTTGCCTCCAGCAAAACCCCCTAGGTCGTCAGCATTCATGACGAATAGTTTGGCGTCTTTTCCTGCGCCGACCGCGATTCTGGCCACACCGGCTCCATAGAAGGTACCTGGATCGAGTAACGCACAGCCGCCAGATCCGAAATCAGTGTCACCTCCATTGTTGCTATCGTACCCGTAAGACTCGAAATAATCTTGCTGCTTAAGTTCACCCGTACTTGGATTGACACCCATGTTGACAACAGCTTGTTCCAGTGTGCTCAGATACACCTTGCCGCTGGCGGCCTTGCCATTTGCTCCGCCATTTTGTCCGGCTCCACGAGCGTTTCTGAGGGAGTGTAAGTATTCTCAGCAGCAATATGCCTTGAATGTTCCACTCACCCGGTGATGAAGAACACCCGATTGACATCAGCAGCAAGTCCCTATACCAAAAGTTAACTTCGGCCCCGATCACCTGGCAACCGATCAACCCACCATGCCACCTTGCCAGATTCCTGCTTTACCACCGCCTTGGACAGTGATGTCGAGAGCCTGTGGAGATGGAGCACCTAGCAAGTCAATATTTACACTCCGTTAGACGACGCAGGATAACCACCTGGACTAGCTTCCATAGCTTGAATGTTAGTTACACCAACTCCAGCCGTCTTGCTCACGGCGACCAACATTCCTGTGTAGTTGAAATTGTCACAGTGACCACCGAAACCGGCTCTGTAGAGGCAATAAGTGAACATATCACGAGGGCGGATTACACGATGGCTTACACGACCGTGTTACCGAGCATGGCTAGACCGGGCCTCTGAAGAATTGTACCTCCAACGAAATATCTGACATTTAAGTCAACGGGGAGACAGAAGCAGTGCCAGGAGAGTCTACCTGGTCGGATCGTTTGCGGCATAATGTCCATCGATGACCGTCGGGAAACCGGCAACATCAGCGAGTGTCGGAATATTGACTGCATACATTTTGTAGATACCTGAAGATCCGTTAGGTAAATTGTAATCACGTTATTGTACCGGTACTTCGACGGTTACATACCGTTAATGGCGCCTTGAGGCCCTGCCTGTGCTGCAAAATATCATCAGTGGCCTCTCTTCGACCATTGCCCGGTGGCTTGAAGCCTTGAACTAACCATTCTTGTATCCCTTGGAGAAGAAGTACATGGTATCTGTGGCAGTGTCTATAACCGGGGTTCCCGCAATGCCTATAGTATTTGGCATATCCCCACAACTCACATCGGACGCAGCAAACGGTGGATCCAGCGTCCTCGACTGGATCAACATGCCCGTCACGCCATCATGAATGCGGACAATGTTCTGGTTGGATACCGTAATGACATATTCGTTCGGAGCTCCCGGAGGAGTGTACACCAAAGGCTTCGCATAGAAGACTTCGTTGGGGTTAAACGTCAATTTCCACGCGACCGCCAGAGAACTGGCAACGAGGGTAGGGTCCATATTATGATTAGGGAGATAGCCTGATTGTGGAGGATCCTATAGGCCGTCAATACCGCGGTCCGGATCTCATGGTGATGCAGCTATCCGTCCCCACTGGAGAATACGACTGGAGAATACGTACGGCATCCTGTGGCGAGTCTGTCGAAGCAAACGAACGGACGAGGGCTGGCAGAAGAACCAAGCCCATCAACTTCTTCAGCCATCCAGACATAGTCATACTTACTTGCTTGCTTGTAGGGAAGGCAAGCGATGGGTGTCTTTGAGAGAGACTGCGGTTGCAGAGGGTAAACGAAACGAGAGACGAGAGCACCTATAAACGCAAGTGGGTGGGCTGTGGATGGTAGACCGGAGTGGTGGCCGTGGAAAAAAAAAAACAGAAGGAGCGAGACGACTTTGGTTTGGGACAGCGGCAGTCCCCATGAACCGCAGGCACGGGATCTGGGATCTGGGATCCGGGATCTGGGATCTGTGTAATTCTCGGTACAGGTACACTGATCGATGTACCACAGCATCCAGATGCGAGCGCCTTCGGTTCGGGTCGAGAAGCCGCCCAAACGCGGCATAGGAACAAGATAGCTAGCAGCCGCTGGCGCTGGCGGAGATGAATACCGAGAGATTGATTCAGGAACCGGAACCACGACAGCTAGGCCCTGCAGCCACATCCAAGCGAGATTATCCGACTGGTTTGTTTTGATACTGCTCGCACCACTGGCACCACTCGCACCACCACTACGGAATAATCAGAGACACGCGCACTGGACACATTGATCATCCACCCACAAAGCTTGTATCGATCGCTCCAAGGAACAGGTCTTGCCCCGTCGTTTCCATCTGTCGGGAGGCACAAGGACACAATCAATGCCCCAATTTACCACCGCTTCATTTCTGTCGTACACGTCTCGAGGGATGCGGGAATGCCATGACATCAAGACCCGAAGCAAAGAGACGCTGTTTGTGCTTCATCACCAGTAAGGGGGAGGTGGGAGGCCTGTATCTCGTAACCCGGAATTCTCCTCATCGAGGACGAAGGCAAGGAAGACATCGATTCGTGCACAGGGATGGATTAAGGGCTGAAGCTGAGGCTGAGGCTGCCGGGAGTGAGACAGACTTTGGACCGTCAAGGACAGTCCGGATTCTATTTCGAATTAGCAGCACCTGCATCGAATTCGCTATATTGCTTAGCATGTCATTTGGCTCTCGAAAGCAAAGCTATAGCAAAATAGCCTCCTAGCAACATCTTACTTCAGTCTGGCTGCTGTGGTGCGAGGTAGCAATGCATCGCCGATAGAACTTTCGGAGATGTCGAGTCAGCAAGATCTTTGATTCCAAGATATCTCAAGCACATCGGGCCTGCCTGGCGATGAATATCTGCGTTTACCAAACATCCAGATCTTGGGATTAGGCATGACAGACGTGGAGCAAGATATCAGAGACAAATCCCAGAGAGACTGGAATTCAGCGGGTGACGAGCAATACAGCCTGCCTTTTCGTCGAGAGCTACACTCACATCAAGCACCTGGTAGGCATATTTTCAAGAACAATCATTCTCTCCTAGTATACACAACAATCAACACACTGTAGCCTTTCCTATGTTACAATTTTGAGTGGAGGACATCCACCCGATCGAATTTGGCTTCATAGTGCTGCACCGGCAGTGACCCTGGATCCTTGGACCCTTGGGCAGCGAATGAACGCCACGCCCTTCACAAGGCTGTGGGAAAGAAAAGCCGAAGACAGCGAGGGCAATTTTAGAGCCAATACAATATGAGAAAGGGAAAGTACAGGCAACAGCCGTGGTGAGCGTGTTTTGCGGGGCTGCAAATGCGAAGAAACGGCCAGTTTTGTGATGTGATGAGGTGCCTAACAGCCCAACAGGAAGACTCCATCCATCAAAGGACAGTGTGACATTCCCTTTCCATCCATCTACAGCCGGCGCAGCAACAGGCAAGTGAGCAATCGTGCAGATACGCAAGGAAATTTTATTGCAGAAATTTCGAGTCAACTCCAAATAAACATCAAGTAGCACAAGACGAACGGACTGGTCTGTGAGAAGACAGATTGTCCCAAATCTTCTCCTAGAATCCAACCAGCCGAGATTGTGAAAGACGTGCCGACAAACGAAGTGCGGACGACATATTGAAGTGAATGAGAAGCGCCAAGGATCAGTTGTCTCCGTAGTGGAACTTCTCGGCGTACCCATCCTCTTCTTTCTTATAGTCATCGTGGCGTGGTGTACTACCGGTGAGTTGCTCAGACATCAATCCTTTCTCCTTGAGGTACTTGATAGACTTCAAGATGGTAAGGTCGTCCTTAGCAGTGTCGTTTAGGATGAGTCGCTGGGCCAAAGTCATCTTGCCTCCATTGGCCTCCTTGTCTCTCAATGCCTGGCTGCGGATCTCCTGGTCATGAACGAAGCGACACTTGCCCTTCTTACCGCAGGTACCACCAGTCGAGAAGTACTTGCAGTGTCGCTGAAGTTGCGCCTTCGTTGGTTGTGACACACGATAAGGAGCGTGATGACGAGATGAAACAGCCTCGGGCTTTGAGCCTTCGGACTCAGTGCCAGAAGTATCATCGGAATCTTCATCGCTGCCTTGACGATCGTCGTCTCCCTCATCGCCATTCTCACGCTTGCGCTTGGAGCTGCCTTGCATGGATTCCTGAATCTTGCGTTCAGCTTTCTCGAGTTCGAGTCTGAGCTTCTCGGCCTTCTTTTGTGCCTTCTCGAGCTTCGACTCGCCCTCCTCTTTCTTGGCGGACTTCTCGTGGTGGTTCTTTTGTCTGGCCTCACGCTGTTGCTCACGTCGTTGACGAAGAGCTTCTGCGGCAGCCTCTCTACGAGCTTTCGTAGGAAACTTTGCTCGTCGCTCAGCGAGCCATTCTTCCAAGTCAGTTGGGAGCCTAGTGCGGGTTAGCGTGAAGAACAAATGCATTCTCTCAAGCAAGCAAAACATACTGTGGGGTGTCTGGACCGAGTAAAGTGACAAGCCGAGCTTCCTCATCGGCGTCATCAATCTCATCCTCGCTATCCTCGTGGTCGACACCATTGGGAGTCAGACCGAGGGTATTTGTGCGACGCTTCTTCTTCTTCTTGCCATGGAGATTGCCATTGCTTTCTGCACCTGCAGACTTATGGTGATGGTCAGAAGTGTTTCGGTGGTTGCCACCATGATTGCCATGAGAATTGCGGCTGTCGCCACGACCGCGAAAATGCTCAGAATTGTTACCACGGTCACTACGATCGCGACCATCGCGGCCACCTCTGCCCTTGAAGTTTGAATTGCCTCTACCCCGATTAGGGCCCGAGTTGAACGGATTGGGGTCAAGGGGTGGACGCTGTCCTCCATGAGAGAAATCTTGATTGGGATAAGGCTGATAATGCGGCTGAGGAAACGAAGCAGGTGGGGAATGACTTGGGTACGGTTGGAAGGGAGGGCCCGCTTGAGCCATGTGACCTCCTCTATCATTGTCAAAACCCATACGGATTGGTGGACCCATGAGAGGTGCTTCATGGCCGCCACGACCATTCTGAAAGCCACCACGACCACGATTGTTATTATTGAAAGGGGGTCTAGCATGCTGAGGAGGACCTTGCCACTGCTGGGGAGGCGCACTGTGCGGTGGTTGGTGGCTTGGCACATTTTGACCGTAAGTAGGCGCCTGTGCAAGCTGGAAGGGCTGAGGAGCTGGTTGTTGCGGGCCATACTGTGGCTGCTGCTGCGGCTGGGACTGGTATACTTGAGGAGCGTAGTTTGGGTGGTAATTTTGGGGTTGCAGGACAGCAGGTTGAGAAGCGTGTTGCATCGGTGGTGGTTGCGTGTGGGGTTGGTGTTGAGGAGGACCATGCTGTTGGGGACCGTGGTGCTGGGCATGCTGGTTGTTTTGCTGCCATGAAGGACCGTTATAGCCACCTCCTTGGGGGGCGGGTTGCTGGCCCTGGGGACCGGGATTTTGAGGGCCTATGTACGGAGCAGGTTGCGGGCCATTCTGACCGTTGTACCCCGAAGGCGGACCGTGGTTCTGTGGAGGGCCTTGTGGTTGGGGATTGTAGCCTCCGTTTGGCTGTTGAGGGTTGTAAGGCTGATTGCCGTGGAAATCTCCTCTACCACCTGCAATGCCTCCTCTGCCTCCACGCGGAGGGCCACCGCCCCGGGGAGCGTGTTGGTACTGCGGTTGGGGCTGTTGCTGCGCGTATCCGTACTGCGGATGGTTTGAATGAGGAGGGCCGGGTGGTGGAGGGGGAGGAGGGAAGTTGTAATGCTGCGCGCCGGCCATATTGTAGGCAGCTCGGGGTTGTGCGCTGGGCTGCGACTGCGACTGCGAATGCGACTGCGACTTGAACCCAGACCTGGAATCCGACAGGGCGTGCGGACGGTGCTCGAGGGTGTTATGAAAGGGAGCAGATGTGTACTGCGTGGTGTAGTGGTTTCCTGATAGCAAAGCACGTTAATTGTTGCGCGTCAATAACAGACCGATAGATGGCTTGACATGTCGCAAGGGACCGGAGGCGATACCGGTAGGTACCGGTAGGAAGGGGGAAAAGGAGCGCTTGCCTGCCATTATACTTCATGCAACCTAGCGTGGAACCAGGAATACCGAAGTTCACAGGATGACCGAGTCAAGACGCGACCGGACGAGATGAGTCGATATTTTTTCAATTGACTGATGTCAACAACTGATTGTGGAAAACTGAGTAGAGACAAATTTCGAGAGTGGGAAAGTTGAGGTTGTCGAAGTAACGTGTCGAGCTGTTGAATTGGCTTGTTGTATTGAGCGGGACTTGAGCAGCGTCGAGCTACCATGTCACGTGCACATATATTATTAGCCCGGCTTCAATTATGAAGCGGATTCACTGCGTCCTTCCAGTGGAAATCAAGACGCAAGCATTTCCAAAAAAGTCACCAAGAACAATTTCTGTCCCGGCAATGTTTATCCTCGTAGGTCCGGTCATCATCACAATTTTATATCGCTATTTATCTATCTTTTCATCGGTACATTCTAACTCTCTCGCAGACAAAGATCGCGGACCTGGTCCAGATCGTCTCTGAAGATTTCAATAAGGACGCTTTCCAAGCCCTTCAAGACAACATCAATGCCAAATATGCCAACAAAGTGATCCAAAAGATCGGTCTCTGCGTCTGCCTTTATGATCTGCTGGCTGCATCAGAGGGTCTTATTGGCCATGGAACTGGACTGGTCAATGTCAATGGTGGGTGTTTTATTTACTTTATATGGATTTGCTCTCCAAGTCTGGCTGCACAAATTCTTTTAATTGCAGAATCTGGGCTGTTTTTATGCTTTTTCCCTTGCCTTACTGTTTCTGGGAGCCTCAGCCTCCCGCAGATAAGCTTCAGATGCCTGAGAGCTTCTTTTTGGGAATCTTGCCTGTACTTACGAAATTTCCCTTCCTCTGAAATTATGCACCCTATCTTCCATCTCTCCACGACCACTCTTCCCTAGCTACCTCCTTTATGATCTCTCCTCTCTCTTCAAACAGAACAGACTTTCTCTAACACGGTATACATAGTCGAATTCCGCCTCATAGTCTTCCGCCCCTTCAAAAACGAAGTCATCACCGGCCGCATCAGCAGCGCGACGCCCAGAGGAATCCGAGGTGCGTTGCCCTCCACCTACCCCCAACTCCAAAACCAAAACGCTTAAACCCCAACCCAACTAACACGAAAGTCCAGTTCGTGTCCCCTTCTTCCAAGAGATCTTCGTACCAGTGGACAAACTCCCCGAAGGCGCCTCATTGTAAGTCTTCAGCTCCTACCCCATCCCATTCCATCCCATCCCCAGCCTATTCTCGAAAACCCCATCTCCTTCCCCCCTGGTACTAAACCCAATCCCAGCAATGAGGAGCTAGGGCAGTACATATGGGTCCCCGAGCCCGATGGCGACCAGCTCTACTTCGACGCCAACGATATCGTCCGTGTCCGCATCGAAGATGAAATCTGGACCGACCAGTCGCCCGTCGGACCACGGGAGAAAGAGGAAGGGGCGAGCGTCAAGACGCATCCGTACGTGCTGATAGGCAGTATGGAGGATGCTGGGCTGGGCCCGTGTCTCTGGTGGGATGGGGATGACGAAGAGGGAGAGGGAGAAGCAGAAGGAGAGGGAGAGAAAGAAGGAGAAGGAGAGGCAGAGGGGGAGGAGTAGATGAAGATGAAGATACTTGGAATGTGAATGGGCATGAGCATGGGCCTGGGACTGGGTAGGAGTAAAGGCGTGCACAGGTAATAGCACCGGCAAGGCGTTTCAGGGGGCCGAAAAGTTATCGTCTTTTGAAATAGCAGCTGCCAGGAAAATAGATAGCGCGTTGTTATCGATTCCTCACTCGAAAGTGGCTATTTGCGGTGCATACTTACCTTACGGAGCTGTGACGGTTCCGTGCTATATACCGTAGTTCCTGCCTGGGCTGAACTGCTCCATCATCCCCCCTCCCCTCCCCCTCTCTCCCTATACCATCCCAAGTGACAAAATCATAATCATCATGTACCTCGCTAGGTACACTCACATATTTCAAACCCCTTAAACACCCTTCGCATCCCGCATCTCCATCCTCCAACTAAATAAATTATCAGCCCCTGAGCGAAGCCGTGATGCAGTGAGATGGAAAGTAAGTCGATTCACATACATACTTACCTACATACATACATACCATATGTAGGTCGGTCAGGTTACTACCTAGCCAACCAACCGGCCAACACCCCCCCTCGCATACTACAAAAGTAACGAATAGAAAAAAAACAGAAAAGAGAAGGAATGGGAGCAGATAGACGCTGAGCATAAAAAGAAGATTGAGAAGGGAAAAGGGGAAAACTTTCGACAGGGGTTAGCCAGAGGTGTTGGTCACAGCTGCCCGCCACAGCAAGCAGGAAAGAAAAAGAGGAGGTGCAGGAAGATGTGCAGGAAGCACAACAGAGCGGTAGTTTTCGTGCGGCGACTAAAAATTCGGTAAGCGCCCATCTATCAACAAGACTTACTACCGTGTTAGGGAAAGGGAAATTTATGCGAAATAGCGGGAATTGAAGAGATGGTATAAGTTCGCTCGCGAATTCTTTTCACCCACGAGAACGGCTGACTGCTCTACTGCTCAAGGGGTATCTCGAAAGAGCGCAGCCGCCTAATGCATCCATATTCCATGCGTTCCTGTGTATCCTGTCTATCCCATAAGGAAGAACCACCAGGACCTCCCAAAATAGCCGTAGTTTGTAATACCCAACGCTACCCTTCGCGCAATTTCTGCCCCAAGATCCCGGAAAAGTACTCCAAATGTGGAAAATTCAAGAAGAGTGACCATTGGTACTGTTCACAGCTTGATCGCTCAAGCCGTTCGTGATCTTGGGCCACACAACAGCCTTTTCGAGAGCCTGTAGCACATCCTGCTTCAGGTCCTCGGCGTCTTCGATGCCGCAGCTGATTCTGACCAGATCGTCAAACACACCGACAGCCTCTCGCTGCTCCTTCGGAATACCCGCGTGAGTCATGCTGCTAGGAACCTCGACCAAGCTCTCAATGCCTCCCAGACTCTCGGCCAATGTGAAGATACTGGTCGTTTGGCAGAAGCGCTCAGCTGCTGCATGACCGCCCTTGATTCTGAAAGAAAGCATACCGCCGCCCATACCGTCTCGGTGCTGCTTGATTGCGATGGCTCTGTGCGGGTGCGAGTTCAGACCAGGATAGTTGACTGCGATGACATTTGGCGATCCCTCCAGGGCCTTTGCAACAGCTGTAGCATTGACGGTTGCCTCTCTAGCTCTCAAATGCAAAGTTTTCAATCCTCGGTGCGCCAACCAACAGTCGAACGCCGAAGGGATAGCTCCAATAGCGTTCTGCAGGAATCCCAATCGCTCCTTCATGGCATCCGAGTTGAATGCTGCAACGCCCATCACTACATCTGAGTGGCCATTGATGTATTTCGTAACCGAGTGCACGACAATATCCGCTCCGTGATCCAGCGGGTTCTGGACATACGGGCTCATGAAAGTGTTGTCCACCACAACCATAACGCCGCTCTTATGTGCCTGGGTCGCCACAGCTCGGATATCCACCAATCTCAGAGTCGGGTTCGAGGGCGTTTCGATCCACACCAGCTTCGTGTCCGGCGTGATGTGCTCCCTAATATCGACCTCAATCTCCGGCGTAAAGGTAACCTTCACACCATGCGCCTTTGCAACCTGAGTGAAGTATCTGTGGGTGCCTCCATACACATCGCTGACACTGATGACATGGCTGCCGGCCGCCAGGCTCTGCAAGATGACGGCTGTAGCAGCTGAGCCGGAGGAGAATCCTAGGGCATACTTGGCGTGCTCGAGGGCGGCGACGGCGACCTCGAAATTGTCGCGGTTGGGGTTCGAGGAGCGCGAGTACTCGTACTTGCCAACGGGCTTGCCGACGGCTGTTTGCGCGAAGGTAGTCGAGAGGGAGATGGACTCAATGACGGCGCCTGTGACGGGATCGTGGGGGGATCCAGCATGGACTGCGAGCGTGCCAAAGCCTTGAACAGGAGAGGGAGCCCGAGGCGGGGTGTCAATTGGGTGGTCGGCCATTTTGTTGGATGTTTCTTGGTGGTTATTTTTTGGGGGAGGGGGGGTTTCTTTTTTTAAAAAAAAAGGAGGGGGAAGCGGGCGGGGTGTGATTGATACTTTACGCACTTACTTGTCGACGAGTTGACGTGGGGCAGATAAGTCTCCGTAGATCTTGGGGCCGTGCAGATCCGATAAGGATTGAAAAGTAATCTGAGAAGATAGAGTTGTGGAGAGAGAGAGAGAGAGAGAGAGAGAAAGAGAGTTCAGACTGGCTTGAACGAGGGTGAGTGAAAAAGAGTTCTGTGGGGATTTGTTCTGCAGGGTGCAGTGCAGGGTGCAGGTTCAGCATTAAAATCTTCTCGCTAACCAAGGCCGTTGCGGGCCGCGACAAAGCCATAAGCACGCATACTTAGAAGCACGTTCTTACAATGTTCTATTAGAATAAGTGAGCACCTGGGTAAGAATGATGCCGTTAAGCAGGTACTACTTAAGGTAATATCCCCAGCCCTTGCTTGACCTCGGATTACGCAAATCAGTCACATCCCGTGACTTCTTGCTTGTCCGTCGTCACATCTCCTCCCTTCCACTCTCCCTCGTCCGACACGTCTTGGTTACTCCAAACGCCATGCAAGAGCCAGAGAGATACCAGCTGTCGTCAGTCTCAGACCACCCTCACATATACAGAAATACAGAAATACAGAAAACGGCGCCTTTCTTGCTGATTGATGCCTGCATATCAATCGGCCTTCTGACAGTAAGAAGTTACTGCCTCACCATGCAGAGAAAATCCCATCTGGATACCCAGCAGCCGCACCCCATCCCTTGATCAAGAGACCGAGATGAGCATGACCCCCCGACGGGCACATACAAAATCAAAGCTGGGCTGTCAAAGGTCAGTCAGTATCTGGAAAGCATCTCATCTAGAGATGTGTCCATCTATCTTGGAAGATCTGTGGGCACTATAATCATACAGCTTGCAGCTGCTGACCGTTTCTTACAGATGTAAGAAAAGGAAGATCAAGGTTAGCACAGCTACGGTCCTTCGTTGCAATCCAACTTGATGCCTTTTAGTGTGATGAGATACACCCACAATGTAGAAATTGCGTTCGACATGGTACGCAATGGGGAAGCCCAATGTTCTCCTATGTTCTCAGTCTCTCACCCTTCTCCCAAGACTCCCTCTTCATCGGCCATTTACTGATTTCCCCCGTGCGACAGGAGTTTCCTGCGACTTCGAGTACCCTGGTAGCCCATCATCCTCCCCCTCGGGACCTAGTCCAGCTCTTTTAAGATCTGCCTCTGATGCCTCGACCTCGGGATCCAGTGATACCATCGTGCCACTCTACCAGACCCCTTCGGAGCCTTCGGCGTTAGTCAGGGCAGATTCGAATCCAGCCGCGTCTCGAAGCTTAGAACTCAAGCTCTTGCATCACTACACGACCCTTACCTCACAGACGTTTTCGGATACGGATGAGCAGATTAAAGTCTGGCAGATGGACATACCAATGATAGCGTACGACTCGCAGCATCTCATGGATGCCATGCTGGCAGTATCGGCTTTGCATTTGCGGTCTACGTACCCGGACGACCATAGCCTGATGAGAGCTTCACATGGATACATGGCTTCCTCGATCGCTCAATACTCGAATCTACTACGTCAAGGGCTTTCCAAGCCCAATGCCGAGGCCCTTTTCTCCACATCTGCTTTGATAGCTTTCCAAGCATTAGCATCTCGGCGTTTCGATGCCCAGACGAATGGTGTTTATACCTTACCGCTGGCTTGGTTCCATTCGTTCCAAGGAGTGAAAACGATCGTGTTGTCAAGCTGGCAGTGGCTTCGAACAAGCAACCGCATACACCCGATTATCAACAGTCAGCCAGCCTTGTTCCTTGAACCAGACCCAGAGCGAAGATTGTTCTTTGCCCCACTATTGCAGGGCCTCGAAGAGCAACTCGATAATCTTCCCGTGCTAGCTCGTGCCGAGACCAAGCAAGCATATGAGCATGCGGTTTCATATCTCAACTGGGCTCACAAGAAGCCTGTCCGGAATCGCATTCTGGGATTTGCAGCTACCGTGTCGCGACGATTTGTAGATCTGATGGCAGGTCGAGATTCCCGGGCGCTTGTGATCACCGCGTGCTTCTTCGCTTTGACCAAGGTGGTGGACAATGTGTGGTGGTTGGAGGGCGTTGCGAAGCGTGAGGTCAACGGTATTTTCAGCCTGCTCCCGCCGGATTGGTGGCCCAAGATGGAGTGGGCGCTGAGAGTTGCGAATCATGAAGGATTGATTGATGAGGAAACATGGGGCGGAAAATTGCAGTCTTTGCTTGAGGAGCAATCGGTTGTGAAGGCCGAAGGAAGTTTTGAGGACAATGTGATCCGGCATATCGAAATACTGGCGCAAATGAATGGCGGGCTGCTGGAGCCGTTGGATTGAGTTTGGTCCGACAATCGAGGGACCGAATCAGGCCACCGTTTGACCATTGGTAGTTCATGGCTTGGGCAGGATGCAAGAATTTAATTCTTGAAGCACCAGCAGCCAGAGTGGATGAGAGTGGGACCAAGGAATAGCGCAAATTCCAGCTCTCAGATACCAGCGACGTGGTGAAGCGAGGATTCCGACACAGGCACCATTCGCTTCCTATGTTCCGAGAGCATGAGAAGGGAAGGATCTCATGAATTAGTTCCATTGATGCATGTGAACAGAAAGATAAATGTATTCCGAGCCTATGTAAATGATCAGATTCTGTTAATCGTCGAGTCTGAAAAGATGAATGGAGGCCCAACTAAGCGAGCCGACGATTATTCGAGTCCCTTTCCATCCATGAGCGAATGAATGACAAGGGATCGCCGAGCCGCTAGCATGGTCTCGTGCCAGCGTGGCCGCGTCGTTCTTGAATCCATCTGCGCGTCAACCCCACCGAGAAATTTCATACTCGATGCCACGAATTTTTACCACGATCACTCGGTGGTACCTGCAACATCCGTCGATATACCATGTTCCGCAAACCCCGCGAAAATACTCTCGTCGATCCTACATCAACGCCCCTCAAGCCGTCAACCGGCAGAGCCCCCACGCCACCCAACACCACCACCACCCCTCTCACAACCAACACCATGGCTTCGCGCAAATCCTCGACAAAACCGCTCACTCCACGCCCCAATACCAAGACCAATGCGCCTTCAACGAGCACTAAACAGAGTGCCGGAAAACTAGCCACGAGCACCAAGAAATCATTCGCTGAGAAGCAGGGCAAGCCGAACGCCAGTATCCTGAACTTTTTCAAGAAAGTCGATGGGCCGCTGCAGGATGAGAGTATCTTCTTGGCGGCGGGGAGTATGGTGGCAAACATCAAGGCGTTGCCGAAGACTCGGAGCCTGGACGCTGAAGAGGATTTTGAGGATCTTTATGGAGATGGGGAGGACAGGTTCAATGAGTCTGGGGGCCCGGTGAAGAAGAGGAAGACTTCGGGGGATGGTATGGGAGGGGCAGGGGGTGATTATGGGGACTTGGTGGTGGGGATCCCGGATACGAAGGTTGGGGAGGAGAGAGTAAAGAGCAGGTGTACGCCGCCGTCGCCTGAGATGAAGTCTATTGAGAAGAAGGACAAATCAAAGCCGAAGCCAAGGAAGAGGAAAGGTCCATTTCTGTCGGACTCAGAAAGCGATGGTGAGTTTGAGGAGAAGAATGAGTATATTCAACAGGAAACTGTGGCTGCCGAGAGGATGGAGCTAGATGCTGTGGTTTCAAATCAGCCGAGAGTCATAAACGAACTGGTCGAGACGAAGCCGGGTTCCCGGGAAGCGGTACGGACGAACAAAACCATCGTCCCGGTTGTAGCAAAGGTTGTTCCGATCAAAGTGTCAAAGTCCAAGCCGAAGATTGATGTTAAGGAGGCACAAGCGAAATGGGAGCAGATGCAGCCGAACACGCCGCCTCCTGAGACTCCGGATGATAGTGAAGGGTCGTCATATGGAGGGGGAAGCAAAAAAACGAAGAAGAAGACCAAGAAGAAGACCAAGAAGGGAAAGGATCCTGCAGTTCCTGCTCTAAAGAAAGAAAGCGCAGGTACTAAGGCGAAAAAAAATGCGTCTGTGCCTTCGCTAAAGAAGGAGAACACAAGCGTGGATGAATGGGAGAAGTTCGAGGATTTTGAAGATTTCCACGAAGATATTGATGATGAGTTTGGCGATGGAGAGGAGGCTGTCGAGAGGAAGTGGATGGAGGAGCAGGCTAGGCTGGAGGCTGACGAGATTCGTAAAGAAGAGGATCTGGGCGAAGACGAAGAGCCGTTCAATGGCTTCGACCATGTCCTTGAGTTTGGGCAGTCGGTAGAGGGAATGACTGCGAATTGTCCAATTTGTGAAGCGAGTCTGGATGGCATCAGTCCAGATGATGCCACGAGGCATGTCAACGGATGTCTCGATGGTAATCCCATTCCCTTACCAGAGCAGATTCAATCTCCCAAAAAGCCAGAGCCGAGTAGAGCAGCAAAGTCGATCCCTGCAGGAGCAAATCGTTTTGCCCGAAAAGCAGCAATAGCCAGACCAGGGCAGGCAAACCCCTTTGAAGTCGCCCCTACAGCAGCAGCAACCGCCTCCTCGGCCTTCTCGAAGCTTATGTCGGGCCATGCTGAAGATGCAGCTTGGGCGAACGCTGCAGCTGCGGAGACTAAATCCAGAGGAAAGCCGGCTTACGAAAGGACCTGCCCCTTTTACAAGATCATGCCTGGATTCTTCATCTGCGTAGATGCTTTCAGATATGGTGCTGTACAAGGGTGCAATGCCTACTTTCTGAGTCATTTTCATAGCGATCACTACATTGGGCTCACGTCTACATGGTGTCATGGCCCTATTTACTGTAGTAAAGTGACTGCGAATCTTGTCAAGCAACAACTTCGAGTTGACCCAAAATACGTGGTTGCTCTCGACTTCGAAGATCGCTTCGAGATTCCAGGAACTCAAGGAGTGGCTATCACTATGATTCCCGCGAATCATTGCCCAGGCAGCTCCCTCTTCCTGTTTGAGAAAGTCATCGGCAAAGGAGCCAATCCAAAGACCCAACGAATCCTCCACTGTGGCGACTTCCGTGCCTGCCCAGCACACCTCGCTCACCCTCTCCTCATGCCAGACGTTGTCGATTCCATCACTGGTAAGACGAAACAGCAAAAGATCGACGTCTGCTACCTCGATACTACCTACCTCAACCCCAAGTACTCCTTTCCCTCTCAAGAAGAAGTCATCAAAGCCTGCGCAGACATGTGCGTGTCCCTCAAGAAGGAGCGCGCCGAAGAGACCGACGCCTGGGAAGTCGTCAAGCGCGAGCGTGCCGGGGCTGGCATGACCAAATTCGTCAAGAACTCTACCATCAAAGCTGAAGACGACAGCTTAGCCATGTCTCTGTCTTCCAAAGACGCAAAAGCGCGCGGCAGGCTGCTGGTAGTGTGTGGTACCTATAGCATTGGTAAAGAGCGCATCTGTATGGGTATTGCTCGCGCACTCGACTGCAAGATCTGGGCCCCGCCCGGCAAGATGAAGATATGCAAGGCGCTGGAAGACGAGGAGCTGATGTCGCGCATGACCACCGATCCAAAGGAAGCGCAGATTCACATGCAGATGTTGATGGAGATTCGGCCGGAGACGCTGCAGGATTACTTGAACACATACAAGCCGCATTTCAGTCGCATCGTGGGCTTTAGACCGAGTGGGTGGAACTATCGGCCCCCTGTTTCTCGGTAGGTCAGCCCTTTTCCCCTTTTCTCCAATTCCTCTCCTCGTACTTTGAAATTCATACGCAAATCTAACCCGCCCACTAGCTTTATAGCCTCCCCCTCCATCTCAACCATCCTCCACTCTCCCAGTTGGCATTCCTCCTTCTCCATGTCCGAACTCGTCCCCCAGCGCGGGAGCACGCGCGAAGCTTCCTGTTTCGGCGTCCCGTACTCCGAACACTCGAGTTTTCGCGAGCTCACGATGTTTGTGTGTGCGTTGCGCATCGAGAAGGTGGTGCCGACCGTGAACGTGGGGAGCGCGCCGGGACGGGCCAAGATGAAGGGGTGGATCGAGAGGTGGATGGCGGAGAGGAAGAAGAACGGGGTTGTGAAGGTGGGAGAGGGGGGAGAGGGGAAGAGAGAGATCAAGTGGTAGGTAGTAAGTAGACCGTCGTATAGATAATCATCGGTTACCTCAAATAATCACTCGAAAAAATTACCGACCTGACCGATCGGGGTATTTGTACCATTTAATTCAAGGTAACCGACGATGATAGTACTGAGGTTGCAAGGGGGAAACGCGTCACTACTCTTTTTGCGCATTTCGCTTCCTGTTGTAAATTTCAAATTTGACGGTACGGTACAGAGTCAGTCATAAAGTGAGTGAGTGAGTGAGTAAGCAAGTCTCTCGCCTCGTTTTCCCTACCCGCCGAATAAATAACCAGCCAGTAAGTAGTAGTAGTATTATTACTATTACTAATACTAATACTAACCAACGACTTCGGGCCTCCCTAGGCTCCCTTCTTTTTTTTTTTTTTTTTTTTTTTTTTCAGTCTTTCATCTTGCAACTTGCTCCACTTTTCCGTTTTCCATTTACTGTTTTCCATTTACCGTTTTCCGTTTACCGTTTTCCATTCCCTTTACTTCACTTTCTTTCTTTCTTTCTTTCTTTCGCCACCCCCACCCACCGCCACGCCTCTACTTACTCTCGTCAATGTCCGTTTCTCGCCAACGCCCCGTTTTCTCGCAATCTCTCTTCCCCTTTCCGTGCCAAGCAAGCGAGCGAGCAAGCGAACGAGCAAGAAAGCAAACGAGCACGCACGCGAGCAAGCAAGCAAGCGAGCGAGCAAGCAAGCAAACAAACGAGCAAGCACCACTCGCGACTTTTCGCCGGCCGATCATCACTACTGTCCAATATGTAATATGTAATACAGTATGTAACAGTATGTAACATATAATCTTTGCAACCTACCTACCTTTCCGCATACGGGAAACCTTCCGGACCTGAACCTGAACCGCCCTGGTCGTCTTGGCACCGTCAACGTGGGAGACGATAGCCAAGAGATCTATATATATATTTTTTCATTTATATATTTTTTTGCTTTTCTTCTTTTGGTCCTTGAATGTTGATCCTCATGGTAGCTATTTGATTGACACTGGATAGCCCATACTCGTGCGTCGGTTTGCTGAACGAATTATTTTGATTTGGTTGGGTTGCGTTTCTTTGAGGGGTATAGATATATATAGATATAGATATATATATTTATATATATTTATATATATTTATATATATATGCATATTTTATAAATAACCGGCTTGCTCTCGCAGAGTACCATCTTCAGCAAGAGGAGAAAAAAAAAAGAAAACATAATGGGGAAAGAAAAAAAAAAAAAAGACCAAGAGAGGTGAAATCAATCCCTCTCCTTCCGTCAATCTCATCTCGGTGAGTCGACATCCGAGTACAGCCAGAGAGCTCAATCGCATGCGGCTCTGATCGAATCGATCTTTTTACCCATCCTCCTTATCAACGCCCAAACTCCGCCGCCCCCGTGTCTACATGATGGGCGGCTACCAAATTACAGAAACCAGACACCGTCGTCAAATAGAAAAAATGATCAGAATCTATGCATAAGGCGTCTTCGACTTCTCGTTTGTCTCCTCGTCGGATGTTTCTTGCCGCTTGACACCGGGTTGACAGGACGTCGGCATCGTACTCCTGAAGTAGCGGTGTATCTCGTTACTGTACTCGTCACCGCCCATGCCTGCGCCGCCGTCCTCGCGCGACTGCTTCTCGGATTCCCGCCGCGCCCAGTCTTTGCGCATGTCCTGAATCTTGTTGGCTTTGTCGAGCACGGGATCGTAGTGCTTGCCCACGCCCGTCATGCGCTCATACACCGAGAGATGCTTGGGGTGGACAGCGATTCCGTGATACTCGCTATCTCGGCCGTCTCGCAGGTAGGCCCATCTGCGCTCTTGCTCTTTGAGATCGAGACCGGTGGTGTCCGGGAGGAAGATGTAGGTCAGAAGCATGCCGACCAGACCGAACCATGGGACGAAGTAGAACTTGGTCTGTGTGTCGATGTAGTTGTAGAGCACTGCAGCGAGGAGAGCACCGGTTTTGCCAACAGCAGCCGACACACCGTGAGCTGTAGCACGCACCGGAGTGGGGTAGACCTCGGCAGCGACGAGGAAGCTGACGCTGTTGGGGCCGAATTGGTTGAAGAAGGATGACAGGAAGTACATGGCCTGAAACATCTTGATACCGTCGATGGAGGTGTAGTATTTGAAGTGGAAGGCCGGGATGACGAAGAAGATGAAGTCCATGAAGAAACCGACTTGTTGCATCATCTTTCGTCCGTAGAGCTTGTGGTCGATGAGGAAGGAGGCCAGATAATACCCTGCGAGCGAGACACCAACGTTGACCAGATTCCATAGCCAACCAGTCATGACATTCCCCGACGCGGCGGAGCTTGGAGAGATGACCTTGATGAATTGGGATTGGAAGAGCTTGTTTCCGTAAAAGAAGACGTCGTTGCAGAACCAGGCTCCGGCAGTGGCAACGAGACGCGGCCAGAAGTATTTGAGGGTGAGTTTTAACGATTGGACGTCGTATCCGGTGACCTTGGCCTTCTGCTTTGCCTCGTTCAGAGCCTTGGAAGCCAGAGGCATCTTGTAGGTACGATAGTAGACGAGCCACAGGGTGCCGACAGCTGGGATCGCGAAAGAGACACGGAACGTCCACTGTACTGAGACGAAAGAGTAGGGAGGGTTCGCGCTGTGATGAAAGATGAGGAGTAGGACGATCAGAACGACCTGATTGAAGAATTGGCCCCAACCTTGCATCAAGAAAGCCGTGGTGACTTTGCGCCCACGGTGAAGACGATCCTCTTTGGTTGAGACCCGACCCGAGCCAGTGGCATTCTCCATAGCGGCGGTCGCCGTCATGGGATACTCCCCACCAACACCGATACCGTAGAAGAAGAGGGCCCATCCGTAACAGATGACCCATCCGTTCAGATTGAGGCCCCAGGACGCAGTGAGCCAGAGAAGACCGAGAAACATAATGGCGGCATCTTGAATAAGTCCGAATCTTCGACCGATGCTGTGGGGGGGAAAAGCGGAAGGGTGTCAGAAACGAGAGCGGTCTGATGGAATCAACGGGCGAATCCTACCTGTCACCAGTGTAACCTATAAGAATCTGGCCAACAATGATGCCGACAATTTCCAGGTATTGAACGGCATCAACCCACGACTGGCTGCAAACCTCGAAGGTTTCCCAGCAAGTTGGCCAGACGGCTTGGAACAGTGGCGTCAGATTGCCAATGGAGAAGAGAACATATCTGCGTAGGTAGGAAGAGATGAAAGTCAGCGTTCGGTCATGTGATGTGTGGATAGGATAGGATAGGGTAGGTAAGCACATACCCTTCGAGGCCCAATCCGGCACCAGGCAGAACGGCGTTCTTGAGGTACCAGGCCACAGGAGAGAGAGGGTCTTTTTTCGCCATGGAAAGGAAGGAGAAAAACTCTTTCTTAGCCTCGGCATTGCTGGCTTTGTTGACGAATCTGATTTGCTTCAAGGCTGGGAGATCGGCCCAGTAGATGCCTTCTGGGGTGTAGAGATCATCGGGGTGGAGGAGGTCGTGGAAAAGTTCCATCTCGCGGACCTTTTCCTGAGCAGTCGCTGAGCTATCAGGAGGGGCGACTTGACCGTAGATGGTCGGGGGCTGAGGAGGATCGGACATGTTGTGGACTTGAAGTTGAAATTGAAATTGAGGTCGAACTCGAGTCAAGAGGGGGGGGGGAGGAGGAGTAAATCGAGGGAGATGATATATAAGGGACCGACAGATGGCAGGCGTGCTGCTAGTATGTCGAGTAGTATAGTGTTGAGGAGGTTAATGCGGTGTGGAATAGTGTCCTCAAAAGCCCCATTCCTGTTATTGGCGTTGGAAGGTCTAAGTATCGTGGCGAGTCGAGGGCATGAATGAAAAGATGGATAAGGGAACGCGTGAGTGAATGCGTGAGTAGGTAGCTGCGTAGGTGACGGCGAGTACGAGTGACCTCGTTTGGTGAGTGAGCGGACTGGGGGAGTGAGGAAGTGAATTAGTAGAACAAGATGCAAAGATGCAAAGATGCAAAGATGCAAAGATGCAAAGATGCAAGATGGAGAGGCGTCAAGTGAAAAGATATACAGTGAAAAGATATAAAGTGAAAAGATCCAAATATGACCGGGGCCCAGTGCCGAGACTAAGGCCAGTTCCAGGGCCAAGGCCAAGGCCGGAGAATTTAGTAGTAGTAGGCAATCCTGTGACTGATGTTGATAAGAGGTAGGAGTTCTACAACCTAGTAGTACATACGTAGTAGTACGTAGTACTAGTACCTACAGAGTATATCAAACCTTCTTCAGCTTCTTCAAACTATTCTCGCAGGGGGGCCTCGTTCGGATCCATCACGCACTGACGATTGCTTCTCATAGGGTAATGTCAATGATGATCAGAGAATACCGGTAGGTAGTCAGGATCACAATAGAGTAAGGATAATAAATAGTAATACCTAATACCTAATACCGATAACCATAACCACCAACAACCATCAACCCCCAAATTGCCGCACCCTACCGTAGACAAGCGGTCAACTGACAGCGAAGCTTTCCCCCAGAGTCAAAACAACCCAAGATCGGCATCCATTGTCCATACCGACATCCTTCGTTATAGTACAGGCCGCAAAAGCCTCAAAGCCTCGAAAAGCCTCAGAGCCCTACGCCCCAAAGCCCCAAAGCCCTAAAGCCTCAAGGCCTCGAACACCAGACGTGGCATTCCACTCCTCGGCCCCCCCCCCATCCCACCCGGATCCCATTACCTCCAGTACCTCTCAAGAGTCGAGAATCAACCACGAGGTCGGCATCGCACCACATCAATGGATGAAACGAATCCGATTGTCGTCCCCACGGCCGTTCGCAGCCAATCGTTCCGGAACGTGTGCGGACGGGTTGGCCTAGGTACCTACTCCACTCCACCGCCACGCTGGACCACCGACCACCGACCACCGACCACCGACCACCGACCACCCGCACGGGCCGTACGGAGGTGCCGGGACCATCGTCACGTGTCTCACCGCCTGCAGAATCTCTGCGATTCTGCCGGGTGACATAACTCTGGTCCCGGCAACTCCGTAGATGAATTGGATATACCGGTGGATGTACTGGGCCATCGACCCCCTTCTCCACAATACCTCCTCCACAAGAGGTATTTGATTGGTGCACTAGGTATCACCATCACCATCACCGACCACATCTTCGAGACGACCTTTGCTGATGTTTCCAGCCATGATGCTTCGTACGTGCATCCGTTAGTCAAACGAGTCACATGACTGCCCGACTAAGGCCCTTCGCGAGTATGGATAAAAGATAAGCCGACGGAACAATCCTCCGTTCGTACACATATGAATCCCATCCCCTCCCCCTACCCTCCCCTCCCCTCCCATCCCATCACCCATCCCCTCCCGTCTTCCGCTGCCTCTACGGAGCCACCACCGAAACCTCCGCCCCCAGCCATGCCATGCATCGCTGCCCATTCACATTCATCTCTTCCATTCCGGTTCTAGCAGCTTGAATCTTCCGTCCTCCATCTCCATTCAGCAGCTGTCGAGGACCCCAGACCCCAGGGTCCAGACCGGATCCCCTGCCGCATGACGTCTGCATCCGCGTGTGGTCTCGAACGCCATACTGAAAAGCTTGCCGAACGACCCCGACGCCGCCACAGCCGCCACAGATCCGGATTCTCCTGTGCTTGAGGACGTGCCAATTCAAGCTGGCCCATGCGTTCCTTCCTGGGCCTTCGTCAGATGGTCGACAGACAGACAGACAGACAGACAGATATGCCCATGAGAAAGGTCAAATGGGAAGAGAGGGCAGGAGACAAGAGGATCATCTAACCCCTTTTTCTCTTTAGGAAGGCACTCCGGAGTACTCAAAACTCCAAGCCTGGTAATCAATTAATGATCTTGGTAAGCGGCTTGTCGGTCTATCAATTATTCTTTCCTTTTTCTTCGGCATCTATTTTGGACCCGCTCTCCCCCCTCCCCCTGGTGCAATTGAAAACATGATGTCAGAAAGGATGGATCCACGTATCCTGGAAGACAAAAACCGATATCTCGGAATGCAAGCAAGGCTTGTCTTGAGGACAAAGATTGATTTGATAATTTGGCAGGGCTTAAATTGTTGCATCTATGACGATTTCCGATACCTATATGGGAACGGATATGCTGGGCGCACAAATACAAGCAAAGGACAAGGAAACGCACAGGGCATATTGCTTCCCTACCTACCTACCTAGGTACCTGCTTACCTACCTGGGTATCCAACCCCGGACGGGAAACTCTTATATACAGTACTTACTCGTACTCGTTAGCTGCGACGAAGAATTAGAATTTGGGGTTTTGCCTTTATTTCTTCTTCCTTATCTTTTCCGCATTTCCCATTCCCGATCAGCAAAACTCAGTCACTCAGTCAATGGGAATCTAGGCGAGAGGCAAGTCTCCCTCCTCGTGGCTAGGCTGCATACCTATACTTCGTACATATGTTTAAATAAGCATTACGGCATGCCGGCCCGGCGCGGCTTTCTCTCTGATAGGCCGCCCTGCGCTTGCTGCTCGCAGAACTTCACCTTTCAGTTGATTTCCCGAATCCTTGAAGTTCTAGATATCAAGGGGTAAGGGTAAATAGGAAGGACGATGTGATCATAGGCTTGAGATACAGATTATAGATAGCTAGATACACACGGCCAAGAGGTTCCGAAAGCGACACATTACGTTGATGAAGTAAGTAGTCGGGCACGTCAAGTGCGGCAGTTATTGAGTTCGCCCGAACTAACTGCAACTCTCACAACTCCCCCTTGCTCGCCTTGCTACCACCAGCTCTGGCCCTCCCACCCTTCAGCGCCTCCAGGAATTCCCGTCCCCAAACCTGCTTCTCATGAGCGCTCACATGATGCTCCCAGCATCCATCATCCAACATGCGCTCTGTACTCTCACACACCTTCGCCTCCGCCACGTTGCCTTTCGGCCAGACGCCCAATTGAGCGCCCATACCCTCGTCAAGAAAGTTGTCCATCACGAGCTGTGCCACCTTCACCCGCACACCATCAAACTCCTCGCCCTTCTTCAGGAAAATAGTGAGCAGGAGATCCATGCCGCGCTTCACGATGAAAGAGTCTCTGATACTAGGGTCCTTGAGGAGCCCGCTGATAGCTGAGACTTTCGCCTTCAAAGCCCCAGCATCGTTCTCGCGGCCGAGGCGGTTGTGAAGCATGGAAACGAAATTTGGCGGAGCTGCATCGGCTCCCATTTCGGACTTGATATGCTCAACTTGGCCGCAGGAGGGGTAGACGATCATTTTGCTATACCCGGCGACTTCCTTCAAGGCAGTGGGGTTGTTCTGGATGGAAGAGGCCAGGATGTTAGCTGCTTTGTGTTCTCTACTGCTCGCCTTGGCTGAGGTCTGTCCAGTTCCGTAGCCAAGGGTCAGACAGACCAGTCGCTCGAGGACCGGCCCGTCTTTGACGATTTCGAGACCGTAAAAGATATCGTGAGATAGCTCGCGGAGATCGTCGAGTGCTGAATCGAAAGCTTGGCCTTCCAACTGGATTGTAGCCATGGCTTTTTGAAAGGTGGTGAACTCGTCACTGGCTGGGGGAGGAGGGAGGATCTTGCCCGCGGCTTCGTAAGCGGGTGCGTCTTTAGGAATGTGTGGTTTTTGTTCTGACTCATCAGGTTGCGGGATCACGACTATAGACTGCTCGGTGGTTGGTAGTTGATCTGTTGGTATTTCTAGGACTCCATCGATTGCGCCCTCCTCGCCCTCCATAGGTATATTCAGCCGCGCCTCTTTCTCCCCGGACCATATGTTCATCCGTACGTGTAGACCCGGTGGTAGATCCTGGCCTTCTCTTACGGGTTGAAAGTCCTTCGTCGGCTGGAAAATATGTGGATAACAGTCTGTTGGATCGGAAGTTGAACATATCAAATCTGAGCCTGCTTTGGGAGATTCTGAGGGTGGCGAGGAAATTGCTCTCGCTACTATGGGTAGGCTGAGAAATATGAGGCCCAGAAGGCGACGCGCGGATGGGAGAACCATCTTTTAGATGGTGCGTAGATACTGGTATATGGAGTGATCGTCGGTTTCTGGAGTGTTTTTCCTCTTTGAATGTTCCCTTTTCCGCGAAGACGTCTCAGTGAGTCACAATAGAGAGGATACGATTGACTTTTCGCTTCAGTCTTCGCAGTATTCGCCTCTGTCGCTCTGCTTCCTCGGCTTCGGCCACAGCTTTGTCGAAGGCGTGTATATCGAACGGCACTGATTTACCTTCGGCCTGTCTTTGTAATTCAGCCTGCCAGGAATCCAGAACCTCGGGATACACAAGGAATAGCTCTCTGAGTTCCCAACTTGATCGCAAAGTTGAGCAATCCTGCCACTTGACTAGATACCAGATCAAACTGGGCACGCCGGCGAGGGCCTCGGAGGGCGAAGGGATCTTCACAGGGAATTGCGCAAGAATCTTTTCAGGAGCGTGTATCTGGCCGTCGTCTGTTTCGAGAGAGGCAAGAGATTCGTTGTCCTCGTCACTTTGGTCCTCCAAGAAGTCCGTAAATGCTGACAGCGAAGCTGCGGAAGCCATTTAGAGGACAAGTGGCCGTCTTTGTGTCCAGATGAATTCCGATTGATGTCTTGCCTCTGGGCCAAGCCTCTCTTAGTCGGCTCAATAGCTCACCGCCCTGCTGACTAAGCCCGAGATCTGGTGAGGAGCAACGTCGAGCTCAGCGCGCCCGCATGTAAGTTCCATCTGCGCCCAATCGATTCATAACGCCATGTTTGCACTCAGGAGAAAGGCAGTTGAATCTGCTGGGCGTCTTCCTGCAGCTGTGAGCCGGAGGACTTCCCCATATTCGACCGCACACCCCGAGAAAGCCGGCGATCATGGACATCACCATCACCACGAAGGACCCAAGACAGAGTCGCTTGGAGTCAGTACAGCCAGTCCTCGAAGGTGGACGAAGCCATACTGACAGGAATATAGACCCAGTTCTTCGTCGCTCTTGCCATCGTTCCCCTCTCCTTAGGAGTCTACGCCGTGTCAAGACCGGATGCTCAGGGTCATCCACGAGGCTTCTCAAACTTCATTGGAAGCTATTACACGGAATACAAGGACCGATGGACGCGAACGAACAGTATCCATACCGCTGCATTAGAGGCGGCTGCTTTCGATCGCAACCTGTTCCAGAGCACCCCAGGAACCAAGCATGTTGATCTGAGATTTCCAGAGTAGGCATTATTTGGCATACTGTGGTAGCATTGCTGATCGAAGGTAGAATTTTCAACACCGGATCTCCATTCAACGTTTCGGCTGGCCAGGGACCAAGGAATATGGATGCGTTGGTCGCGCATTACGAGAAGCAAAACTCAGATGCAGAGGAGAAGAAGGCCAAGGCGTTGGCAGCGAAGCAGAGCTAGATGGGTTGATACCAAGACTGTACAAACAAATGTTATTTTGGCTGTTCTTTCCAGCTGAGTTTGACTGCAAAATTGAAGGCGCTTTGATGCCAAGTTTTGGTAGGTCTTTCCATTTTCTTTTTGAGGATGCCCGTCAGCACCTCTTTCTTGGTGGCTTCGTTTCTTGCGTTATATCTTCATCGTACAATTACCATAACAGCTCTATTTTGGCGGCTTCATTTCTTTCGCTATATCGTCATGGAACAATCACCATAGCACCTCTATCTCGATAACACCTCTCTCTCGCCGGCTTCCTTTCTTTCGTTATATCTTCATTGAACAATCGCCATGGCCGAGTACTTGGGCGCGGGATTAATGAACCTGGCAGCGGCCCTAGAGATACCTCCAAAGATCCATCAACCCGTATCCGACAATAGAACCGGTATTCCAAAAGCTCCAGGGGTGGTCTCAGCCTTAAGCGATCTTGGCACAGATGGAGTGCCGGGCTCGGGTCAGGCTGGTGTAAAGTGGCCTCCGTCTTCTGGGAGATTGGGAAATTGGGACGGCTGACACTGATGTGTGCAATAGCCGTCCATCGCCGTTGCCGAACCGTCCCAAGGCCACCGTAACGGCCAGCGTCTGAATCGCCATGAGATGCTGGCCAAAGACGGTGGTAGGAATGCCATCTCCTCTGCTCGGAACGTTGTACTGATACTTTTAGACTATTGGAATGCACACCTATTCCCTGGCCCGGTGGACACACGGGGATTCCCAACATCAGATGAAGGTGAGCGAGATCTAGTCGACTGTCTCAGGGATAGCTTGCGGGCATGGTGCTGATGGAACAGAGAAACTTTACAAACTTGAGCAAGGGTCTGGGACCCGATTCGTGGTGCGTGCCCAGTACAACATTCCCAAGGCTACCTTGATCATGGAAGATTTCTCCATGATTACGCTTTTCTTGCGCGGTACGGATCCTGCTGGTAAGATCAGTTAGTCCTCATGTCCACGCCCCATTGTCCCGACAGGCCAGTCCTGCTGTCTTAGCCCGCCCATGTTATAGGAAAGTAAGTACTGAACTGAGCAGCGCGCGAATCTGGAGACCTGTACAAGCGGCTCGCCAAAGAGGTCAATACCTTGTACCGAATAGCCCCCGCTGTCGCAAAATGGATCAGGGACGTCTACGGCGAAAACCGGGATCGTTGGCCACTCTACGCCTGGGACCGATACTCTCTCTGCGGACCCAAAGTAGGCGGCAAATTCACTGGCCACTGGCGCAGCCTGTTCACGAGCATCAATTGGATCAGCCACTGTTGCCTGCCTAACTCTCGGCTCGATCAGGTCAGGAATAGCAACAAGATTGATACTATCCTGGCCTCCGTGTGCGCAACGGAGGACATCCTGAAGGGTGAAGAGGTCACGCTGTTCTTCGATTCAGAGGACGATCCGGCCAGGCGCCAGGCCGTGTTAGGCTGGTTCAGTGGGGACCTGAGGAACTGGTTCCGGCCGACTTGCGGATGTAGGTCCTGCTCCCGAGGCTTCCACGGTCGCGAGAGCTGGCAAGCAAGGAAGAAATGAATTGCGCGCACGGAGGAGGGACAACGACACGTTTTTAGGGTGGTAGGTAGCAATTTAGCTCGCAGCGTCAGTCATTCAAACTACAGCTTTAACTCTCGCTTATCTTGACTTTCGCACGTGAATCATTCTCGGCTGTTCTCCGAAGTAAACAAACCTGCGATGTGCAGCAAATTCTCTCAAAGTGAATATCAGATGCACGAGACAACCAACTAACGGGCTACTGCGTCTTTCTTTCCTTTCATAGGTACCCAGGGCAGATGAATCGACGACGCGCGCCAATTTTCCATCTTAATGAAAGTGCACGCATCGGGGGCGGGGGAATTAAATAACTTCTAGTAAGATGGTCCAGCACAGATGCTCGGAGGTTTTTATTTTATTTCCCCCATTGCGTATCCGACTCTGGTACCAGAACACGGGTCTACCTAGGTATTCAAACCGTCGCCTCCACCGCCGTCTTCATTGCCGCGATGTTGGAAGCTGATCGCCACCCACTCCAGTCGTGGTTGTAGAGGCCTGCGGGAAAATTTGAACATGTCAGCCAAGTTTCCCGTCCGGGACTGTATGCAGGATTTGAAAATGAAAGGAAAGAGGAAGAAAAGAGGAAGAAGGAGAATAAGAAGGAGGAGGAGGAGGAGGAGAAGAAGAAGAAGAAGAAGAAAAACGTACCCCACGCATCATCATAATCCTGCGTCCCGGACCGGATATAGTAACTGCCCGCCACGACCCAGTAGAACCAGCCGACCTTCTGCGCCGGCAGGTAGCTCCTCAAGCAGCTGGCGTACACACCCGTGCCGGAGCTGTCCATCTGGTTATGTCCCCACTCGGTCAGCAGCAAGGGCAGCGTGTTCGCCTTCGTCCCGCTCAGGGTGCTGAAGCCGTAGCGGACCAGGTTCTCCTGCAAGGTGCTGCAGCTGCCGACGGAGCCCTCGTAGTTGTGCAGCTCGAGCACGATCTTGTCGGCGTAAGGGAAGTCCGACTTGCGGAAGACGACGCCGGAGCCGAGGTCGGTGCCCTCGACCACGGGCGTGAGCGTCGTGTCGTAGTCCAGGCCCGAGAAGAAGATGAGGGGCGTAGGGTTCGCGGCGTGGATGGTCTGCGAGGCGGAGACCATGTTCGTGTACCAGAGGGGCCAGCCGTATGTCGCTTGCAGGGAGGCATTGTTGCTCGGTTTGCGCAGCTCGTTGCGCATGCCGATGCTGGTGAGTGCTGGCCAGGATTTGCCCTAGCGTTGGGCATCATATTTGTCAGTCGGTTTTTGGGGGAATGCAGAGCAGAGGAGAGGATTGGTTTGGTTTGCTTAGCTAGGGAAAGGGATAGAGAGAGGGGGGGGCAGACGTACGTGGGTGGCCATGTATTCGAGGCCGCGCTTCCACTTCGTCACGTCGAATTGGGTGTCGCCGAACCAGGTGTTGCCGTCGTCGGCTGAGCAGCACCAGTACCCGCTCGACATGTGGTTGTCCAGGTGGACGTAGATTTGCTGCTTCAAACATTCCGCTGCGACGGCATCGAACACCTGTGCCTCTCGCATCAGCTTCTTCATCCCTTATCGAGAGAGAGAGAGAGAGAGGTGGTGGGTAAGAGAAAGGAAGTGATTTTTCTCTTTCTTACCTGGAGTCTCGTGGTGCTAGCCGAGAAACTCGGGTTATTCTTCAACACCTGTTCATACACCAGGGTACCATTCGCAGTGCCCAGGGCTTTGTCGAAGGCAGCGGAGAGCTTGACGTCGCCTCCGTTGTCGAGAATATCGTCGACCATCTCAATGGCGAACGTGAGCCGGATCGCGTTCATGCCCAGGCTCTTGATGTCCGACACGATGGCCTCGATACTCTTGTATTGTAGTCCTTCGGGGATCATAACATCAGCTGACCCTGGCCAGTTCACACCCGCGTAGGTGACATTGTTCCCGAGCGAGTCGTGGATCCAGCGACCCTCAGCCACGAGGGGTCCATCTGGCCATGCGCAATCGCCGCCGGTGACGCTGAGTGCCAGGACGGCGAGGGCAGAGAGATCGAGACGCATTTTGAAAGAGCGGAAAGGAGAGAGAAGTCAGTGAGCAGATGGGACTACCCTACTTCATGACCTGGAGGATTTGATCCTCGCCCTACTCTTGTTATGTACTGTAAGTGACTGTAGCCGAGATCAAAACAACAACAGCATGCAGACGCACCCAGACTAGCCGCACCACTGAGAAATCTCAAAAATATATCCCTAACACCCTCGAGTATTTATACGAGCGCATGAGACGAACGAGACAAGGATGGGGTTGGGTATCTGCTTGGCTGTGATCAGACGACACGCATCGAAAAACCGCCAAGAAGAAGCGAATCCTGCATTAAATATCATGAGAGGTTTCTTGTAGCCCGCGCTACCCCGTACAACCTTGCAGATAGAAATAGGCAGTTTGCGAGTCCGTATCGATGGCCCCAATAATATCCGTAAAAGCTCTGCGTTGATGATCGTTTGATTAAGCTATTATTTTTAACGCCCGAGCGGCTAAATCTTCGCTTTGATCTCGTGCGGTCTATCGAGCGTAGTAACGGACTTAATCTTATATATTAATACGTAAGCTGAATTCTTCAAATGTCATTTGCTAATCTGCGAGGCCGGATTTTTTTTTAAAAGCCGTACTCGCGATAGAGATTCAAAAGGACTTGAAGAAACCTTTGTTTTTTAAAAAAAACTTGAAAGCCAAGTCACTATAAAAATAGTCCTTGTACTGCTTTTAGATCGCAATCGGTTCCGCAATCTTTCGTAAGCAAAGCTTAGCAAGAAATAACGTTCGTAAATTGATCGCAAAAAAGTAATGAATTGCTTTATTCAAACATGAGAATTATCTTGCATCGTTATCGACCAACTTACGGGCGATGGCCGCAGCTCGATAAGTTTCGCATATTACGCTTTCGAAATTATATCACTCTTTCAAGTTTTTATGAAAGGCGCGATCGCAAGCAAGAGCTATAAATAAAAGCGTTGACTCGAAATAAAATCATAGTAATACTACGTCCCAGGCGTAAGTATTACCCCTTGAAGGGTAGGGAAACCAGGGGGTTCAAAGTGGAAACTAAACTTTGGAAGCACCCTCGAGGGGTAATACTTAGGCCTGTACGGTGGTACATACGGCTAATGCGATTTTCTTTTTACTTGCCATGATCTTCTTTGCGAAAATCATTTCCTTGAACGTAAAAAGCCGGAAAATCGAAGTATAAATACGAACGAGAGTTGAAGCACTTCGTATTGAATAAAAAGAACTTTGTAAGCGTAGATCGGGCCGCATCATGCTTTACGGCTAATTCGTTAGCTAAAATATTTTCCGAAAACTAAACTACTACGTACCTGCTTTCTTTTTAAATGAATTGCTAAATATTAAGCTAATTTTTTTTTCTTTTTTTTTTCAAAAATAGGAATTTCGAATAACCTTTTGTTACGGTAGCTACGGCGTTGGCTACTAGGGACCTCGGGAGCTGACTAAGACCCTTATATACTCAATAGCAAAGTAGACTTCTAATCTATTTTTATACCCTTTCACCGGGGTCTATTGGCCGAGTAGTGAAGCTGTTCCTTTTCGCAGCTGTCGGGTGATTTCCTGGCCGTCATACAGTAGAAGACTAGATTTACTTGATGACGTCAGTTCCAAGCTCACTCAAGTACGGTAGCGAGGATACGTAATCTAGATTCTATTATTATCACCAACGGTGACCTAAGATAAGTTCCAGGGGCTGTGGTAGTGATGAGTCATCTAGTCACGTAAGACTATTTTCATAAGCTTGCACAGGACTTGTGAGCGGTGCTCCTATCCCCTTTCATGAATAAATGTCGGTTCCAGTTCAGTTTCGTAAATCGTAAAGCGGTGATTTCTGAATGGCTTCAAGCCCTCTCAACTTGCACAAACTAAAATCCTGGCTTCAAAATACTTTTCAAGGCTGAATGAATCCTTATACTACTAAGCTGATCGATTTGAGACCTGAGAAGATCCCTTGCAAAATTATACTTTCGATATGTACCGGTATTCATAAGGGAGGGAAAGTACTGGACTCTCCACTTTTAAACCCCTTTGGTTACCCTTCCCTCAGGGGGCAATACTTACGCCTGGGACGTACTACCACGGTACAGGCCTCAGTATTACCCCTCGAGGGTGCCTCCAAAGTTCAGTTCCCACGACCAACCCCCTGGCTACCCTACCCTCAAGGGGTAATACCTACGCCTGGGACGTACTACTACTAAGTACGTAAGAGAAAATCAATCCTCCAATGTGGATTTAAGGTTTAAGGTTGCGGGACGGGCTATACCTTATTCCCACCCCCCTCCCCCCCTCCGAATAGCTACAGCCTGAGGGTGAGTGAGGAACCGACAAAATCGTTTGCACCAAAAAATTTTTTTAAAAAAAAAACCACACACACACATATACATAGATATATATATATACCTATGTTAAAAACCCTATAACTCCGCGCGTCCACAAGCCCGCTCACAACTAACCCACGCACTCATCTACAGTATCGCACCACAGAGAAATATAACGAACGGTTAAAATCTAAAGAAACATTCCACACCGCAAACCGCAGAGCGCAAAGCGCAAAGCCGAACCGTAAACCCACACTTCCGCTCTCCTCCTCTAGACTGACTGCAACTAGCGAAAAGACCTATTCGAGGGACTGACACTTTAAAAGAAAAAAAAAGAAAAAAAAAAGAAAAAAAAGAAAAAAAAAAGA